TTATTATTATTATTATTATTATTATTATTATTATTATTATTATTATTATTATTATTATTATTATTATTATTATTATTATTATTATTATTATTATTGTTATTATTATTATTATTGTTGTTGCCATTGTTATTATTGTCTTTATAAGAGTTATTATTTCGATCAAAATTTGAAAAGTATGAATTATGATTTTGAAATTTTAACTCCTCATCAGTATATATTGATTTTTTACCATTTAAAATCCATTTATGGGTAAGAATTTGATTTATAGTATATCTTTTTAATGGGTTAACGTTTAATAAATTTTTAATCAAATCCTTTGCGTCATCGCCAATTTCATCCCACCAAGGTTTTAGAAATTCAAAATCACCTTTCAATGTCTTTTTTTCTAATATATTTTTATCTTTCCCTGGGTCACCAGTTGCTTTTGAATAAAACGGGGGAAAACCACATAATAGTATATACAAAACACAACCAATACTCCAAATATCTACAGCTTTAGAATAAGAGCCATCTTTAATTATCTCTGGAGCAGAATAACCTAATGTTCCACAGGGAGTTTTTGGGTTTGAATCGGTTGTCAAAATCTTCGATAAGCCAAAATCGGCTAGTTTGATTTCACCAATAGTAGCTGCACCAACAGAGTCGATAAAGTAACCTTCATCTTTTTTTTCGTTTGTATCTGATTTTCTTTTTGATGCTAAAAAATCTTTTTCAGATCTTGGTTTGTATATTATTGGGGTATAAAGGATATTTTCTGGTTTAATGTCTCGATGAACGATCCCAACTTCGTCATGTAAGTATTTCACAGCTTTAACCAATTGAATGATTATATGTCTTGATAAATCCTCGGAAAAATAAGTATAATGAACAATTTGATTAAAAATTTCACCACCTTTACAGTATTCTAAAATTAAGAAGAAGTTTTCGTTTGATTTAATGTGATTGTATAGTTTAATGATATTTTTGTGATTTAATTTTTTCATTATGATGATTTCTTGATTAATTGAATTAATTTGGGAGTCATTTAAATTTTTGTAGTTGATAATTTTGATTGCGACTATTATGTTTAGTTTCAAATCATAAGCTTTAAAGACTTTGGAAAAAGCACCCTCTCCAATTTTTTTAATTAGTTTATATCTTGGGTATAATTGGGGATGGTTCGGTAAATTGTCGTTTAATTTATGATTGGCAGCTAATCTTTGATTTAATTTTCTTAGTCTTTCTGATATTGTTGATTTGTTTGAATTTGCAGAATTTATTGAGCCATTATCATTATTACTATTGTTATTTTTGTTTGTGCTTTTATAGGTTTCAGACATTAGATCGGAATCAGCATCATCTATGTAATCAGAAGGATGTAGGGAAAATGAGGAGGAGGACTGGTCAGTAGATGTATTTTGCAGAGAACTAGAGGAGATGTTATTATTTGTAAGTTTGTTTTCGGTGGATTTATTATTGTTGTTATTATCTTTATCTTTGTTTTTATTATTATTATTATTATTATCTTTATCTTGATTGTTTGTATTGGAGGGTTGAGCTGGTTTTGATGTGAATTTAATGAATTTTTTGAACGTTTCAAACACCATTATTTTTTTATAAATCAATGAAAAATACTATAAAAAGTTGTTAGTGTGTCAATAATATAAGATTTCTTCAAATTATTGACAGTCTTTTCACAAAAACAAAAATAAAAATATTTTATGTACATACAATAGGTTAGATACTTCAATATTTCAATATTTCAATAATTCAATAATTCAGTGTGAAATTAGGAAGGTTTATTTTATATTCAAAGTAAATATATTATGGTGTATTGTGGTATATTATAATATAATGGTATTAATTTGAAGTTTTTAGCTTTTATTTATATCAATAAATTATAGTTTATGAATGAATGTTTTAGAATTAAATTTATCAATTAACATTATATGATAAATTAATATTTGATAAACAACAAAATAAAATTGTAAACAAGAACAATAAAAGGGAAAAACAACGAGATTTGTGATTTTGGACAAATTGAATACTCTGATTCTGGAATATTCTGATTTTTTGCTAATAAATAACTCGTAGTGAAATTATAAATAAGAAAGTATGCCGGTTAGGCTAATAAATTCTGTTAAATAGGATGATATGATAAGTAGTGACTGGAGAAATCCAAGAAAAAAGGAAGTGAATCAAATAAATAATAAAGTGGTTAACAAGAGATGTTTCAATGAGAATTAACAAATTATTTAACAACGATCGTTATTAACTGATGATATGTGGATCAATGAGGTTAGATTTGAGTTAAATCTTAAAACCATAGAAAGTATAGGGAAAACAGCACCAGTGAGAAGAGGATCTGGAACCAGTTTGGGGACTATCAAGAATAGCCAAAGCTAATACAGTCAATGAAATTAACAGAATTGTGAGCAGATAGGTGAAATTTCAGCAATGGGTTGAGAACTCTCTTGTGGTTACTTGTTTGGAAGGAAGGAAACACAGCGCTCGTCAGCTGGAGACAGAGACAGAACAGTATAAGCAGAGGCAGCAGAGGCAGCAAAGGTAGGAGAAACAGCAGGGGTAGCAGCAGCAGAGGCAGAGATGCTGAAGAGGAATTGCTGTGGCAATGTTTTCGTGCAGCAGCAGCAGCTAAAAGAATAGTTCCTGGAGCTTCGCCAGCTAAAGGAATAACTCCAGCTGCTTCAGGAGTCAGGTCGGGTCACATTTTTCCGCCCGCTCCCACCCTGGCGGAGCATGTGTACAGCAGTGGTTTGATGCATTTCCGCAGTTATGCATGCAATACGCAACAAACTGCAGTTCTGTGCGCAACAAGTGACGTAGATCCTTCTGCACTGTGGTGAGCGCTGGTGCAGGGAGATGAGGACCCTCAACACTGGCTGTTCCGTCGCTGACGTGCCGCACATGGCTTACCTAAGCAGCATCGCTCATAACAAAACGACAAGCTACTCAAATCATGTAATCCCATTTTAATCCCTATACAGTCCTAGATATACATGTACATAGAAATTTCAATACTCTTGTTATTCTGTGTACTCTTTCCTTTTAAGCCAAACTCTTACTTTCTAACTAAGTGCTTTTGTCTTCTTGTGATACACTCTCGTTGTTTCTGTGCTTTGCCTACATTTATAGTATAAAATGGTTGAAAGAGGTCCTGATCAGTGGCTTGAAGAGGTTAAGAAATGTCAATCTCTACCTGAAAATGATATGAAGCGTTTGTGTGAATTGGTTAAAGAAATACTAATCGAAGAATCTAACATTCAACCTGTCAGGTCTCCCGTAACCGTTTGTGGTGATATCCATGGCCAGTTCCACGACCTCTTGGAATTGTTCAAAATATCCGGTGGCTTTCCTGATAATGTCAACTATATATTCAGTGGTGACTACGTTGACAGAGGCTATTTCTCTCTAGAAACTTTCACTTTGCTAATGTGCTTGAAAGTCAAATATCCAAACAGAATAACTCTAGTCAGAGGGAATCACGAATCAAGACAAATCACTCAAGTTTATGGCTTTTATGAAGAATGCTTAACTAAATACGGCTCCTCCACTGTTTGGAAATATTGCTGTCAAGTATTCGATTTCCTAACTCTAGCTGCAATCATTGATGGTCGAATTCTTTGCATCCATGGTGGTTTATCTCCTGAAATTAGAATGTTAGACCAAATTAGAATCATCTCAAGAGCTCAAGAAGTTCCTCATGAAGGTGGTTTTTGTGACCTATTATGGTCAGACCCTGACGATTCAATGGATAACTGGGCTTTATCTCCAAGAGGTGCTGGTTATTTATTTGGCTCAAAAATCTCAAAAGAATTTTCTCACATCAACAACCTAAAATTAATAGCAAGAGCTCATCAATTAGTCATGGAAGGTTTTAAATACCACTTTAAAGATAAAAGCGTTGTAACTGTTTGGTCTGCTCCAAATTATTGTTATAGATGTGGTAATGTTGCAAGTGTAATGAAAGTAGATGAAAATTTAAATCCTGATTTTAAAATATTTAGTGCTGTGCCTGATGATACTGAAAGGATGGCTCCACAAAAAAATAATAGAAGTGATTATTTCCTATAATTTTCTATAATCACCCTTCATTCTTCTATATATTATTACTATTACTATTATTACTAACTACATTTACATCTACAATCACAATTTCAACTTATAAATTATTATTCTATTTGTCATTATAATTATAAGCATTATGATCATGATTATCTTTTCACTATCATTATCTTGTTTTCTTGTGAAATATCTATTTTTCTTGATTTTTTCTTGATTTTTTTTTTATTTTTTTTCATATTTATTGTTAAATATCAATGGTGCTTAAGCTTTTCTTCTTTTTTTTTTTCTTTTTTCGATTCATTTATTTACTTATCTGTTTTACTTCGTTTTTCCCTTTTTACTTTGTTTTTTAAAATCTTCCTTATCATGATTGATTTTTAATATTACGATAAATTTTTAATGAACATTTTATTCAATAACACTAAATATTAAATATCAAATACTACATATTAAATAGATATAAAATACTTTGGAATAAATAAATAAGCAACTAATTAGGAAATTAAGCAATTAAGCAATTAATTTAATTTAATTTAATTTAATTTGTTTTCTTCTCTTTTAACAAATCATTTATGCATGATCTTTTCATCTCTAACTTCTCTTTTTTTAACAAGCTCAAGAAATTCATAAAAATACCCTTGATATTGTTTAGGTAATTTCACAACTACGTTTTTCTCAACAACTTGAAAAAAGTTTAAAACAAAACTTTTAGTTTCATTCGAAAATAAAATTCTTAACCAATAAAATGTGATAAAAGCAACAAATGCAAACCCAGATACTCCTCTCATTAATAACGTATCAATAAATAATACAAATATTAACAACAACTCATTATACGAAATAGCTAATGTTAAATTCAAAAGATAATTTTGAGGAATCTTCTCCAAATAATTAAATTCCCTTGTCAATTGTAAAAATGATATAATTAAATAAGGGAAAATCTTAAAAATAGATGATCTTGATAAAAACCAAATTAACGCTAAAAGCAAATATTGGAAATTTTCTGTTGATAACAATGCAAAATTAGTTGGCAACTTTCTACCAAATTTTCTAGAAACTGTTAAACTTAATGCCAAAAGAGATCCAAAAATTGATAATCTATAAGAAAATCTGACTAAATAATAAAATTTAGTTCTAAGAATAATATTTGATAGCCTTGAAAGAAAATATATTAAACCAAAAGATAAGGAAAGACAGTGACCAGTTAACCAAATTAATTTATCATAGTTCTTAGGTTTGGGTGGTATTTTACGAATAACTTTCTTAGTTTTTTTACTTATTTTGCTTGGATTTTGAACAGAGTTATTTAAATTAAGATTACTATTATCTGGCACAGTAGATACTTGTGATCTTTGAGATTTTTGTTCATTAATAGGAAGTTGAGTTGCAGATTGTGCGGGAGTTGGAGTCTCACTAATCAACTTATTATTTGCTTGGAGATTATTGTTTACTTGGAGATTATTTGCTTGGAGATTATTGTTTACTTGGAGATTATCTACTCGGAGATTATTATTTAGTTGATTTGAATTTTGTAAGATTGTGCCCTCAACTACTTTGCTGGTCAGTTGAGTTGTTGGATTTCCAGTATTAATGGTGCCAGGTTGGCCATTGGGCTGAAGAGTTTGCTCTTCATTGAAAATTGGAGGTAAAGGAGCCTTGATATCAGGAGGAGGAGTATTTGACATCTTGAGATACCGGATAATTGAACTTATTGAGTATTAAGAAAAACCACCAAACGAACTGCTACTTCTTGTAATATTAACTGTTCTCTCAAACACCAATTGATAAAAAGCAAGGGAATAGCAACCAAGAGGTTCGTTGTTTATGATGGCTGAATTGAAATTTGGTGATTAGCTTCTCATTTCAGTTGCGAATCACCGGATTTCTGCCGCGGAATCACACGGCTGATCAGGAATCTCACACGGAATTGCAAACGGTTTCATAATTCCATTACGGATAACGGATGGAACCGGATTAGGAATTTCCGTCTGGATCTCTGTTTGATGCTGGTTACTTTTCAAAGCTGGAGATGGAGCATGAGATGTTTATGGTGCCAGAAAAAAAAGGCAGCACAGGCGAAGAAGCAGCAAACAAAGCAGAACATGGATGCAGAGATACCATTGAGTCATGGGGCTTATAGTGACACACAGGATGAGATACTAGAACAATACAGAAAGCTATTGCGTAACCTAACCAAAGTATGTGTCAATCTTCCACCAATTGATCTCCAATCTCAGGTTTTTGTTGTAGAATATTTCACTAACCCATTGAGCTAGATTGACGATATATTAAGGTCTATTGAAGAAAAAAATATTCCTGCTTTAACAGAAAATTTGAATCTGTTGGATAAAAAAATTGCCTTTGTTTACATGATGTTTAAAACTTCAATTTTTGCATTTCTTATAAACGAACAACAAATTGGAACTTCAATTAAATCCTACATTCCTCCAATTGTGGATAATGATTTAATTCACCATTCTATTTCACATCCAGCAGATCAAAATAAAATCCGGGCTCAACCTCCACCTGAAAACAAAAATCAGAATATTCATGAATATGATAAACCAATCGATGATTATACTAATTCTCTGAAATTAGATGGGCCAGAGTTCGAGTCAACAAGAGATTTCAGAATGTAACCGGTCTTTTTTTGTTCTAGTGATTCATTAAACTATATTTTATACTTACTGGAATCTTTTGACCGCCTCCTATAAAATTGGTCCACCAACCAACAAAAAAGTGAAAAAAAATATAGAGAAAAAAACCTATAAACAGCAAGAATTGGAAATTTTGTAGATCGAAGACCAGATACATGATGCATAACCAATTGTTTTAATCAATCAGTTACAAGTTAAATCTTTTTTTTAAATATCTTCATTTTTTGATGATGACTCTTTAGCTAATTTAATCAAAACATCCAATTCGCCACTTTTTTCACACATTTGATAAAAAATTGTATTTTTATCAGAAATCAACTTGAAAGGCTCATCATATTCTACAACTTTACCTGCATCCATAACTAATATTTTGTCATAATCGATAATTGATCTTAATCTATGGGCAATTGTCAAAATTGTGCTATTTTTAAATTCATTTCTAATGGTTTGTTGAATCTTATGATCTGATTTATAATCAATTGATGCTGTCGCTTCGTCTAAAAGCATAATCTTGGGAGTTCTCAATATTGACCTTGCTAAACACACCAATTGCCTTTGACCCTGGGATAAATTTTTTCCTCCCTCTTCAATCTTATTATCTAAATTTAAAAACTTATTTTTATTTTCTTCAATTTCAGTTTCTTCAGCATTATTTGGTGTCCTACTTATTAATTCATCATTTTCAATTGTTCCATTGCTTTCTAGTTCCTCTCTACTTAATAAATTGACTCTTATTAATGCTTCAAACATTTCTGCGTCCGAATATTGTTCAAATGGGTCAAGATTACTTTTAATTGTACCACTAAACAATGTAGGATCCTGAGGGATGATTGTAATTGCTTTTCTTAATGTATTCAACCCAATTTTTGTAATTTCATACCCATCAATGGTTATTGTCCCAGTATCGGGATCTAAAAATCTAAACAATGCAGTGATAATAGTTGATTTACCTGCCCCTGTCCTCCCAACGATGCCAATTTTAGCATTTGGTTCAACGTCAAATGTTACATTTTTAATAACTTTTGGCAAGTCTGGTGCATATCTTAATGATAGATTACTGATCTCAATTTTACCTGTTTCGGGCCAAGTTTTTGGTGGCTCAAACTCTTGAGACAATTGTGGTTCTGGTTCTTCTTCAACTTCCATATACTCCTTTAATCTTTCAACTGAGTTCATTATCATTTCTAACATTGCATATAATCTAACAAGCCAAAGTGCTGCGTCGGCAAATGAAATTGCATATGATAATGAGATACCAGCCAACCCAGCATCAAGCGAGTCCATATAATATAAAACAAATGATCCAGAGAACAATGTAACAAGTGCTCCTAGAAAATCAATCCTAAAACACAACCATCTGTTGGCAACCCATAAATAAAAAAATGGTGTATTATTTTCATCAATATATTCTAAATTTTTTTTCATAAATTTATGTTCAACACCATAAGCCCTAATTGTTGTGACACCAACTAAAGTTTCAGTAAAATTTTGATGAATTGGACTTTTAGTAATCGATTCATATCTTTTTAATTCTCTAGATAGACTAAGATAAAAATATCCAATAGCATAAAACATCAATGAAATAAAAACTGCAAAAAGAAAAAATAATGGAGTGATGGTTATAATTAAAAATAATGTGGAAACAGTTATAATAATACAAACGAATGTGCCTTGAAAATATTCTGTAATTTCTTGATCAACTGATTCAATATCTTTGGAAAATCTGTTCATAATACGACCAATAGGAGTAGTGTCAAAAAATCTCAACTTTGCTCTCATTATTCTCTCCAAAACATTTTTAAATATGATATTTGAAGCTCTTAATCCGGAAAAGAAAAGAAACAGGTTACGAATAGAACAAACTAACCCGAATCCAAGACCAATCAATCCATAAATTGAAATATAGAAAATTGCATCATGACCTGGCTCAATACGAAGACTTTGGGCAAAATTCTTGGTGCCGTAAATAATAGCAGACGATTTATCCTTGATGTGATTAACTTTTTCAAAAATATTTGGACTAATAACAAAAGAATGAAAAGAACTGTATGGAAATTCCGCTTCATTGTTCAACGACCATTTACGCAACCACCATGACTGACTTATAAAAACAACTTGCGAAAAGATAAATAAAGAAAAAACAAAACCCCAAGCATACCAAGGTCCAAATGTATTCATGTAAAATTTGTAAACTTGAATGCTGACTGTACCTGTACTTTTTGTTTCTTCTTGTACCAATTTTCCTTTAGTTTTATTTACTGCTTTAGTTAATTCAATTCCTTCTTCCTCTTCCTGTTCTTTTACTTTTGCCTTTAATAATTCTTTATCAAATTTCTTGATATTTCTATTGGAAAGTTGATTTTCAGATCTGCTGGCACTTGAGTTTAATTGCTTTATATCAACATTAGATGCATTACGAGAGTTCATAATAGAAGATTTTATCAAATCATCCTCACCTAAAAACCCATCAAATAGTAATTTTTCAGGAGAACCCTGAGCTCTTACTCTTCCATTCTCCATAACAATAACATGTTCAGCATCCTTGACAGTTAAGGCAACATTATGAGACACCAAAATGCATGTTCTGTTTTTCATCAATGGGCCTGTTATACAATTATCATATATCCACAAAGCAGTGTTGGAATCAACTGCACTTAAACAATCGTCTAAAAGAATGTTTTTGGACGACGAATATAGTGCTCTGGCCAATGAAACCCTTTGTTTTTGACCACCAGAAAGAACGACACCCTTTTCTCCAATTTCAGTTTGATCCCCAGCTTCAAAAATTTCTAGATCACGTTTAAGTCCACAAGATTCAATGACATCTTTATATCTCTTTTGATTAAACTCTGAATCAAAAAGAATATTGTCTCTTATTGTTCCGTTTAATAACCACGCCGATTGAGAACAATAGGCCACATTATCTGCAAGACCAGTATTCGGCTCGATTTGAATTTCGTTTCTTGGAAGAACACCAGGTAAGAAGACTTTCCCACTAATTAAATTCATTTCTCCTAACAATGCTAATAATGTTGATGTTTTACCAGCACCAGTGGGTCCTATTATCACGTTCAACTTACCTTCGACAAATGAGATATCTAGATCTCTTAGTTTGAAATCATTATTGTCATCCAGGTCTTCTTCACCATTCCAGGAAAAAGTGGCATTTTGAAAGCCAATTAAGGGCGAATTGGCATCTCTTTCGCAAATTAATTGTTCGTATTTAGTTGTTTCTGGTTCAGAAAAAAAATCTTGAATACGATCCAAAGAAGCTTTTGAACGCATGACAGAAGATAACATGTAGGAAATATCATCAATTGGCAATCTAAGTAAGTTGAAAAAAGATAAAGCTGTAAAAGCAACTGGAGAAGTCAAAACATTTCCGTCGATCAAAGTATAGCAAGCAAAACTGATCAATGTGACAATAGTTGGAGCTATGTGGCCTAATATTGAAGAAAACATTTGCAAAATATATTGTCTTTTAAGTTTTTTCAATTCCGTCATTCTGATGTCCATAATTGATTCAATGAATTTTTGTTCCCAAGCAAAAAATTTGATAATTCTGATATTTTGAAAACATTCATTTAATTTTCCAACTCTTTTATCCGAAACTAGCATCATGTTCTTTTGAAGGTCACCAATTTTTTTAGAAAGTAAATAATTGATTGGTAATAAAAATAACAAGAAAGTGGAACCGACTAAAGAAGACCAACCAAGAAGGTCATATAGTAGATATATTGCAAAAACAACCATAACAACGCCACTAACAAAATAGAATAGGTAACCACAAAGCTCAGATACTTGAAAAGCATCAACAGCCATTAAATTAATAATCCCACCTAATTCTTTTTCTTTTTTTTTCTCATTGTCAACTTGTTCGCCATTTTCTTCAGCGTTTTGTGTTTGTTTGGAAACCTTTGAAGATTTATTGGATTTGGAATCATCATTTGGAATAGACTTTTCAACAGAAAGTTTTCTTCTAAGAGCTTTTGAATAGACTTGGCCGATGATAATTGATCTCATTCGAGTACAAACTCTTCTACCAATGAATAAAGATACACCAAATAGTAAAGAGTTTAAAACTCTAACACCAAACATAAGGAAAACAGAAAACCAGGCAAGGTTTAAAGGAATATAATTTGAATCATCGATGAATTCTAAAATCACTTTTAATAAGATACTAGGAACAAACATACCAAAAGCATAAAATGTTATATAGAAAGCTTGAAATGCAAAATCCCAACCGAAATAACTCATTAGTTTCCAAGCAAAAGATAATCTTGATTTGAATTTTTCGAAATGCTCATATCTTCTTAAAGTGATGTAAGAAAAATCGTCATTTCTTAGCGCCCAAATCTGATCTAATTTCAAGTCTTTATTTTTTGAAGCAATTGAAATCATTGGGTTTAACCATGAATAGGTTATTAAAGAGAATAAAGAAGTAATTCTTTCTGGGGTTGGAGTGTAATTTTTTTGGTTTTTTGGATTATAAAGATAGTTTGAAACGTTATTACCGATTTTATCTGTCCAAAAAAACGCAGATAGACAAAAATTAATGGGAAATTGAGAGCAATAATAATATCTTTGAGGATTTTTCAAAGTATTATGTATTAAAACTGACCTAAAATTTAGACTGGTAGGAACCAATAGAACAGTGTGAATTGTTATTAGTAAAGCCCATGAATTGATTTTAGCTAAAAAAGAGGTGTTATTTTTTTTAGATATTATCAAAGAATAAAATCTTAAAGAGGATAAGAAAAGAGAAATAAGCCAAACAAGGAAAGTTTCAAGTGAAGATATATTTTTTTTGTATGAGTATATGTTTGTGATAAAACCAATCAATATAAGAAAATATTCCAAGAAGACTTTAAAATTTTCAATGAAATTTCTATGAATTTCAATATATTCTCCATGGGGAGCGCCATCATCGTTAGTAAAAGATAGAAATTTGATGTCAAAATGTTTTCTTTTGATCAAATCAGCAGAAAGACGATTGGAATTGATTGCACCGTAATTTGAAGAAGTCGATTTAATTGACGAGGATGAGAAGGAGGAAGACGACGATACTAAGAGAGGATGTCCATGGTGGTTATCAGCATCTACTTTATCGCTTTTGGAGTTTGAGCTTAACTTGGGATTGAAGAAATTTTGTTTCTCAGTAAAGGACTCGTTATGAAAAAAACTATATAAAAGGCAAGATATGACAATGATTATAATTGAGGAGGAAATGGAAATATCAAGATAATATTTCCTTGCACAAGAGGTAAAATCATCATGATACCATATCGCTGAACAATTTAGCGACAGGCTCGAATCCATTGTGAAGTTGATTTATAGTGTTGCCTGAGAAAAAAAGCTGTGGTGATTCGAGCAGCTGAGATTCATAAATGCTTCAGAATGTGCACCCAAGTAAAAAAACGGGAGATAAGCGATCTAATATATAGCTGGAACAGAGTTGAAAAAACAATAGTGGTAGAAAAGATAAAAGAGTCCACTTGATAATCCAGAAAAGTGGGAAGCTTTAATTTGTTATTGTGTGAGACAAAAGCAAAGCTCCGGCTTTTTCGACAGAGATGGCCTTTTATTCCAACTGCCTGTCTGTTTCGGTGTCTTTGCTGCTGAAAAGCAAAATATCACAGTTTGCGACACGAAAACCGCCAGGTCTTTTGCGAAAAAAGGCTCATTCACTTTTGGTGTTTATCGCTGGATGAAAAGGCTCAGACACAAGTCTATTCTAAATACCTTTCAACCAACAGATGTGCTTTGAAAAGCTCTCCAGTGGTGGCAATTGCGTAACTGAGCTGTTTCCAACCTCCACAGGTATTTCAAATCGAATGCTGTTTTGAGAATTGCAGCAAACCCACTTGGCTCTCTTGTTTTCAAATCAACAAACCGGCTTTGCTTCAGAGTTTTCGGCAGGAAATATTACTTGAACATGAAATGCTCAATTACAACAATGCTGGCCTTCCAAAGATTTTGCAATTCGGAAAGGGCACAAAGCAGAAACTGTCTGTGGTTTAAAAGGTTGCAAACCGAATTCTGCCAGATGTTGATGGTTGGGGTCGTTTTGGTTACTGTTGGCGCCACATAAAGGCCAGTAAATATATAGTTAACAGTCTCCCATCCACAATCCATTATCAAAGTTACCAAAGACATGAGGCAGACTTTCGGTTGGATCATCCTGGAGTAGCATATCTGTCTGCTCAGCAAAAGTGTAGGAGAATATTGTTTGATTCAAAGAAATGCCACTATATCAAGGCTTTCTGATATTTACAGCAACTTCTCATGAGAAGTCTGCCTGGAATTTAAAAATAAGAAAAAAAGGGCTTTTAATGAAACCAAAGAAAGCTAGTTTGAATAGCTAACTCAAAAGTTTTTACTACAATTCAATAAAATTATAACAAACAATAAACCAATATCAAAAAAAAAAAAAAAAAAAATGAAAACAAGAAAATTGAATAACTTTAGTTATCGAAATAGATAAATTTAAGAGCATCTTCAACACTCTCCATAAGCTTTGGCGGTACCACCTCTAGACCCACCAACCCTTTGTTATTTCTACCTCTACGAGATCTTCTAGGTTCTGAATTATAAAACTCTTGCTGTTTTTGCTTTTTTATCGTCTTAAATTCAACCACCTTTTTCTTGATATTTTCAATAAACTCAATGCTATCAAGTTTATTATTTATTCGATATAATGGATCCGAAAGGTTCATCGCAAGTATCAAAGTAAAATAACTATCATTACCTGCATTATGTAAATTCGAATGTGGAATGTTAAGGATTCTTAAAACATTTCCTAATGACGAGGTCTCAGTACCAAAACTAGTGGTCCATAAATCTTGTGTATCAATAATTGAATGGTTTTCAGGAAATCTTACACCAAGTTCTTTTAGCCATTTAATATCCCCACAAACATTATGACCAACTAATGAACAAGGGTAATCTAGTTCAGTAAAATAATAATTTATTATGACTTGCATCAAAATGGCGCATTTTTCAAACGTCAAAATTATTGATTCACCAATAAATTTGAATTTATTATCTGTTATAAATAATCCATTTCGGAACTCAAAAACCTCACTTGGAATCAAATGGATCTTTTGAAAACTCGGATTTAATGTGCTCAATTGAAATCTAGGATCATATATCGTCAACCCAAGTTCAATTATAATATATGTATTAGTTTCAAAAGCTTCGATATCAATCGAAATCAATATGTGATTTTCGATAAATACTTTGGTAACCGCATTCTTCAAATATTCAAAATTATTTGAATTCATCAAATAAGTATGACGTTTTCTTCTCGACTCCTTTTTTAAATTATTCAAATAGGTGACTGCAATGGATTTATTAAATTCTTTAAAATGATTTATGGCACCATTCATATCAAAGTTATTAAATAAACCAGAATCAGAAAAACTACTCACCTTTGGGATAATTGAGCTCAAGGAAGGCAATTCCTCATAGGGAACTTTGATATTACAATATAACCTTTCGGCCTCAGATTTATTCAACCACTGTGTATACTTTCTTGGATTTATTTTGTCATCAAAATTTTCTCTATTCTTTTGTTTTCTACCATTTATATTATTATCATTATTTATTTGATTATTACGATTATTCTTATTATCACAATTACTCTGGTCATTCTGATTATTCCGGTTATTCTGATTATTCTGGTTATTATCTTTTTTCTTTTTTTTTTTTGATTTTTTGTGTCTCGAGCACCCTTGGATTGCCGAACCATCCTCCAACCTTGAAGGATACTGCTGTTTCTCAAAATCTACAGAGTTAGATGATTTTTTCTGATGAGAACCCATTTGATCATCAATTGGTGATTCATTTTTACCATTTGAATCGAGTTTCATTGTTAAAAACAAAAAGCAAATATAAGAGCAAAGATACAACACTAGCAACGATCCAAAATAATTGTTTTTTAGGGGCGGGGACACTCTCACATGAAGAAGCCATTTATATGGATCACAGCATCTGTATATGCATGTTGAAGTCAGTACATGTTGAAATCGTTTGTGTGTGCATAGCGGTTTAGAGCGGAAAATCTATGGATTAGCACACGGTTTTTGTCAATTTATTGGGAAATATAAAGTGAGTGCTTTGATATTTCACAACTAACAATAGCGCACTGATTGACATCAACTCAAAATACAAAATAATGATTAATACCAATTAAATACTATTCAATAATGGAATCAGATAATAATATTAGTGATGCTAAACAGCTGGACAGTCAAAGCATTTGGGATCTTTTCGAGACACCAAAAAATGATAGTATGGAGGTAGATATAGATCAACTTGAAAAGGATGATGGAGATAGAGAATTGGAAAGTCTTTTCAATGATATTGATAAAATCAATTTACATTTAGACCCAAGTTTAATAACAGAGAACTTTAGGGATCCATCATTTAGTAAACCCTATGAATTATCAATAAATCAATTATTCAAGTACATTGAAGATCAAAAAGGCGATTTTTTAAACATTACTGAGAACTCATTGAAAGCTGATATTGAAAATGATAAGATTAAAAATGAGAGTCTTTCTCAGATATACAATGAATCTGGAAGGTTTAATTTATATGGAAAAGAATATCCGAGTTTGAACGATAATCATCAAGCAGAAGTAAATAATGGAAATAAAGAAAATAATAGCGGTAATAATACTACTGATCAGATTATCAGTAGACAGTTAAAAATCAGAGAGTTTTACAAGTCAAAGGGTGAAATAATAAACAATGTTAATACAGCTTTGAATGAGTCTGCTTATTTATTGGATTTTTTATCGTTGTTGAATTCTTCAACCCGAGATAATGCAAAAAATTCGATATCTTCTCATATAAAACAATCCATTCCACTAAAATCATTAAATTGCGATTTTATCGAAAACAACACTACTTCGTTTATAAATAATATTGAATCTTTTAATGTTCACAATTTGAAACTTTTGAGAAGTTGGAAATTGGAATCAATTACAAAGTGCTCAAACATTTTCCAAGATTCTTTTAAGAAATTATCTAATGAAATAGATCAGGAAAATTTATATTGGAATAATTTGCTACGAATTTCAAATTTAAACAATAATGAAAACAATAATAATTATAATGAAGTGCTATTTAAATCAACCTATCCTCAATTTAACTTGAAAACATTTTCAATTAATTATGGTTTTAGAGATTCTGGATCAAATTATAATATTAATAAAGGGTTTGGATTTTTGAATAAGATCAATTCAAAAAATCAAAAAATTAAATTCGAGCCTTACACTAACGATTCATCAATCAAATCTTATGTCAAGGTGACTATATTAACCAAATTAAATAGTGAATTTATTGTTATAAGTGAATCTTCAATACCTGATCATTTACTTTATGATTATAAAAAATACAGTATTAAGAATGACAAAAATAATAAAATTGATAATGTTGAAAATAAAGATATTAAACTTGTTAAAAACCAAATCAATGAAGCCAGACTAAAATTATTTGATGAAGAATTGTTTTATCAATTAACCAAAGAAATAAAGGATTTAATCCCCTATAATGGCAAAATACTATCAAATAATAAAATTATAATTGACTTAAGTGAGGACTTTATAATTGAAATCGATTACATAAGTAAAAATAAAGAAGATTTTGAGAACGAGTTGAAAATTTCATCAGAAAATAATGAAAACAGTAAAAGTAAGAAAATTCAGAACACAAATGCAATTATGAATGACACGATCAATGGACTTGCTTTGAATAGTGAAAAAGAACCCCAAAATGGGATATACAATGAATTAAATGATAAATTGAAGCAGTTAGTTGGAGATAATCAAAACAAAATTGATTCGGAGACTAAATTATATGACAAGAAACAGAATTTGAATTCAAATATATTAAAAATCAAAAAAGAAATTGACCAAAGTGAAAAATTCAGCATCAAATCTCCCAACAATACACCATCGCCGACATCAACCGAAGAAATTAAGAATTTTGTTCAGAATAATAAGAAAGCTGATTATATTTTAAGCTTTTTAAAATTAATGTTATCTTATCATCATAAACTGAATTTAAAGTATAAGAAAAACAAGTATCCAATAATATTGAATTCAATTCACAATTTTAGGAAAAATATTGATAAACCTTTATTATTGAAGCCATTAATTGGTAATATCAAACATGAAAGAAATTTAAATGAATTAGTGGGTATATTGGTGGAAACTTTTCACCAAGTAGGAATATCTAATTTCAAAATCTATGATTACAACAAAAGTCAAGTAATAAATTATGAAGAAAACTTCATTCAAATTATTAACTCATTAAATTTTAATAACATAAGAAGTAAAATGTTAATAAACAACTATCAAAATGGGAATGATAAATATGACAATGCTTTCAGCAATATCACCAGGCCAGCCAGGACCGAAATAATAACCAATTTCAATACAAAACTAGTAATAAAGCTCGTTTTATCATCTTCGTCAACATTCTGCGATCTAATTATCAATTTAAGAGTAGAAGGAAAATCTCTGAACAGCAAAAATAAAGACACAAAAGAATTAAAAATTCAAAGTGCCAATCACAAGATATTGGAGTCAGAATTTTCAGACTTTTACGAAATCAAGAAGTGCCTAGAGTGGGTTGTTGATCAGTATTACGCGTAACATATGTAACATATATAGCTTCATAGACACAGCAGTCAATATAACCATTTTGCTATTGATAAAAGCATAATAGAAACATTTCCGTTCTGCTTATCTAACAAACCGTGCACTTACATAAGCACAAGGATGAGGTGTCAAAGAGGCTCAAAGGGGCTCAAACAGACCCAAAACACTCCTATTTTATCCTCCACGAATGTTTTATCACTGATAAATTTATCAACTATCTTTGTCCAATTGTTGGTACTCTATAGTGCAATTCGAATTTGCTAATACAAACAGTTTGAACATGTCACTCCAGCCAAAAGTATTTAGTTTTTTTGATGGTGCCATTCAAGATCATTGTTTTTTTGGCAGTAATAATCAGCTTTTAGCGATAACTCAAGATAAAGATATAAAAATCTATGATGCCTCAACACAACAGTTGCTTCAAATATTGTCTGGTCATGAAGCCCCAATTACTGCAATTGATGTTTCTGCAGAAGGATTGATAGTTTCTTGTTCCCAGGATCGTAACGCTATTGTTTGGAAACCATATATCAATCAACAAACCGGTGTTTTAGATTTTAAAAAAGATTTGGTGTTGTTAAGAATTAATAGAGCAGCAATTTGCTGTAGATGGTCACCAAATGGCAAAAAGTTTGCTGTTGGATCCGGTTCAAAAGTGGTTGCAATTTGTTACTATGAAGAAGAAAATGATTGGTGGATTTCAAAACATATTAAAAAGTTTATTAAATCATCTGTTTTATCAATTGATTGGCATCCAAATAATGTTCTAATTGCTTGTGGTACAGCCAATTTCCATACTTATGTTTTTTCAACATTCATTAAAAGTATTGATACAAGACCAAGTCCATCTTGTTGGGGCGTTAAGCTACCATTTAACACACTTTGTGGAGATTTTGTCAGCAGTACAGGTGGTTGGATTCATGACGTTTCATTTAGTCCATCTGGAAATGTTTTGGGATTTGTTGCTCATGACTCGACAATTACAATTGTTTATCCCTCAGAACCTAATGAACCACCAATTTCAATGGTATCTGTCAAAACAAACTATTTGCCATTTAAAACTATTAAATTTTTAAGTGAAAATGAACTAATTGTTGCTGGGCATAATTGTTTTCCGATTCTTTTTACTGGGAATGAAGAAAATTGGTCAGAACAAAAAAGTATTGATCCGGCAGCCAAGTTAAATAGTAAAAATCAGAGTGGAAATAAATTATTAATAGGTGATGAAGAAGAAACTACAACTGCTATAAATATGTTTCAACAAATGGATTTAAGAGGTAAAGTTGTTAGTAAACAATCAACAAAATTGTCAAGTACTCATCAAAATACCATCACCTCGTTAAAATTTTTCTCCAAACATCAAATTTCTACATCTGGTAACGATGGAAAAGTGGTAATTTTCAATATCTAGGGATATTTTGTGTATAGATAACAATAAAATTTTTGTTTAATCATTTCAGAAAGTGTTTTTTTTTAAAAAAAATTATATTTTTTATTATTTACTGGAAAAGAAATTTAGAAATTGAAAAAAAAAAATAAATCAATTGTTAGAAAACAAAAATTGGAGTTCTATAATATTCAAAAAATAAAAAGAACAAACAGATCGACAAGCTTTCAATTGAAAATAGTTAGTAAAATTGAGTCATTAATTTATTTTTTGCATCATCTAGTTAAACATTTATTTCTAATGGCTTGCAAAAAAAAATTATATGTTTTATTATTTTTAATTGAATGTAGATTTCAGAATTTTTTGATACCAATTATCAGCACCATTTCCACTATGGAAATTAAGACGACTCTTCCTATATTGTAATATTCGGTAATATCTCATCATTCACAATTAAAATTCAATTATTTCATTTTATAACCACCAAATAAAAAAGCACTTACAATTAACTTGTAATATCTTTATCATTGATATCGTTGATTTGGATCTTTGTCAAATAAATAAACAGTAATCATAATCCACTGAAAATTATTCAAAGAATCGTAGACAGAATCACACACGGATGAGTTACCCTTCTTTGAGATATTGATTGTGGTTTAATATAAAGACTGTCCACATTAGCTAAGTTCAGTCCACAGGTTTCGCTCTGTGAATAAAAACAATGTATTCAAGGAGAAGCTGAAAATTTTGCAATAATCGCTGAAATATTCTAATGTACTGATATTAATTATGCTGTTGCAGCAGCAGCACAATCAATTCTGAAGACGGAGTATTGTAAATAATCAAATGCTGAAACAAGTCCTGATAAGAGAGTACACAAATTAGATCTCTGAACTTCCATGCAAAATGGAAACCAAAAGAGAAAGTAGCTCCAAAGCCCCAAAGCCCCAAAGCCCTGATAAACTAGCATATAGCCCTGTGCGGTTGCACATGACTAAGTGTGTTGAGGGTTGTTTTCACATCACTCACAACGACACTTCAGGAAAAAGCATTTTGTCATGTGACTCCGATAAAGCTGAGGAGCCTGTGCTCTGAAATTTGCACCATATTGGATGTAAGGTGGGTCGTCAGAGAAAAGCGCTTTGAGTTTTACAGGCTGATATATTGAAACTACACTGAAGATCCAGTTATCCAAGTATTGTATAATATTATAGGTATCAACGTCAATTAAAAATAATATCACAGAATGTTAATTCCAAAAGAAGACAGAAAGAAGATCCACTCATATCTTTTCCAAGGTACGTTTCTGATATTGCGAAATCAATAGTGGAGACTTGCTGAACTTATCAATTATCAATCATGAACACTTTGCAATAATTTAAAAAAAGAGAACTTCTTCAGATCGAAATATCACTATGAAAGTGTAACTACTTAAATGTATTAGCTTAAACAACTGTCTACTAGATATATCTTTGAAGTAGTTGAATCAATCGAAATGGATAGAATAATTGTTATTTTTTCAATTCTATTATAACCCATTATGTCAAATTGATAATTTGAACCATCAGTTTTATGTAATTGATCGGAAAAATCAATCAAACTAAAAGATGACATTGAAAAAAAATAGTATAAAAATAACAGTATAAAAAAACCACATTGGGTAGACTAATCTTTAATCATCAAAATTCAAAATTCAAACTTAAATTTTTATATATTTTATTGGTATAATTGCAAGTTTAGAAGTTTCCACTCTAATTATTTAAAATCTTATAGACATCATAGGATTTTAATAACTAACTTATTTTGTTGTATTTTATTTACTATAGAGGGTGTTGTTGTTGCCAAAAAAGATTTCAATCAACCAAAACACGAAGAAATTGATACCAAAAATCTTTATGTTATCAAAGCTTTACAATCTTTAACTTCCAAAGGTTACGTCAAAACACAATTTTCATGGCAATATTATTACTACACTTTAACTGATGAGGGTGTTGAATATTTACGTGAATGGTTACAACTTCCAGAAGGTATTTTACCATTGACTCACATTAAACAAGCTGTTCCTGAAAGACCAAATCAAAGAAGAAGAGGTGCTCCAAGAAGATTTGAAGGCCGTGGTCGTGAATAGATTAACTAATAAAATATATATTATTTAAATTCTATGTAATTTTTTGTTTTTTTTCCCAGTTTAAATAACTATAAATTTTATATTAATCTGAATTAAAACAACTGTATCGATTTATTAATCTACTAATTTACTTGCAGACTAATATATATCAAATCAATTGGTTGACCTGAGGTATCTCACTAATCACTGCAGTATTCCAGTATTAGTATTAAATAGTTGATCAGTCCAATCACATGGTTGTATTTTCTTCTATGCTTTTTTTCGACCTCAATCAAAACTTTCAAACCCTTCGTTTTCAATTTTTAGTTGAATCCAAATTTGGTATTTATTTGAATAGGTATTCAAATGTTTGAATTATATGTCTGGGGTTCAAATGGTCAAGTTTCAAAAATATCACCAGAATGCCTAGCCACTTGTATATATCTCAAATTATCAATAAAGGATAGCAATAAATTTACAGTTATAACTTCAAAGGACACTTCCTATTTCAAATTAATAGACTATGTTTTACCCTTTTTGATAGATACAACAAATAATAATAAAGTAATTGAAGGATACCATAACATAATCAAGTATATTAAAAAAATTAACATAAATTACGATTTAGATGATTGGTTAATTGAAGATGAATTTTCTAATTACCAAAAGAATGAAAATAATGAAAATAATGAAAATAATAAAATTAATAAAAATAATGAAAATCTTTTAAATAATCATAAAGGCACAAATTCATCAATAAGTGACGAGCTCTTAAATTTTGGATTAATCAGTATCATTAATGACAGTTTAAAAGTGATAAACTATTATTATTATTACATCAATGATGAAAATTATAATAACTATACTTGTTCGGTTTTCAAAGATGGATTGAGCTTTCCTTTAAATTTTTACTTGCCAAGTAGCTATAAAAAAATTGCTGAGGATTCAACTATAATAATTGATTTAAGCAATGACAAAAAAAATAAAGTAGAAGTTGAATTGGACAAAAGACTTGAAGAAGAATTAAACTTACCGAAATTAAGTTCTTTACATTCAGATTTATATGAAAAAAATCTAACTAAATTAAAGTTACTAAAAAAAACTAAAATTAACTTAAGATGTCTAAATTTGATTGAAAATTTTTTACAAGATATCGATATATATGAATCATATCACAATTTTGATAACAATACTCAAAAATCAAACTTTTTATTTGGAAACCAGATAACAAGCTCAGATATTTATTTAATTTCAAATATTATTTCATTGAATAATAAAGATTTGCCCGATAATTTTATACACAGCTATTTAAACTTGAAATATCCCAAATTGATACAGTTAGCCGAAAGTTTTGATAAAATTCACATATGATAAGTTTAAATTACCAATATTATTATAGGTGAAGAAAAGTAATTCATCGCAATAAATAGCATACTAATATAGTGGTTCTTTTACACAACTTTTGCATCCCCACATTGAAAAAACAATATAAAGAAATTAAACTGAAAGTTGATAAAAAAACGAAAAGAGTCTAGAAATTACCAATTGAAATTTGGAATGAATAGTTTACCACCTAAATACTTGGAAAAATTACCATATTGATGATATCATTCTTGATAAAGAGCTTTTTCTTTACACACTTGTAAAGCTTCTATATCCTTTTCGATGCAATCATATGGCGAAGAAATATCTGTTGAAGATGAAAAACCATAATCAATAAAATAGAATTTATTATTAAAAATAAAAATGTTTGAATTTTTTATACTATTATGATATATTTGCAATTGATGTAGCAACGAAATCTGTTGAAAGCCCTTTTTGAAATCTGATTTTGTAGCAGGTTTGCTATCACCTAAATACTGCATTGCTATATATATATAACCCACAGAATTCATAAAGGTGTTTGGAATTAATCATCAAACAACCAGTTTGATATATTTTTGGAATATTAATGATTTGAGAACTTTCACATTTCATATTGTGGTTTTTGATAACTTCATAAACATGTGTTTCCTTTTTGAACGAACTGACAAAGTTTAATTCTCTCTCCATTTTAATTTTTCGTATTCATCTTTGGATCTCGCATCGAATGGGTCAAATATCTTTATTATAATCTGTTCACTTTCTAGGGGAACAGTAGAGCTAAATGCAGCTAAAAATGATTTTTGGTTCATTGAGAGGACTTGGGTATTGTATTGTTTTCCAACCTGAATATCGTTAAACTCTAGATTGACCATCTCGATTTTGGATTCATCAAAAACTTGATTAAATTCTTTATAGTATGTCAAGCGAAAATTATTAAAATAACTTTTCCTTTCCCCCCCCCCCCAGCTTTCCATTATGACTGTATCATTTTTAGAAATTTTGTTATAGAAATCACTGATAATTTGTTGTTTTTTTAACTGAAGATTTGAATTCCAAAGGTCTTCAAAAATAAAAGCCAATATCATTGCTTTTAATTTTAATTGACTATTTTTAAAATCGATGATTTTATAAGTGATTGGGATTGCTCAAGGATCAGTGAATTCAGCACTGGTTTTGTTAAGTTTTTCAATATCTATCTGGATCAACATTGTAGTGAAATAATCTGTCAAGATTCATTTATAACATTTACCAGCAAGCATAGACGTTATTAGTTTTTGAAATATGAGATTCTCTTTAGATGTTTTGTTGTTTCCATATTTGACTTGTTTAACATCTTGATGGAGTTTAATAGTTGATTTATTAAACAGGTCAGTAACCAGTGGTAAAATGTTATACTTTTTAATTTCAATAGGAATTAATAAGTGGTTTTTGTTTTAGAATGATAAATCAGGCGTAACATAAAGTGATACTATTTTGCTTCAGATTTTCTTTTCAACATGAATTGGGTGTTGTGATTCTATTGTTATTTTTAACCGAAATAATTCTCTGAGAATTATACACATTGGATGAAGAACATATTCAAAAAAAGCCATTTGGTGATCCATTTTGGTGACTTTGTTTACTTCCAACATTGTGTAGTTTGATTCGGAGAAGTAGTTAGCAACAATAAACAAAAATCCTAATTGCAGCTTTGGTTCTCTATCGGTTCTACATTAATTTGTAAACTCACGCAACAAGTTCTCAAAGTAGGCATCATTTATTGCAGAAGACAATGCTGATGAGACTAGGTTTGGTAAAGTTTTCATTAATCTGTTGCTTCCACTTGTACTTTTTAAAATTGCAATTGAAATTGATTGGCTATCAATATTTTGTTCATCAAATTTGATTTCTAGATTTAATGGAGGGAATAATAAAAACATATTGATGATAGATTTAGAGTGTATATGGTCAAAAAAATACTCACAAATGTCATTATATTTTATATCTTTCTTTTTTTTATTTAGAAGAAATTCGTATTTCTGAAAATCAAATGATTGTATAATTTCTGGCTGTGTTTGTAAAAGTTGTAGGTTAAGAGGTTGACGTTGATGTTGATGATTGCTCATATTAATAAAATGTTCAGAAGTTTGTGTTAGTTGGAATTTGATGCTTTAAAGTGTTAATAATATGGATTCAATTTATAATCAATTGGAAATGAATTAGAAAACAAAACAGCAACAAAACGATTAGCGACAACTACACAATTAATATATTTATGCATAGTGTAGTGATTTGTTTGGTTTTAATATTTGTTTTACATTTTGTTTTTGCTTGTACAAAAAGAGAATTTTTTGAATTTATAAATTTATTAACGGTTTGGAAAAGCAAATTATCTAGCATTAAATTTGCTGTTTAATCAATGCAAATACATAAATGCATTAGCCAGTTTATATGAATTTGTTTGAATGACAGCTTGATGTCGATTATATACGGTTTTTAATTTAGATTTATTTTTGCTCACGAAATGTGAAATGATATTAGTCTAAATCATTTGAAATGTATTTTTTAGTGTTTGGTTCGCTGGTGAAAAATTCAACAATAAAAATAACAATCACAATTATATGAATTTCATTTGATTCCAAATGACAAATTGTTTAGTGCTAAACTGGCTGGAATTACAGATTGTATCAAGAAAAATATTTGGCGAATTGAAAAAAAAAGTAATTTTAAAACTGTTTGCGCCAATTAATATTGACATTTTTGTTTGGATTTATTTTTTTTGAAAACAATTTGGAGTTCACAATTTTTATTTGAAATAAAAATAAGGTAGGGAAATTGTTGAGAAATGGAAGATAAAATATCGGGTAGTTCCTTTTTGGGCAGACGATCATGTTATGAAATAGTTAGCGTTTACCTGCTCATCAAACTTGATTGAAAAGTGTTTTGGAATTTGTTCCTTGTCATTTTGGTTAAAAGTTCATTAAATTTATTTCAAGTTCAATGTTTTGGCTAACTACTTCATACAGTTTCATTTTATATATGTATGTTTGATATTAAACTGATTATTGATAGTTGTATAAGTGTGTGCTATTTTCCTTTATTAATTCAAACAATTGAAGTATTGATTTTTCAAAAGCTGAATCATGTTTTTGCACTTTATTTTTGGAGTCTTAAAGGGGCAGAGCTAGGAAAGACAAAATCGGTCGTACAATTTAATAATAAATAAATATATAATAAATTAATCAAATATGGAAACAAATAAAAAATAAAGTAATTAATATTATTATTGATTATAAAAATTGTAAATATTGATTATAGCAAATCTTTTTTTATTAATTTATATTTAATCGCTAATAAAATCAAGTGTTTTGATGTATTATTTTGTTATTTCAGAATATTTTGTTTTTATTTGATTTCAATTTTATGATTCATTAAATTAGGTTTCAATTTTTTTGTGTTTTTTTATGATATTCAAAAATATTAAATTTGTTCACACATATATTGAACACTGTCAAACAACAATTAAAGTATCATTAATTTGGACAAAATACATATAATTGGGAAAGTAAAATTTGATTATTGAGATAGTAGATAAGTAATCAAATCAAAAATATTAATATTGAAACAACTTATTTAATCATTTCAGAAAATTTTCAAACAAAAACAATTTAAAATGAGTGAAAAATGATATTATATTATTTTTTTTGATCTGCAGTTTATAATATTATTTGATATAAGCATCGGCTAAATTAAGAATTATACGCGTGATTACCGAGGTAATATTCTCATTAGTTTCAAGTTTAAAGCCGAGGATACATAGTATTAACTACAAATACATTTAGGTGCATAAGCCTGCATTTATATCAAATGCCTAATAACATCCTTCAATTTAAACAATTATTGAAATTTTTGTTTCATTTGAGTTTGGTAATAAATAATTTTAAAAACAATGATTTGATTTATTAAATTTTTTTATCATACTGGAAATTATGGGCTTTTATTGGAAAAAAATAGGTTGCTTTTCCACTATATATGGTTTTTTTCTTCTTTATTACTAGATTTTCAAAGGATAACCAGATATATATTTCTTAATTATGCTTTAATGTATTTAAGATTTCTTGAAGAATAAGTGAACCATCTAAAGATGAAGATTGATGAGGCTATTAATAAAAAATAATTTGATTTTTTTGATGATGTAGAGAAGGAAAAGTCGTTAATTCAATTTACTTCAGACCAACTGAAAAAATTTAAATTATTCAATTGTCTGCTGAAAAAGGAATTGATCATTCTAGGTTGATGTGGAAATTGATTTTTTTGTTGTTCCTCCCTTTGGTCTTTTATATTTTCTAACATTTTTCGACAAAGTTAATATTTCTAATGCTAAACCTTATGTAATAGCAACAGAATAAGACTTGAAAAATCATGAATATAATACTGCTTTGACTCTATATTTTGTTCCCTATAGTTTTTTTGAAATTTTCAGTAATCATGACTGAAGCTTGTTATACCGTATATATGGTTGTCTGTTTGAACTGCTTTATTTGCTGCCATTTCAATCGGTATGGGTTTCGCTCAAAATTTTTGAGATTTAGCTACATGTAGATTTCTATTTGGTCTTTTCGGGTTCAGATCATTTCCAGCTGTATTTTATATTTTGTTTAACTTCTACGTTAAATCAGAATTACAGTGTCGATTTTCTGTCTTTTTCGTTTTAGTTACTTTTCTTGCTGGTGTTGTGCTAGTGCTTTGGCTTATAAGTTCAAAGATTTTGATGGGATTTATGATTATCCCTCTCAGAGATAGATTTCTATAATTGAGGGTGAATTTACTTTTGGTTTAGGCTTTCTTTTTTTCTTTGGTTATACCAGATTTTACTGAAACAGGTAGATTTTAAATCCTAACAAATATGTCTTTCTTAAGAAAAACTTCGAAAATTACTTAGGAGATTCAGACCTAAAGATCAAATATACTCAATAGGATGTATTTCAAGATCCACTTCTTTGGTTAACTGCTCTCGTTTACTATGATTTGATTATTCCATCATATGAATATGCCCATTTTGCTACGTCTATTATTCAGAAATGTGCTTTGATTAGCAATTTGGCTCAGTGTTTTCTCGCTGCCTATGGGCTTTATTCTTTGATGCGAGTTTTAATTGGACTGCTCTCAATTATGGTGATGTGAGAGATAGGGTTCAATGTACTTGCAAACATCTGCATTGTTCCACTTTTCTCATTTACTACCACTGCGGTGGCACTATATTTACAAGGATCCTTATGTACATGGCAATTCCTTCATTAGGATTAAATAAACAAGCTTCCTTCACTCCTATAATCAGATACACTGTTTACTAATCACAGGTGGTTACGTTAGAAAATCGGTTGGTACAGCAAATAGGCTCTGGTAACATCGGTAGGATTATTGCTACTTTTATCTTTCTTGCTAAAGATGCCCACGTTATGTTAAAGGTTTGGGTTTAAGTATTGTGTTTACGTTTTTTGCTATGGTTTCTATGGCGTTATATGGGATTAGGCTATGAAGCGAAAATAAGAAGAAAGGCATCTATCAGTATCAAACTAAATTATTATGCATCCGAACAAATGTAATGATACTTGTCAATTGGTGCTAAATTCTACCATTATCAAAACACTACGCGATAGTTATTTTGATGATTTACTGAATACTGGTTTCTTTTATTTTCAATCTTATTTTTAAAGAATCGGTCTCGTTCTGGAGTTAGAAGTTGGTGGTTTAAAAATAATTTATATATCTTTTAGCACATATAGGATAATTTGCAGCGGATACTGATTAGTGTAAACCTTTTTTGACCTTACAAATAACATCGTGCTTATTGGACTATAACCTTTTTTAGTTTCTCCTTTGATTACCATATGACAAATATTTTAACCAGTTAATGCTTTGATGAAACTAATTGATAAATATTTTATGACAATAGAAGCTGAATTTTTTCAAAGCAATGGACTCAACATATAATTATTTGGCGGACAGAGCTTTGGATCTTCTTGGTTCAAACTCAAGGGTTTTAATCTTGTTGATAGGAATCCCCGGCTCTGGAAAGTCCACGCTAGCTAAAAATGTTGTTGATATACTCAACTCAAGATTTGAAAAGCATAATGAACTTCAAAATCAAAAAGTAAATTTCCAACAAAGCGAACATAATTCAGGATCCTTTCAAGAAAATAAATTGGTAACTGGTGATTTTGTTAGCAAGCTAGAGGACTTTAACAGCAACTCTGAAATTCCTTTGGAAGATGAATATTATGTACCAAAAAAAATAAAAAAAAAAAATGAAATAATTATAAGTGGGAGATGTGAGGACAATTCAATTAAATTAGTTTATCCAAAATTTAGTAGTAAACACACTTCTAATGATTTTGCTCAAATAGTTCCAATGGATGGTTTTCATTTGTCAAGAAAAGTCTTAAAACAATTCAAAGACCCGGACAGGGCTATTTTGAGAAGAGGATCGCCCTTTACTTTTGATTCTAAAATGGTTGCTACTTTGATAAAATTATTGGCTTCTACATGCACTAGGAAGACGCTGAACCCCCCAATAGATAAATTTCAGTTGATTGATGGATCAATAACAGGAATTCCCGATATTTACGTTCCAAATTTTATTCATGAATTAAAAGACCCGACACCATTTGGAATTCCAATTAAATCAACAGCAAAGATTTTGATCATAGAAGGATTGTATCTTTTATTAAACCAAGGGCCATGGAAGAGTATTTATTATTCGCTAAGCAGAAATCATGAAATCTGTTATGAAATTTGGAAAATTGAAGTTGAATTTAATGTGGCCAGAGAGAGAGTGGCCAAAAGACATTACGAATCTGGTGGAAGCACCACTACTGAAGAGGGTTATGAGAGATTTGATATAAACGATAGGCCAAATGGGAAATTAGTCGAATTTAATAGTTTTAGCGCTGATCATTACATACAAAGTATTTAGAAAGCATTTTTTCAACGGAGAAATAGAATAGAAATAGAAATAGAAATAGAAAGTAAAAACAAAAATAAAAATCTAGACAATGCAATGAAAATGATCTCTACCTTTATTGATGCCATCTGTGACGATTTTGGAAATTTCATCGGGATCACTTGTAATTCCTGTTAAATTTTCATGGCCATTTTCTGTGACTAAGATATCGTCTTCAATTCTTACACCACCAATATAATAATAATTTTCTAGAACAGACTGATCAATTTTCTGCGCGATTTTTTCATCTTTTAGAGCATTATCAATTAAAAATGGAGAAAAGTAAATCCCTGGTTCATCAGTCACTACCATTCCAGCTAGCAATTTTCTTCGTAATCTTAAATAACGTAATTTTGGGTCAGGATCCTGATAGTTGGGATTGCCACCTACATCATGAGTAGAAAGACCTAATAAATGACCTAGGCCATGAGGAAAAAAACAAACTGAGGCATTTGAATCAAAAATTTCTTGAGAAGAGAATTTTTTTTTGAATATACCCAATTTTAAGAAACTATCAATCAATACTCTATGAGCTAATAGGTGTAAATCGTCCCATAATACACCAGGTTTTATTTGTTTTAAAACAGTTTTTTGCATTTTCAAAACGATATCATAAATTTGACGATGTTCTTTTGACCATATTCCATTAATTGGGAAACATCTTGTAACATCAGCAGCGTAATTTTGCCATTCAGCACCGGCATCAATTAAAACTGAATTTTTGTTGGATAAAGTATCGTCGTTTTTAATATAATGTAAAGTGCCACAATTTGGACCAGAGCAACATATTGGATCGTAAGCTTGAAATTTTGAGCCTTGTCTAATTGAGTGATAAATGAACTCTGCGTGAATATGAGTTTCATTTTTTTCAATTGGTAAAGCAGACATCACAGCTAAATGAGAGTTGTCGGTGATTTTTGCAGCAATTTTCATCAAGGAGATTTCATAATCATCTTTGATCAATCTTGATTCAGATAAGGCATAATTTAGATCATCATCAGATTGCTTTAAGAAAAAGTACTTGTAAGGGTTATTCCACTCAGATCTATAATTAGTGATAGCTATTTTATGATTTTTGTTTAAATTATGAAAATAATCATATAGTTTGTTTGTGTAATGAACGTCGTCAACATCAAATTTCTGTAAAGCCTGTTCAGGTAGCAAGGGCATACCAGACCACATAACATCGTCATTATCGATATTGGGCAAAAACAAAGATAATTTTGAGGATTGAACGTCGTAAATTAGATGGGAATTAGGAATATTGCACCCAGATAAATAGAAAAAATCTCTATCTTGTCTAAATACTTGTTCTTGATCAGAATGGGGATATAATTTTGAGCCTTCACCACTTAAAAATATAACAATCGTTGATGGATCAAGGCTCGTTTTCGATAATAAATTTTTTTTCACATTCTCGCAATGAAGCTTAGCAGGGTATTTTCTGTATGTCAATTCTTCTGGACTCGACATTAGGCTCTTGCAATAATTTTTTTGTTAGAAGATAGTAAAAACAATTTCTTTAGGGAAACAAAGAAATCCACAGAAAAGTTCTATTTAAATACATCTGAGTTCATTTAGGCTAACCTTTTACTGGAAGAGTAAGGTGTTGTGTCATATGATCATTCCGTAATTTAACAACAAAGTTTGGTACCAACATATAGTTCTTTTGTTCGATATAATTATATATATATTATAGATATATCATATAAAATCCTAAAAGTGATATTATATTCTCATCTGATTGAAAAAAAAGCGATAGAATGGTGGGAAGTCAGAATTCAAACCATCAAGACTTCACCTTCGTTGTCCACTAAAGAATTGAGAAAACAATTTTTTTTCGCTGTCTTCAAAAGGTCAATATCCCTTTTTTCTAGTGACTGTACCTCTTGTCTTTCATTTTGTTTTAGAACCTTCTTCTGATACTTCACCAAATCCAGTCCTGCTGCTCCATTAGCTTCCTCTTGTGAATATGGTATATCCTTTAGCTGTTTCAAACGTCTTTTGTGCACTTTGGACTTTGTGTGATGAACCAATGCATGACCGCTCTCAAAATACTTGCTACATTCAACACAGTAATGCTGTCCTAGCCCTGGTTTGTCTTCCTGGATAGGTTGATTCTTCAAGTGCAACACAGACTCTTTGTTTCCCAAGTCCTCCCATATCAAATCCAAGTCCCTTGTACGACGCTTGGTCTTGTACTTCATCACTGTAAGTTTTCCCATCACAGCCTCTGACACTTCTACCTATAACAGCCTTATTGCACAGCTTTGGTAAAGTGCTGAAAAGCTCTTCAGATACAAATTAAACTTGAAGCAATTGGTCTCCACTGGTCTTCACGTGACAACATGGCCTCTTTCCCTTGAAATGATAATAACTCTAACCAAAATTTTGAAGCAGTATCCTTCTGGTTTATTCCTATTAATTACAAGATTTTTCTCTCTATTTTTTTTTGTTCAAGGTTTTTTTTTCAAGGACCTTAAAAAACAATCTGCCGATTTTGCTACTTTTGCTGTTTCTCTGTGATACTCACCAAGCATTTTTCTGTTTCTTATTGAATTAACTTTCTGCTAAAGATTCATTGACCGAAATTATTTGGTAAAACGATTTTGTTTCCCTAGCTTCGTCCAAATTGGATCACATTTAATTTAATAAAATTACAAATATTATAGCTTTGCTCAAGATGTGTTTAAGAACTCTGTCATCTTATGATCTTGAATTTAAATTATCCTACTGTCCTACTTTTGCTAAAGTATCAACCAAGTTAAAGCCCAATATTGAATTGAAACTAAAGGATAACTCCGATGCAAAATCCAGCCGTGATTTTATTGTGGTTGTTGCCTTAGAAAGTGCTTCCTCAGATGATAATTCTCCAAAGAGTCTTTCTAATGCTTTAGAAGGTGTTACTGTTGAACCCGGTAAGTATGTTACCGGTCAAAACACCTATAATTTCACTTTTAAAAACTTATTAATTAATGAAACTGGTGTTTATAAGTTAATTTTTGAACTAAATGAATTTTGTCCTTTTTGTTTTTCAGATGGAGAGAAATTCCGAAACCTATCAAGAATTAAAAGCAATCCAATTGATATAAATATTGCTTCTGCTTCTGCTCCTCGTTCTAAATTCAAATTCAAATCCAAATCTCCTAAATCTACTCGTAAATCTGCTCCTAAATATACCTCTGAATCTACTTCTGCTTCTATTTTCTCTGATTCTGCTTTGAATTGTGCTTCTGAATATACTTTAAGCGTAACTCCTAAAATTGATTCTAATACTAACAATAATATTGATATTCCTTCTAATCGGTTCTCAACCTTTAACAATTCTTATGATGATGATTTTTATCTGAATAATTATCAATTTGATTCATCTTTTCTTGAAAATTTCAACTATCTCATTAATATCAACTCTCTGTCAAATGAGAGTAATGATGGTTTAGTTGTTTTAAATGAAAACAATCGCTTTTTCTCATGGTTTATATAAAACAAATTAGACTTGTGATTAAATTTTTAAATGGTTTTCTTTTTCTTTTTTTTGTTATTTATCACTTCTTGATTGTCCTTTTTTTAATCCCTATAATTTGGCAAATCTTTCTAATGTTATATTATCATTTTTTGTGTTTTCTTTGGTACTGTTTTTAATTCTTTGATTTGTGAATTGCACATTTACATTTACATTTACATTTACATTTACATTTACGTTTACGTTTACGTTCATATTCATATATATATATATATGAATCTATGATTTTAATTTCTCTGATTTTTTTTATTAAAAAACTTTTGTTTTTATAAATTGAATTAATTCTGTATCTATATAATAATTTTTAATACTTTTATCAACTTAGCATCATAGATGTAGTTTAAACAGAAATAAAACAACACAATCTCATCTGCACGTGACATTTCACAATTTAAAGTTTATTTCAATTCTTTAATTCGATACTTGATTTTTCTTATAGCTAATAGGTTTAATGATTAATTTATTAATTTGAATATTATTGTTATTGTTATTGATTATTGATTATTGATTATTAACAGAGACCATGCATGTTTTATTAACAAATGATGATGGGCCATTAAATGATGTTACATCTCCTTATATCAGGCATTTTGTTAATGCTATTGAAAAACATACAGACTGGGATTTAAGTATAGTCTTACCTAATGTTCAAAGGTCATGGATTGGGAAAGCACATTTTGCTGGAAAGGAGCTAACAGCCTCATTTATATATCCAACAAAGGAAAATAATAATTCGTATAATGGGCCATTTGCTATGCCAGATCCCAATTTAAGAAGAGAATTGAAAGAATGGGCGTTAATTGATGGGACTCCTGCTTCGTGTGCTGATATTGGAATTTATCATTTGTATAAGGAGAAAGGGCCGGTGGATTTAGTTTTATCGGGGCCTAATTTTGGTAGAAATACCACGTCGTCATATATAATGACCAGTGGAACAGTTGGAGCAGCGATTGAAGCATCGTTACAAAATAAGAAAGCAATTGGAATCTCATTTGGATTTTTCACCAAGAAAACAGATCCTAGCATAATACAAGAGGCTTGCAGAATTGGAGTGAAGATTGTTGACCATCTTTATAAGAATTGGCCCAATGATAATTCAATCGAGTTGTACACAATTAATATTCCGTTAGTTGAAACGTTATCGTTGGAGACAACCAAAATTATTTACACCTCAATTCTACAAAACAAGTGGGTTTCATTGTTCAAAAGCCATCACTACGATAATTCGAACAGCCATAAACATATAAATAATCGTGATGATAATAGTCCAGACAGCGAAACAGTGGACATTGTTGATACCAGTATAACCAATCAGTTGCAATTCAAATGGAGCCCCAATTTCAGCTATGTCCACGAAACCATCTTGAATTCTGAGGGAGCCAACGATGGCCAGGTTGTGAACGAAGGAAACATATCGGTTACGCCGCTCAGAGCTATTTATGCGGAGGTTCCCATGGAGGGGGAAATCAAGCTCGACTAGAAACGTAAACAGTCAGGGACAAGCATCTGCACCAGACGAGTGCAATTGAAGCACCCAAACGGTAGCACTGCTGATCAGGGATGGCCTCTGGGGCTTCTGTTTCTTGTGTGTTGCTTGTGTATTTCTTAATTCTTCCTCACTCGTCTTAACTCTCTCTCTTATCCCAGCATCTCCATCATCATCCGCGCCTGTGCCGCGTCCCACCGGCGCTTGGCCTGCTCGGCCTGTGTTTGATCGGCTTAGTAATCGCTAGGCCCCGCTTAGCGTCCGGAGCGGCGCTGCTTCTTGCCCATAGTCTTTGCCCGTAGCAGCGCTGCCGGACAGCACCTACAGACACCAAACAAAAGCACTGCCTGGACTTGGGCCGTGCTCAGCTCTCGGTGGTTTGCTACTGCCGTTTTGGGCGGAGCTGTGTGCAAACTAGAAAACGACTCAGAGCACCAACTTCGCTTGCTGGTATGAATTATGTCCTCTTCTGTCGAAAGAGATAATATGAAACTGGAAATGGATTCAATTGCTCACCAAAATTCAATTCCTCTCTCTTGTCGACTACGCTACTTCCCTTCTGTCTTTGCTGCTATTTCTATCCTCCTTATCCTCCTTGTGTTGCCTGTTCTGCCTCAACTCTCTATTCGCCCTGTCCTAGCCTGCTATTCATCAAATCCTACAAGCTTCTTCGAACTTGTTCTAAACTTTAGACAGGTCTTCCCCAGTGTACAATATATATAACCTTTTTCTCCTTGGTATTTGAAAAATTCCAATCTTTCTAATTATCTTTGTCAAGTCAACCAATTTTTAAATTGAGTATACACATAATTGAGAGTTATTACCAAGACTCAAAGCACATCTACAAATCGGCTTACACATTCAACTCAGCTCTCATTATTCATATCTGGAAATGGCTGAGACTGCTCCTCTCCTATCTTTTCATTCCAATGGTTATAACCATGGCTCTACAAAACCTTCTTCTTTTATCCATTCGGTCTATCTGATTACCAAAATAACTTTACTTTCTTCCCCTGTCAATATCCTACTTTTTTTCGTTCCTCTAGGTATAATTGCAGGTATTTTGGATTGGAACTCAACTGTCGTCTTTTCTTTAAATTTTTTTGCAATTGTTCCTTTAGCTGCCATCTTATCCTTTGCAACTGAAGAATTGGCCTCAAATGTTGGTGAAACCGTTGGTGGATTACTTAATGCAACTTTTGGTAATGCTGTTGAATTAATTGTTTCCATAATTGCTCTAAAAGAAAACCAGATCAGAATTGTTCAAGCCTCCATGCTAGGAAGTATCCTTTCAAATCTTTTACTAGTCTTGGGTTGCTGCTTCATTGCCGGTGGTTATAATAGATCAATTCAGAAATTTAACATGACAATTGCTCAAACAATGTCCTCCCTAATGGCTTTGGCTTGTGTTTCCCTATTAATCCCAGCTGCTTTCAATGCCGGTATGAAAGGCGATGACTATCACTCATCTCCAGAAGACCCAAGTCCCGAAGTATTAGCTTTGTCAAGAGGCACTTCCATTATCCTTTTAATCATTTACATTCTTTACCTCTTTTTCCAATTATACACCCACAAAAATGTCTTTGAAGAATCTGATGATTCCCCTGATCACACAGATATCAGATCTTCTCATGGTTCTGTCAGATCATTTGCCACTAACTCTTCCGAAACTTTATCCCCATTAGCCAGTGTCACTGTTTTGATCCTCTCAACGGTCTTGGTCTCATTTTGTGCCGATTACTTGGTTTCGTCTATCGATGATTTGGTCGAGCAAAGTGGTTTGTCAAAGACGTTTATCGGTTTGATCGTTATCCCTATTGTTGGTAATGCTGCTGAACATGTCACTGCTGTGGTCGTAGCCGTTAAAGATAAAATGGACTTGGCCGTTGGTGTTGCAGTTGGAAGTTCCATGCAAATTGCCTTGTTTGTCACTCCCTTCATGGTCTTAATTGGCTGGATCCTTAATATTCCTATGAGTTTATACTTTTCAACTTTTGAAACTGCTGTCTTATTTGTCTCAGTTTTAATCACAAATTACTTAATCATGGATGGTGAAAGTAACTGGTTGGAAGGTGTCATGTTACTTGGTACTTACTTTATTGTTGCTTTAGCTTTCTTTTACTATCCTTAATCTATTATTTTTTTTTCTTTCTAAATTATTATTTCTTGTTCCAAACCCAATAAGTAAATTAACAATCTAAAAAAAAAAATAAGAAAAAAAAAAAAAAAAAAAAAAAAAAAAAATAATTAAAAAATAATAAAAACTGAAAAAAAAATTTATTTAAATCTTCTTAAATACTTATCCTCCATTCCTTTTCCAACTTTTTAAATTGTCTTTTATACTTGTTTGTTTTATATTTCGAATTTTAGCCAATCAAACGTAAATTACTGTTAACTTTTATAAATTTATGTACAATATTATTACTATTACTTTTTTATTACTTTTTCTGCTTTTTGTAATTTTTTAATAAAAAAATTAATTAATGTATTTACATTTTCTTAAAACAAAGAGATGCATTAACACCACCAAACCCAAAACTATTATTTAAAGCATACTTGATATCTCTTTTAATAGCCTGATTTGGAACATAATTGAAGATAAAATCACTCTTATTATCGCCATCAGCTTCTCCCACATTGTTTAAATTTAATGTGGGTGGTAAAACCCCTTCTGACAACGCTAATAAAGTGAAAATTGATTCAACAGTTCCTGCTGCTCCCAATAAATGTCCAGTTGAACTCTTAGTACTTGAAACAAATAACTCATTTTTTTTAAATCCAAACAATGACTTTATAGCAAGATTCTCAGCTCTGTCACCCAATTGAGTTGATGTCGCATGAGCATTTATATAATCAATCTTTTCAGGACTATCCGAGATTCCTGCTGTTCTTAATGCAGATAACATAGCCCTTCTTGCTCCATCGCCGTTTGGATCTGGTGCAGTTATATGATATCCATCTCCACTTAATCCATATCCAATTACTTCACCATATATTTTATTTGCTCCTCTTTTTATCGCATGTTCCAATTCTTCTAAAATCACAATACCTGCTCCTTCTCCTAATACAAACCCACTTCTATCTTTATCAAAGGGTCTTGAAGATTTTTCAGGCTGATCATTATATGTTGTTACCAACGACTTGGCTCTAGCAAAACCGGAAATTGCTACTGGATGAACCAATGCTTCAGTTGCACCAGCTATCATAACATCACAATATCCATCTTTAATAAATCTCATTGCGTCTCCTATGGCGTTACACCCTGTAGCGCAGGCAGTAGAAACAGAGTGAATTGGTCCTTTAAACCCGTAGTTAATAGAAATTGCACCAGATGCCATGTTATTCAATAACCTAGGGACAAACAATGGCTGGACTTTTCGATAGCCATTTAGATTGAAATCAACTGAATTTTTGTAAACATCTTCAAAACTCCCTATAGAAGATCCAACTGCAACTCCAGTGTTGAGCAATGATTTTTCGTCGAGATCTTCTAACCAATTGGCATCTTTCAAGGCTTCTTCTGCAGCTACTAATGCATATTGGGAAAACAAACCTGTTCTTCTGAAATCTTTAATCGCATCTTTGTGCTCTTTTGCATTCCATTTTCCATCAGCAATTGATCCTGCTGGAACTTTTCCAACGACCTGACTGGGTATGCTTTCAAACTGAGCTCTTTCTATATCCGTCAAATTTTCAATGGTCAAAGTCGATATGATACCACTTTTTCCACTTATCAAGTTCGACCATGACTGTTGAACACCCACTCCAACTGGAGTCACCAAACCCAACCCAGTAACAACGACTCTTCTTGCTGCCATCTTTCTGTGTGGTGGTTGCTGGTTCTCATTCACTACCTTTGAAATTTAACTTATCAACTTCGACCTATTTCCATTCTACGACCACCCGAACGGATCATTTTTCAGTCGCACATCGAAACCCCAACATTGAACAATTCTTTTGTAGCATTCTCACAATCAACTGTTGCTTCGGTGGTTTCACTTGGGTTGTACAAGCTATGGTCTATTTCATCTTGTTATCAATGTTCGATGAATCCTGAACACAAATCTGGCTTGACCAATCGAATTCCACGAAGATTTTATCTGAAGCCTTATCTTTTGGAAATAAGTCTTGTACTATCATCCTAGAAGCTTGCACTTTAGAGTTATTGCCATGATAATTGAATATCATTGACAATCTTCAAAAAGAAGTGCTGTATGAACCGGTTTATCTGTATTCTATCGTCTACCTGAATATTTTCCTTAGATTTTTTTGCCTCTTATCTGAAAAATTATGTGTCAAATCTTCTGTTTTGAACGATCGGATGTCTTTTTAAACAGATAGTGGAAAAAAAATGATAAATAAATTAAAAAAATGAAAATGATTTAGGAAATTAAGTTCCTAAATAGAACTAATAAGATTAATTTTGGTTTTTGGTTTTATCTTGGATAATACCTAGTTAAACACTAAACACAGGAATAAGATTTTTGACATTCAAGGCTCTTAATCATGCATTAAAGTTCTTATCTTCTTCTATATATTTATTTGGCATTGATTTAAGAAATTACGTAAAAATCATAATTTTAAAATTTAGCCTTATGACCATAATCGAATTCCTATTTTTTTCCTCTATTATCACGATGTATATTAAACCCAAAAAATGTCTTTTATTTTTTACTAATAGTTATTTCGGGAAATTCATTATTGAAAATTGGTAACTAGAAGTACCTTTTAATGAGATTTTTAAAAGAAAATAAGATTATGAGTTGACAATTAATAATAACTAATGATTAGACTTTATCAATCCGGATTATAAATACTTTCAAACCTGTTTATCCTATGATTTTATAAGTTTATTTTTTTTTAACAATTCAAGCAATAACTATTTGTTTTTTTGCAAATTTTATATTGTGATTTGGATATTAATGGAAAAAAAAGCAAAGAATTTTCACTTCAGGCAGTAAGATCAACTGCAACAGGTGAAATAATAACTCAATTATCACCTATTCGTTCACCTCTAGAACAAAAAATTATCAATACAAGATCTCATAAAAATGACGATAATGCACTTTTAGCTGATATTGGCTATAGACCAGAATTAAGAAGATATTTTACGACTCTTCAGGTTTTTGGTATTGCATTTTCTATTATGGGATCATTACCTTCCATTGCATCTGTTTTGGGATTAGCATTAGCTGGTGGAATGGTTGGATTTGTTTGGGGATGGATTGTTGCTTCATTTTTTATTTTGTTGATTGGCATCAGTATGGCAGAATTGGGTAGTGCAATTCCAACCAGCGGTGGATTATATTATTGGACTTATCATTACGCTCCACAATCTGTTAAAATACCATTAAGTTTTCTTGTTGGAAATACTAACAGTATTGCATTAACTGGTGCACTTTGTTCTGTTGATTATGGGTTAGCAAACGAGATATTATCAGTAGTTGTGATCAATTCAGATGGAACTTTTGAAATAACTTCTGCTAAAACATATGGTGTTTACGTTGCTTGTGTAATTTCCCATATTTTTATCACTTGTTTGGCATCAAGTATGGTTTCAAGATTGCAAAATTTTCTATTGTTTGTAATGTTTGCTTAGTTGTTTTATTTATTATTGCATTACCAGTTGGAGTTTCAAACTCAGGTAGAAGCTTTAATGGTGTCAAGTATATATTTTGAAATTTTGAAAATTTATCAGATTGGTCAATTGGTTAGCAATTTATGCTTTGTTGGATGCCAGATATTTGGGTTATTGGGGCATTTGATAGTACAATCCATCAATCTGAAGAGGCTAAGAATGCAACCAAAGCAGTTCCAATTGGGATCATTGGATCTATTTCTGTATGTGGTATTTTAGGTTGGATTATTTGTATTGTTATTGCAGCCTGTGTTGATAGAGATCTTGAAGTAATTGTTGAAACATCATTTGGTCAACCTATGGCTCAAATTGTTTATGATATATTGGGTAAAAAATGGGCAGTTGCGATTATGGTGTTAATTGCATTTTGTCAATGGTTGATGGGAGCTTCTATTCTAACAGCAATCTCCAGACAAATTTGGGCATTTTCAAGAGATAATGGATTACCATCGTGCGATATTATTAAAGTTGTTAATAAGAAATGGTCAGTTCCGATTAGAGTAGTGTGGTTTGGTGGTATATTGGCGATAATTATGGGATTATTGTGTTTAATTGGAACTACAGCTGCAAATGCTCTTTTTACATTGTATGTGTGTGGTAATTATTTTGCGTGGGGAACACCCATTTTCTTGAGAATGGTTTATGGTAAAGATATATTTAAACCGGGTCCATTTTATACAGGTGATGTTTTATCACCTATCATTAACTGGATTGCAATTGTGTTTATAGTCTTTACAATGATATTGGCTATGTTTCCATCATCTAAAATCGTGGATAAAGAAACCATGAATTATACAGTTGTTATAACATGCGGTACATGGATTTTATCAATATTTATTATTATGCTTATTCCCATAAAATTTATTTTGGGCCAAGAAAGACAATTAACGAAGTTGATAATATATCTGAGGAAGAAGAATTAAGTGAACCTGGTATGACAGTTGAGAAAGTGAAAGTTGAAGCCTAATCAGTTTCTCTTTTTTTTTTTTTGTTTTATTTTATAAAATTTTATATCTTTGTATTTATAATAGATTTGTATTAGAGTAATTATTCTATTTGCGGACTAAAAAATAAATAAATTATTAAAATGCCTAAAGTGATGAATAGTCTTTTTCTATGAAATGATTGAGTTTAATATGTAATCAAAAAAATTCAAAATATTATAGTTTTTAGAGTCTGTAAACGACAAGATGAATTTTAAGCAACGACTAATAGCTCTTTAAACTGATTGTAATCAACTTCCTTAGCATTCTTTAATTCAGAGTCTAGTAAGATTTGATCGATTTCTTCTATTGTCAATGTTTCACCAATTGAAGATAAAACGTGTTTTAAATCTTTGATTGAAATTTTGTTATTGGCATTTGCAAAAGTAGAAAAAAAGTGGTCAATATGAGCATTAAATTGAATCTCTAGTTGGTCGTTATCAGCATTGTTGTTTGTTGTAGCCTGTTTGGCCATTATTGTCAAGAATTCAGGAAAATCAATGTTGTTTTCTGTGGCACTGATGTTTAGTTCGTTTATCATTAGATTCAAGTCTTTTTCAGTCAAATTCTGGCCTAGCGATCTAATAACAGTGCCCAATTCCTTTCTTGTGATCTTGCCATCGTTGTTTGTGTCAAACAAGGAGAAAGCTTCTTGGAACTCAGTTATTTGTTTTTCAGACAACTTGTCAGCCATTGGAAACAGGGAGAGAAAGAGAGAGAGTAGTGGTGCTGGAGAGGAAAACTGTGAATAGCCTGGTGATAGAAGAAAAGAGTGGTGTCAACTCAGGGCAGATCTCAGCTCTTTTCTACCCGTTTGGTGGAAATAAGACCCAGGCCCAAAAGACTGGACTATTTGATGGGGAGCTCTTTCGGTCTGGAGCTGAGGAACTGAGGAAGAGCTGTAGGAGCTGTAGTGGAGTTGTAGTAGAGTTGGTGCTTTGTACTAATGCTTTGTGGTTGAATCGTTCCATGGCTTGTGAAGGAGCTTCAGAGCAGCTTATCGACGAGCTTCTCGATGGTGGAAAGCTCTGCTATGGCGAGATTCTGCTTCATAACCTAATTCACTTTTGGTCTGATTCATTCGGATTCTCAGGTAATGAAACTGTTTTGTTGTAGATAAACTGTCTCAGAAATCGTTCAAATCAGATCTTAGCGAGTATTTGATAATCGCAATTTTTTTTGCCTGCCTGCCTGCTTGCCTGATATTACTCCATTCATTCATTCATGCAAAACACACTCAATATAAAGACCATTTTGTTAGATTCCATAAATTAAAACGTCTTAATATACACTCGGTTATTCTCTAATAACGATGCTTTTTGATATCATTTCAACAGTTCGCCAATACTGCTCTCCCAAACTAATAGAGTTTGTTCCTTCCAAGCAAGATGGGCTTGATAGTGATGTCGATTCCGGTGCAATAACATTAAAGTCGTTGATTGATAAGAATATACCAGAGTTGAGAGATAAGAACTATTTTTTGATGAATCCATTATTGACTAATGGGCATTTTCAAACCTCATATGCTGGGCTTCAACATTTCGAGAATATCGATAAGGTGTATTATAAAAGAAAAATTTTGAATTATCCCGATGGAGGAATTGGAGCAATAGATTTTGTTGACGTTAAATTAACTCAAAAGAGATCCAGTAACTCAAGTGATGAGATAAATTTTCTCAAGATATCCGAAACAGATCCTATTATCAAGACATATAAGAATAAGTACGATCTTGGGAAATTGCCTCCAAGAACTAGATATTTAACCAGAGAAGAGATTAAAAAATTGAACACAAATGACAACAATCCATTACTAGTTATTCTACATGGGTTAGCTGGTGGTTCACACGAAGCGTATGTTCGTTGTTTAATTCAAGAGATTACATCAAAGGACTACAAATTCGATGCAGTTGTATTGAATGCTAGAGGATGTTCGAATTCCAAGATCGTTACACCCAGAATGTTTAATGGGGTTTGGACTGATGATTTAAGGTGTCTTTTGAGCTATTTAAAAAAGATTTATCCCAACAAGCCATTATACGGAATTGGGTTTTCATTGGGAGCATCGATGTTGGCGAATTATTTAGGGCAAGAAAGTGAAGAATCCAAATTTACAGCAGCTTGTGTATTGTGCAATCCATGGGATATGTATCAATCCTCATGTTATATGCATTCGTCGAGTAATCATATTGGACGAGAAATCTATTCCACAGTGATGACCAAGGGATTGAAAAAACTATTGGAGAATAACATTGACGCAATTTCGAAAAACGAGTTGGTTCAAAAGACGTTGAATATGAATTTCAACACGAGTGATTTAAAAGGTGTTATTAAAGATAAAAACAAGATCAAGTACTTGTATGATTTTGATGACAATTTCACATCAGTTATGTTTGGGTTTAATAATGCAAATGAGTATTATAGAAATGGGTCGTCAATATTAAGAATACCTAAGATTCGTACTCCGTTGTTGATTATCAATGCAAAGGACGATCCAATTGTTGGAGATAAAGCCATTCCTCGAAAGGAGGTGGTTAAGAATCCATATATTGTGTTGTGTGTTAGTGATTATGGAGGACATTTGGGATGGTTTACAATGGGCAATAAAAGATGGTATGCAAAACCTGTTTCCAATTTTTTCAAGAGATTTCATGAGGATATCTATTTAAAAAAGTTAGAGATTAAAGCAGATGAGAGATTTATGCCAAATCCAAGATATTTCGATGGTAGTAAATTAATAATGCCCGATTCGTTTAGTGAAATGAAACTTAAAGAGAATCTAAATGAAATTGAGAGTGGGAAAAGTGATAAAGAAGATCAAAATCAAGAGGGACAAGACAATGAGGAAGAAGATGATGATGATGAGAATAATAGAAGTAATGGGAATGAGAAAGTAGAAAATTATTTGCAGCCAGATTTATCAGTCAAGATCAAATCCAAATTATGAAATCGTTAATATTATTTTAGATTTATTATTTCACAAAGTTATTTTCTTTTTGTCAGTTTATAGATAGTTTAAAAAACATAATATATAAAAGTTGTGATTTGAATTTCAGTATCGATTTTTCCGCTGTTTTTTTTGTGATTTGTTTTTTTTTGTGATTTGTTTCTTTTTATTGTCAAGTTTCTTTTGAGTAGCTATAGATAAGAAGAAAATTTTGGTAGAGCAAAAAGTTGTTTTTTCTCCTTTTTTATTGTTTCTGATTTGATTTGAATTTCTTTTTTTTGATTGATAATTTCCATAAAAAACAAAACTGGTAGATGAATTGAGTAATTTTGATATATCCAATTAGTTGACTCATTTGGCCATGTTTAAATAAATTCAATCGGATATAATTCAGAGTCTTTATTATATTGTATTGTGTTGTATTATTTAATATGATATAATATAATATATGAAATGAAATCAGTGAAGTAAGAGAATTTTAGATTGATTATCGATCTCGATTGATTTTCAAAAATTTTGGTTTTGAATTTGCTCTTGTTACTTTCTTATAACGTTTTTTTTTTTTTTTTTTTTCTTTACAAATTCCCTGCAAATTTTATACATCTTTTTCTTACAAGATGGTTAGATTTGGATGAAAATTTTGGATTTCATAATTTATAATTTTTTTTGAAATCATTAGAATATTGTAATGATTCTGATAACGTAAAAGAACTAATTAGGATTTGCAACGTGAATCCGATTTCTTTGTTGAACCATCAAAATCGTTGCAAGATCAATTAAAGTTTGCTATGGTTATCAGTAACATATAATTCTTATTGATGGACAATTTAGCTTTTTCGAAAAGGCAGATCTAGTACCAAAACTGAGAAAAAAGAAAGAAAAGAACCAAATAAGTCCTATATATCCAATAAATCCAGACAGGTTTCTTGAACGAGAGCAATTTTCAGAAGGATGATTGCATACTGTGGGAAAAAATGGAAATCGTAAAGACTAAATGGTTCCTGTATTCCAGAAACAGGAGCCAAAAAAGTAGCAAAAAAGAAAAGCTCAATATATTCAAAGCTCCTGTGGTGTGTCAACATTAGTACCAGCAGTGTATCGCAGACAAACGCTGATTTAGCGCATAGGAGCATAAACATGCACAGAAACACGTGCCTTATAAATTACAATCCGTCCGTGGAAAACAACGGAATATGGCAGCGGAGCGAGCTCACTGCGCCCATTGTGCTGGGTCTTCCAGAAGTTGCAAATATAGAAGCAGCAGCTCAAGAATGTTGAGAAAAGTTGAACTTCCAAGAAAGAGCTAAGGAATATTCGTCCTGCCGAAGACCTCCAGAACATCCGCATGCATACAGGTGTTTGAGCAGAACATCCGTACCGGTAGCAGGCAGACCAATTGGCGGATTGGCGACGATGTGCACAGGGATGAGCCAGCGGGTTTTTGAGCCCATCCAGACTGTATGTATCCGTACGCAGGCCGCGCAGACCGACCTTTAAGGATGAAACGTCTTGGCTGGCCCAGTGAGAATGCTGCCCCGTGTGGGAGTGACTCCCGCCCAAACCCCAGCTAAACTCAGAAGTGCTCCCCTTCAGTAGCGGGAGACTACACACGTGTGGTTGTCACGGCGCTGCCGGAATGAGCGAAACACGACACAAAGCCCACAGCAGACTGCAAAGCACACGTGCGGTTATACGCCCTGTTCTGTCAGGGCCACGCACGCAGGCGGCTTAACTGAGTGTGATCCGCCGTGCTGGCGCTATGTTTTTTAGGGGTCGCGCCAGTGCAGCGTCATTTTGGTGTCTCTGTCCCGTATTGCTGACTTTGTCTTTAGGCTTTTTCATGTTGTCCTGTTTTTTCAACTTTCTTGTGCTGTGTTTTCTTGGGATATTTCTTAAAACGTAAGAAAAACGAAACAAGATTAAGATGTGTAACAATTCATCACTGAAAATATCTGCAAACTTGCAAAATAAACCCATTTTTTTTAGCATCGTTTGGTAAAAGAAACACCAATATGTACTGGCATTTCCATAAAACTATACCAAACAACCATCTCCTTTAATTTGGGATTTTAGTTGTTTCTTTCTCTTGTTTTTCTGCTTATCACCTATCATATATAAAGCTCGCCAATATCCATTTCCCTCTATTTAATTTAGAACTTTTTCCATTTTTTTATATTTCGGTTTTATCTCTAGAATCGCGGTTCCTTCTTTTGATTTTATATCTAAGCGTTACTATCTAAGTGAAGACTTTATTTATTCATTCATTCCTTTAATAAATACCTTTAAATAACTTCTCACTTACTTTCACTCTTTTGAACCCTTATTTCAGCCAAATTATATTTCAATTCACTCATCTAATTAACCATTCCTTTTATTATTTACTGTCCAATCAACACAATCGCTTGTATTAGATACTCAGATAATAATGAAAATTTCCGGCTTAGCTCCTTTCTTATTTCTAGCTCCTGTTTTTGCTAGCCCCATCGGCCATTCTCATAATGCCCACAAAAGAGAAGCTGTCCCAAACCCCAACACCGTTGTTGTTTATGTGACTGAAGTCGCCTATGTTACTCTTGGTGCTGACCAGGCCAACGCTAACTCCTACCAAGACTCCCAACCTGTTGTTGAAGAACCAAAGGCTGACACTACAACCACCGAAGCCCCAGCCGTTGAAACACCAACCACCCAACCCGAAACTGTTTACGAAGTATCCACATACGAACAACAAAAGGCTGAGGTCCCAACAACCTCTACTTCCTCCACTTCCTCCACCCAACAAGCAGAAGAAACCTCAAGTTCTCCCTCCTCTATTGCTATTTCTGCCGGTAGTTCAAAGGTTGTTTCTTCCGGTGGTGCAAAAGCTATTACCTACTCTCCTTACACCAACTCTGGTAACTGTAAAGATGCTGATACCGTCGCTAGTGATCTCGCCAAGTTGTCCGGCTACGAAATCATCAGAGTTTACGGCACTGATTGCGATACCTACGGCAAAGTCTTATCGGCTATTGGAAGTAACCAAAAACTCTTTGCTGGTATTTTCCACATCACTGATATCCAATCTCAAGCTAGCTTGTTAATTGATGCTGTCAAATCCTCTAGCAGAGGCTGGAATGCCATCTACACTGTCTCCATTGGTAATGAATTGGTTAACAATGGTGCTGCCAGCACTGGCCAAATCAAATCTGCCATTGATTCTGTTAGATCCATTCTTAGTTCTGCTGGTTACACTGGTCCTGTTGTCTCTGTTGATACTTTAGTTGCTGTCAAAAACAACGTAGCCTTATGTGAATACTCTGACTACATTGCTGTCAACTGTCACCCTTTCTTCGATGGTAAAGTTAAACCTTCTGAATGTGGTTCTTGGTTGAAAAGTCAAGTCAATGAAGTCTTTGAAAAATGTGGCTCTTCCAAATCTGTCTTCATTGCTGAAACTGGCTGGCCTCATTCTGGTCAATCCATTGGTGTCTCTGTTCCCTCTTCTGAAAACCAACAAACTTGTATTGCCTCTATTAAAGAGACTCTTGGCTCTTCCGTCACTTTATTCTCTCAATACAACGACTACTGGAAAGACCCTGGTCCATTCGGTGTTGAACAAGCTTGGGGTATGTTTGGTGATTCTCCAGTTTAATCTACTTGATTTCTAATTCTTTTATTAAAATTCGTTTTATTTATTTGCTTATTAAAGACTACAACAAAAAAAAAGTACTTTTTCAAATTACAATCACCAAGTAAAATAAAATAAAATTAGGTTAAATAAAATAAAATAATTTTAATATTTATATTTATTTTTATCTATTAAGTTTATTAGGTACATTTACTTAGGTTAGCATTCTCGGGGAAAAGCCACTGTATTATTTGAATGATTTGATACGCCTCTTACTACATTTATATATACTATTTAAATATCTTTATGAATAACACTACACTTTTATGATTTCAATATTCAAACACACCCTAACATTTCGATAAATCATTCTCTCCCTAATACCAGTGCTTTCCCAGGTTTATTTCGAGCCAATTGGCAACATAACTTCTCTTGATCAGTTCTTTTGTGGTTGGGGTTGGGCGTGAGTTTTGCATATATCTACATGTATTTGCATGTCTTTGCATATCTGTATCTAATCTTCTTTCTTCATTTATTGATTTATAAATCAATCTTGATACTATCAGTGAATATAATGTATTTTTGAACCTACCAAAATAAAATGGTATTTGAAAAGAAAAACTCACAAAATTTTTTCAACCCTCAAAGTTTTTATTACATTCAAAAAGTTGCAAATGGATTTTCTTATTATTCTCATGAAACACAAAACCAAAATCCATTTGTTTTTTAATATCACAAAATAAAATCCAAAAAAAAAACTCATTTGAATGTACACTAATAAGCTTCTTTTTTAAAAATTCTTTCAGAAAATGCAGATATCCATCTCTTATCTCATCACTCTTTTTTTTTTCTTAAATCAACTCACATCTCAACACTATATCTTTACTTTATTGTCATATAATGTTATTAAATAAAATTAAAATTATTCAGTTGGCATTTACAGCTTTAAACTTAATTCACAATGGTTTTTCCTATGAATTATATGAGACAAGTACAAGTACAAGTAAATCTTCAAGCTTAAATATTCCTCCTATCGAGATAAAGGGAAATAAATTTTTTTATTCTAATAATGGCTCTCAGTTTTTTATAAAAGGTATAGCCTATCAACAAAGTAGTGCAAGTCAAGGTCTTCTAACATATGAACCTAAAGATGTTGCTGTTAAGGCTTTATCCTCAAAAACAAACTTGAATTTTATTTCAAATTCCAATTCCAATTCCAATCATAATAGACAATTAGTTCTTGATTCGACAAAATATTTAGATCCTCTATCAGATGAGAAAAAATGCTTTAGAGATATAAAATATTTAAAAGAATTAAGCATGAATTTAATAAGAGTTTATAGCATTAACCCCAAATTGAATCATGATGTTTGTATGAATGCTCTAGCTGATGCCGGTATTTATGTTCTTGTTGATCTTTCAGAACCTGATGTATCAATTAATCGAAAAGCACCTTCATGGGATGTCCAATTATACGATAGATATAAATCGGTTATCGATGCTTTAGCAAAATATAACAATGTATTTGGTTTCTTTGCCGGAAATGAAGTTACAAGTGACCCTAACAATGCACACGCTTCACCTTTCGTTAAAGCTGCAATTAGAGATGCTAAATCATACATTTCCTCAAAAAATTATAGAAAGATACCAGTTGGTTATTCCTCAAATGATGATTCTGAAACAAGAGATAATTTAGCAAACTATTTCATTTGTGGAAACAAAAAACATGCTGCTGATTTTTATGGTATTAATATGTATGAGTGGTGTGGCTATTCATCTTTTTTCTCTTCTGGGTATAGTGAAAGAACAGTTGAATTTCAAGATTATCCTGTCCCTATTTTTTTCTCTGAATATGGCTGTAATGTTGAAAGACCAAGACCTTTTACTGAAGTTGAAGCCATTTATAGTCCTTTGATGTCAAATGTTTGGTCTGGTGGAATCGTTTACATGTATTTTGAAGAAGAAAATAAATATGGAGTTGTAAAAGTTGATGAATCTGAAAATGTTAAAAAATTAGATGATTTCAGATACTTGAGAGATCAAATGAGTAAGATAAATCCCAAGGGAACCAATGTTAAAGATTATGTGATTCAAGAAACAAGAGAAAGAACTTGCCCAGTTAAAACTGCCAATTGGGAGGCTGATGGAAAACTTCCACCGACACCAGACTCCTTTATGTGCGAATGCTTAGAATCTTCTTTATCATGTATTGTGACTTCAAATTCAAACCTCCAATATAAAAAGTTATATGAATTTTTATGTGGTGAAGTTGATTGTTCTTCAATAACAGCCGATGGTAAAACAGGAGAATATGGTTATTATTCTTCGTGTAATAATAAGCAAAAACTATCATTGATGTTTGATGAATATTATACGAAAGAATCCGAAAACCCAAAGGCCTGTAATTTTAATGGACAGGCTCAATTAGTTGGAAAGATAAATGATAAATTCACTTTGCAATCAATCGAAAAAGAAGGTAGAACATGCGCACAAATTTTGAAAGAAGTTAAAGATAAGAAAAAAAACGATGGTAATAAAACTGGAAATAACAAACCGCCATTCAATGAAATGAAAAATGGTAACAGCAATAATAATAATAATAATTTACCAAAAAAGAATTCTGGCAGTTCAAATCATGTCTCAATAATGAATTTGCTTGAAAGTTTTTTTCTTTTTGGATTGGTGTTCATTGATACTTTTTTTCTAGATTAGTGTCTAAGAATGTTAGGAATTTTTATTTGATTAATTTCAATTTTATATAGCTAGATAATGAACGATATTCACAAGAATTAAAATATTTTTATTTATATTTTTTATTTTTTATTTTGTTTTGCTTTATAAGAAAAAAAAGTAATGTTTTTTTAACAGAAGAGAAAATGAAATGTTAAATTGTAAGTTTATAGATTATCATTCTTTTTTAAGACCCCATTTAATTCCTAAAAAGCCAGAATTATCAGTTTTTCCAGGTATTCTCACCACTTTTCTCGGTGGAGAAATAATAAAATGTTTATAACCATCAACCTGTAAAAATAGATAAACATATTCCGGATTGGCAATATCAGTCGACTTGATTTCCAATTGAACATTGCCTATTTTTTCTTCACTTTCCACGTGAAATTTCATAAATAATAATTCTTGGTTTGGGTTATTAGGATCTGGTTTTCTGATCGAGGATATTGGTCTATTTCTGGTCCATTTATTTTCGGAAGATTCGCCATATGCTTTTAATCTTGCACCAGGCTTCATTCTTAATAGTTTTTGACATTCTAGATCATTTTCAACCAAAGTGACTGTTCTGTTAAATACTTGGGTGTCGCCGGAAGGCAATAGTAGTTCAGTGAATAAGAGATATATCACCATCGAGGTTAAGCCAACTGCACCTAGCACTAGTGTCGTTGTTCCTGCCAATGAAACAGCCGTAAAAAATTTTGAAGAAAAGGGAATCTTTTTGAATTGATCATCTTCAGTTTTAGGTTTCCTGTCCTTTGTGGTAGCATATAATCTTATAAAGCTCCTGCTGTTTATGAAGCAGTTCAATTGAGTGCTGGAATTGACTTTCTTGGAACTCTGATCTAAAAAAAGAGCACGATGGATTCCTCGATGTGTGCAGTAAAATCTGGGATTCAAAAGCACAGACTTGCTGGAAAGAGGCCTTATAGAGCTTGCAATGTTGATTAAAGACCTGTTCATGATATTTCCACTGTCGCTGGATCAATTGCTGTTGAATCAACAGTTTCAGCAAAAAAACTCTGATAAAATTTTGTGGATCCACTGGCGCGGTTGGGGTGTGTTCAAAAAAAAGTAGGATTATTAAAATAAAAATTTAGCTCTTGTGGCCTAGTTGGTAGGGTATCGTTTTCCGGCGCGGGCACGCAACCAACTGGAAAGCAACGAAGATCCAGGGTTCGAGTCCCTGCTAGAGCTTTATTTTTGCTGTGCTGTTTCTGCTGCTTCTGGGATATTGCCATGTTTCGCAAAAAAACTAATGTACATTACACCCTATAGATTATAAAAATTAGTTGTCACTTGAAACATCAAGGATTTTGTGGCTCTCTCTAGCCATACTGCTGAGAACTCCATCAGCAGCACCATTGGCAGTATTGTTGGTAAAACTCAAGACATTCTTCAATTCAGAAATTAAATCAAAGCTATTGTCTCTCTCTGAGTTTGCTATCCGAGAAAATCTCTTTTCATTTAATTTTCTTTTCACTTTGTCTTTTTTCTTGTTTTCTGTAGACTCAATAAACTTTGAAAAAGTTTTAGTTAATTTTATTTTCAATTCCTCTGGTGACAATTGGTTGTTGGAATCATCACTGCTTTCATTATCGCCCATTTCTTTGGTTTCATTGTCATAGTCAGTCTCGAATTTTTGAACTGAATAGTTTTCCTTTGGTATCATTAATGTATTGTCACTACTTATTTCTTTTTCAAAATATGGTTTTAAACTATATGAATTGACATAGTTATCATCAAAACTAACAATTTTTTCTTTGTTTGATGTTTTACTCAATTTATCATGTTCATCATTGTTTTTATCTTCAACGATAGATAGTATTGGAAAATGCAATCCATCACTCAATCTTGAATAAGCCCTTCTATGTGGCGGTTTATTATTCTTATTTTCTTCTGATTTCAACTGGGTTTTGTTTTTTGAAATGTTTTTGTTATTATTACTCAACTTTAAAGGTAATGATAGTCTTTTGTATTTATTGACAATTCTCTTTTGTGATACCTCGATGTTAATTGGAACTGAATTATTTCTTCGTATTGATATTTTTTTAATTTCATCAATATTAATTCTAAATTGATTTATAAATTCTTTTAAATCATCATCCAAATCATTGAGATTATTAATAAATTCATTATTATCTTTCAGCTCACAGCTTATGTAGTTTAATTTATAATCGAGGAGTTTTAATCTATTTGATAATTGAGAAACTATTTTGGATCTCTCTCTTTGAAAATTTGCATTCAAGCTGTTATTCGTAATATTAACATTATTAGCAATGTTATTATTAGTGTCAAGATTAACGTTCATACTATCATAGGAAACATTGTTATCTGATAAGCAATTAATATGGTTAAAATTATTCAAGACTAAAAAGCTTTCCATTAGGAAATTTACATTGTAGAAGAATTTATAATTTTTATCTAAATTTAAAAATAAAACACAAAGAAAATGATTATAATTATTATTATTATTATTATTATTATTATTATTATTATTATTATTATTATTATTATTATTATTATTATTATTAAGGTTGTTTAAATTAGTTTTTTGATTGTTAAATTTATGAGTATCAAAATTAATTAAATTTAATAAATTCAAAATATTCTTTAAAAGGTATTGTTCATTTCTTAAGTGATCAAGTTCATTAGTATTATTCTTATCATTTTGATTGGAAATTTGGTTTAAACTATTTTGAGAGACATAATTTAAAGTTAATAAACAACAGATATAAAATTTTCTTAACAATTGGAAATTTTTGAAATCATTTTCAATTTTGTTTGTTTTATAATTTAAATCATTAAAAAATTTGGAATCAAATTTCAATGTATCAATATTATTATCAATATCAATATCACTATTATTAATATTAGTATTATTAATATTAGTATTCATATTGTTAATAATATGATTATTGTTGTTGTTGTTGTTGTTATTATTATTATTATTATTATTATTATTATTATTATTATTATTGTTTATTTGGGATGATAAATTAAAAGGTTTTAAAGGAACGTTGTCATTGTAACTAGATAGATGATTGTTATTCATGTTGTAGTAAATTTTTTGTAAAAGATAATTTAAATTATTTAAATTGATATTATAGGATAATAAAATTTTTAGAAAGAAGAATTGGATATTTTGGTTATTAATGATTAAAGGTAAGATATAGGATTTTATTAAAAAAACCAAAAAATTGTTTGATAGCTGGATATTATTGAATAATATATTGAATAGATTGTTATATTGATTAATGTTATTAAATTGAGTTGCATTTGGAGTTGAAAAATTTGGGGGTAAAATTGGGGATTGAAATATAAGATTTTTGAAGAAATTGATTGAGTTTGAAAAGTTTATATCGAATAACTGATTTATTATAATAAAATTATCGAGTTTATTAGAATTTGATTGGAAGAAGGATAAATTTGAGTTATGATTATGAGAAAAGTAAATTTTGTATAAAAGCAATAGAATTAAGAATAGTATGTTAAGATTTTTTTTAGTTTTAGTTTTAGTTTGATTATTGTTATTTTTATTTATTTTAAGTAATGATTTTTTCAAATAAATAAATAGGTTTGAAAAAAGAATTAAATAATTTGGGTTTAATAAGATTAGGTTATTATTATTTTTATTATTTTTATTATTTTTATTATTTTTATTATTTTTATTATTTTTATTATTTTTATTATTTTTATTATTATTATTATTATTATTTGAATATTTTGAATATTTTGAAATTTTTTTATTTTGAAGGGAAATTGAATTGGTTAGTAAAGAAGAATTTGTTCTCTTTTTGAATAATTGAACATTTTTCTTAAATAAAGAAATGAAGATTTTGTTATCTAATAAATTTGAAGAGATGATGTTATAATTTAGAAATTCGATAAAGGAGTTTAAATTTTTATTGAAGGATTTCAGATTTAGAGATAAATTTGATATAATTTTTTTGATTTTAGGTGGATTTAGGTTGTGGATGGGGATGTTAATATTAGCAACAGTGGTAGTGATGTTATTGGTATTAGTAGAAGAAGAGATAGAAGGGTTGATGTTGTGGTTAATAAAAATTGGTTTTAATTGAGAGGAGTCAGTGAATATGGAGGAATTTAGAGAGGAAGAGCGATGATAGTGGTGGTTGTTTGAGAGGTAATCCTTTGGATACATAAAGACATGATTATCATCTATGCCCCAGTCAGAGATACTATTTGTATTTGAGGTGGTTGAGCTGATGTTATCGATTCTATCGAATTTGTTCATTTTAGGGGAGAGAGGAGAGTAGGAGTAAGAGTAAAAAAAGAAGCTTTAAGGAATGAATAGAAGATATTGAAGGAATGAATAGTGGATATTTGGGGAGAAAAATATGAAATGAGAGTGGGTTTTAGGATTGTGATTTATAACGAGGAAGAATAAGATATAAACTTGCAAAACTAGGCAAGAATAAATTGGATTAGGATTGAATTTGGATTGATTTGATCGAAATTAGTGTAAAGAGAAGATTTTTTTTTAAAAAAACGAAAGTATGGTAAGAAGCGAAGAAATTAGTAATACATAATAAGAAGTGCAATGGAATGAAGATGAGATGGGATGCGATGGAGTGGGCAAAGAGGTTATTGAAGGTGGTATTAATAGGAGCAGCAGGAGCAGAGGGATATGGGTATTGGTGAAGAAGAGAGAGAGTTGTTTGTGAGTAACGAAGAGGCAGTTAGAGAAAAGCCTGAAAAAAAAGGACGAGGAATAAAAAGTGTTTTGGGTAAAAAGACGAGAGGAAAGTGATTGAAACCCACAAAAAGAGAGATGATAACTCGTTGATAGCTCGAAGAATGCAGAGGATGGACTAAACAGGAGAATGGACTCATGAAGCGAAGGAGATGGGATATCATAGAGATCATATCAGAGAGATCATATTAGAGAGATCATCACATTTGAGAGAAGAGGTGTGGATAGTTGGCCTTCAGATAAGCAGATAATAAATAATAAGTGAGTCGAAGAGCAAAAGTTACTCGATATTTGCATTGGGTTGAGCAGTGGTTGGTCTTTCTCAATTCGAGCAGTAGTGTGATTGGTAGAAGAGATCAAATTAACAATTAAACAATTAAACAATTAACTAAGGTGAAATGTAGTAAGAAGTACATAGTATATAGTATATAGATGTGATATAGTATATAAGTATATAGTGTATAAGAGTGTATAATGTAGAAAAGTGTATGTATCAGATGTATAATATAGTGGATCTAATTAGAATACATTTAAAGAAATAGTATAAGATGTAAGAGAGGTGCTTATTTGGAGTTGAACAAGAGGTTGTCGAGGTCTTTGTAGTAGCTGTAACTGCCATTGTCTTTGTTATTGTCGTTATTGTCGTTATTGTCGTTATTGTTCTCATTGCTTTTATTGTTCTTGTTGTTCTTGCTGATGATGCTCATCCGTAGGTCAGACTTGTAGAGGTCGTTGAGCAAAATAGAGGCAAACTTGTGGATCTTAATGAAAATGTCATTATCGTCGACGATCTCAGTCAAATTGAACCCATTCTTGTTGTTGGTATTCAAGTCGTAATTGTTGTAAAGAAAGAGGTTTTTATTTTTCAAGTATTTCAAGGTGGAAGACGAGCCATTTTTCTTGAAGATCTTTTCGTTCTCAAAATAGGCTCTTTTCTGGCACAAGTTGTAGATTAGCTGATTTAGTTTCTTGAAGATGAGATTGTAGTTGACAAGTAGGTTGTTGAAATTGTTGGAGATTAGAGAGATTTGGTAGTTCTTGATCTGGCCTCTGCTCTGAAACTCGTTGATTTTGAACTTGAGAGTGATGGAGTAGAAGAAGTTGGAGTTGCCTATGATAATCAACTTGGGGTCGTTGGAGTTGATGTTCTCCTGGTGAATCAACTTTTTGTTCAACTGGTTGAGCTTCTTCTGCAAGAAAAAGGATTTGGGGAGCTGGCTGGAGAGAAAGACTCTGTTGGCGTTCAAGCTCTTGTCGTTGGTCAAGCAGATGTTGTTGTTGTCGTCCGAGACCTTGAACTTGCAGGAGTTGCAGTAGCTGGTATGGTTGGTGTAGATGTTCTGCAACTCCTTGAAGTTGATAATCTGGTTGTACAAGCGAGGGTCGTTGTTGGAGGCAGCATTCACAGCATCAGGAACATGGAAGGAGTGGGTCACCATGATGATCTTGGGCCCATGGAGCTCGCAGAAATGGCTGAGCATGAAGATGTAGTTTGTATCAGGCTCCATTACCACTTCCACTGCAGACTCAGCAGCATTATCTTCGTTTCTTCCATGGTGAAGCTGCTGCCGGAACAAAAAGAAGCAAAGCTTCTTATCACCAATGAGACTCGGTGCGTTTAGCACGTGCAGTTTTACGCCCGTCACGCTCACCACACGCCCACCACACGCACATTTGCTGAAAAAGGACATGCCGTAATAGGCATTTCCAGAATAATCTACCAGACATAGTTTCCCAAAGGGGCATGTGTCACGGTGGTCTATAAATAGTTTTATCAGTATTAAACATATTAAATGTATTATTAAATGTATTAAAGGTATTAAACATATTAAGCATATTAAGCATATTAAACATTAAACATATCAAACGTATCAAATGTATCAAATGTATCGAAACCACTGAATATGTAATTGTCTTACATTTTCATTTACAATTACATTACAACCAAAACTACAGGTAGACTCACTTCGATCGCCGATTATCTGATCTCTGCTCTTCTTTTTACTCGCCCAGCATTCATCGAAATATTCTTCTCTCACATCTTATACACACATCTCGCTTTAATTACTTTTCTTTGTAATCATGTTCTCTCTTTTCCAACTCTTTTCAATTTTCTTGGATTCCAAATCATATTTACATTTCCTCTTTTCCACCATGGCTGTGCAACTTTCGATCTTGTGCTTTTTCTTTTTCTGCACCATTGATAATTGACCTGTATGATCCATTTAAACTCTTCAAACTATATCTAAATATCTCATACTTCCTCATAACCTATTCATTACATTCATTGCATTTATTGGTTATACTATTTTGCTTCAATTATACTACTTTCATTACTTATTTGGGTTCTTTTTTTCTTTTTTTTTTAACTCTTATCCACCATATCTTTTAATATTTAAATCATTTCTTTTGTCCAGTTTTTTTACTCTAAAAAAATTAATGTTTAATATATTTACACCAATCTATATTCAAATTATACTATTCTTTCCTTTACTCGTTTCTTTTTTTTTTTCTTTTTCCATTTTCCATTTTTTATCTTTCATTTTTCATTTTTCATTTTTCATTTTTCATTTTTTGTTTCATAATTTAATACATTTTAACAAAATTCAATACCCACTTTTCAACAATAAAGATATATATTAATATAATTGAATTTCCAGTTTCAATTATTACTTCCAATATTGTCAACTTGATCTTTATTCATTATCATTCATCAATCTCTAAAATGATCTTATCTCGATTCTCTCCCTTTATCTACCATTCTTTCTTTTTATTCTTGTTATTAATCCCATTATCATCCTCTGCTCTTCCACTAAATCTTCGTCCCATTCATCAATTTCAAAACATTCATACCAACATTAATAATAAAACCAATTATAACCATTCTCATAAGAAATATTTGCAGAAAAGAGATCCTTTAACTATCACTTTAACTAAAGTGGAAGTAGTAACTCATTTTATAGTAACTCAACAAGTTTCCCAATCTTTAGAAATTAACAACTTATCACAATCCCCATCTTCTTTATCATCTTCTTTACCATCTTCTTTATCGACTCTCTCTTCAGCTTCAATTTCATCAACTCTCTCATCAGCATCACCTTCTTCCACTTATGTCTCAGAGGAAGCCTCTCTCAATTCTCACATAAACATAGATCCAGCTCAAGAGGGTGCAAACATTATCCATAAACTTTGGCAACGATTCTGGGACGACTCAACCTCCCAATTCTTATCTGATCCAACTTGTAGTGACCAAAGATCTACTCACGTAGTCTGGGACACAACCGTAACATTTCAAGCTATAGCCGATGCTGAAATCCTATTCCCAACCCAATTCTCTTCTCATTTATCGTTGGTCTATAACAGATTGCAAAATTATAAAAACTCTCAGCTAAACGTCTATTCAGCTTCAACTAATAAAGATCTAGACATCTATTTAGACGACAACGCCCAAATTGCTTCCGCCTTCATAACTGCTTTCGAAGCGACTAACAATGAAACCTACCTCAATGATGCTATAACAATAGTAAACTTCCTATCTTCAAATTGGGATACCCAATATAATGGTGGGGTTTACTGGAAATACCAACATGCTTACAGAGCTTCTATCTCCACTTCGGAATCTGCCCTAGCTGCTCTAAGAATTTATCGTTATACTGGTAACCAAACCTTTCTAGATTTCGGTGCTAAATGTATGGACTGGATTCTTGAAACTTTGTTAGATCCTTCTGACAATTTGATTTATGATGGCATAACTGCAGAAACAACCAATAAAGGTAAATTGTCCTACCATGTAGGCACTGCTTTGTCTGCTACCTCGTACCTTCATAGAATAACTGGTCTATCGAAATGGCAACAATATTCTGAAATTTTGTCTTATGCTGCAACTTCAAGGGAAACTGCAATCTATTATAGAGACTTGCCTCAATTAGATAAAAGGTTTTGGAACAATCCGTTAAAATATTCAGAACTATTGTTTGAGGGATTAGCTGAATATCTTCTCTTCAGTAACCCAACCGATTACCAAGTTAAAAATGAGCTCTTAAGAGAGGCAAGATACATATATAAATGGCTCAAATCCGACGATGATGGTCTATATTTCCAAACAACCCAGCTAAACAAATTAACTCAAGATATCTTTGATGAAATGTGTGTTGTATTTGAAACTGACATCTTTGAATATGATCCTGATCCATCTGAATATTGTGATGGTGATACCTCAAATCCAATTAAAAGAACTTTGTTAGCAACTGCTGCTGCTGCAAGAATCTTCTTGCAAACCAGTTTAGTTACAGCAATAATTTAGTTTTACATCTAAAACACTGCAAAATAACAATCAATTTCCTGATTTGTATTTCTTTTTGTTTATTTTCAAGCTATTCTCAACCCTTTTGCTATTTTTTTCTGTTTTGCTATTTTGCTTCTCCATTTTCACTTATTCTTATCTTTTCGTTTCCCTCTTATTGAACAATTTACTTGCTTTTTTCATACAAATCTCTCTCTAGTTTAAAACCCTTTTGTAATATATTATTGCCTAATTCAACGTAATGATAATCATCATCATCATCATTATTGTCACTGTAATTCTAATTGCAACTGTTACAAAAATCGTAGGCAAGCAATGAACTCAGTTGACGCAATAAACTTTTTAGTTTTTTTCCAACACATTGCCTTTATTTTTCACTCCCTGAAATTGTCTGACTTCTTTAGCATTTTAGAACTATTCACTGATTTCAAGCTGAATGATTATGATTAAAAACAATTTAGACGTTCTTAGGTTTTCTTGTGATTCAGTAACAATTATAGAATTTCCAGCAAACGAAAGTTGGCTGTACTGGTATTGCATTTCTATGCTATGCTTGACTATGGTGATGATATAACTATTGTAGCCTCTAAATAATAAAGGTCAACTTGTGCTCAACAGCAAAGTCTAATTAGATCAGTCCCTATTGATCTCTATCATCCACCTATATTCAGTCTTTCAGTCTCTTGTCGACGACTGCCACTGGTAGCACATTCAGCCTTCAGTAGCAATCTTGCTCTCAATAGGGTTTCAGCCCAAAGCAATCCTCTACTCGACTTGGAATTGTGAGTAAGCAGATCATCCAGATGCTTTTTATTTCAATGCAAAGGCTCAGCAAAACAATTCACTCAGAAACAGTATAAAAGATAATCAGAGGTAGCTGTTTTGTAGAGCAGTTGTTGTTCTTCCACACACAGTAATCACATCTTACAATCAATCGAATTTTATCCTCTGATTAAATTATACTCCAACTAGATCTCACTCTTATTAACTTATACTCTTCACAATGGCTGTAACTTGTTCTGACATCTTCAAGATCATTCTTGGTAAGTAATTTTTGTTATACTGCACAGCAATTGCAAAATCGTTGACAATATCTCCTGGACTCCTGTCTCATTCAATAACTGCAATGGAACACAATTGATATTGAAGCACACAACTAACACACTCTTCTACAGCTATTATTTTACCACCTCTTGGTGTATTCCTCGAAAGAGGTTGTCATGTTGATTTGCTTATCAACATCTGTTTGACCATTCTTGGTTATATTCCTGGTATTATACATGCTCTCTATATCATATTCAAGTATTAGTGTGAATAGCACTTGATGTATTCTAACAACTGGTATTGTTCTTTTTATCGCTTAGTTTTTTCTTTATTTTTGTTAGCTTTTTTTTCCTGGTTTTTTGGGTATTTTTTATCTTGCTTTGAGATTAATTGTCTTAATTTTATCTATACTTTAAGACTTGAGAAATAATCTTTTTCTACAAATAAATATCAATTTTTATTGTTTATTAATAAGTCCTCATGTAGCCTATAATTGATCTACTTTGATCTCTTTCAATTGAAAATTGCGAGACTGGAAATTTGTTTACTAAAAATACACTTTTGGAATCATTGATTGTTCACTAAAACTATAAAACTATATATCAATTGAAAATTTATTTATTGTCATACCATCTTGCTCAATGCTGATTCTTACAGGAAGTTTGATGCCCTTAAAACCATTGTCATCATCGGTATTATTCTTATTCTTATTTTGAATATTAATGTTTCTAATGGACTCCTCAAAATCTTTTTTTACTTTTTTTTTATATTTTTCATTATACTTATTATACACATCTTTCATTTTGTTTGAAAATTCGCCATAATCAAATATTCTATTATTGTCAATATAATCGGTTTCATCGTCATTATTATTCTCTCCCACTTCCTCGCTGGTATTGATATATTTAAACTCTTTATTTGCAAAATATTTCAAATTTCCATCTAAAGTTCTCTTTAAATAAAACTTTCTTTGTTTTTTATCCAAAACTTCCCTGAAAACTCGATCTAATTTACGATTTTTGCGTCCATCAAGAAACTGTAGTGTAGTTTCACCCTTTTCATTTATCACCAGTCCATCCTTATCTACTCTTATATTTTCATTGTGTTTGGTTCTATGATAAGTACTTTTTTTATGATCATTCTTTCTAGAACCATTATTATTATTATTATTATTATTATTATTATTATTATTATTGTTATTGTTATTGTTATTGTTATTATTATTATTGCTACTATTACTACTGTTGTTATTATAATTGTTATTATCATTATAATTTCCATAATTATGACTGTAATTATTCTTAAAAAGATTCTTTTTTTCTTTTTTCTTTTCATTTTCATCATTTTTCTTTAAGTTTTGAGAATTCACTAATGTTTCATCACTCATACTACTATAATTCAAATCAGTAGCAGGAAGAATGTTGACATTATTAGAGGTTCGAAATTCATTAATGTTATTATTAGACATCGAACTCGAAGAAAAAGATCTGGTATTATTAATATTTGTTCTAAAATTCGTAGTTTTTCCTCTTTCTGATGGATCTTTATTTTTGCTACCTTTAGGTCTTCCTCTTCTTGGTACGTGAATAATTTTTTGAACTTGTTTATCATTTTCATCTACTGTTATCGAACTTAAAGAATATTCTCCATTGTCTTCAGCCAAAAATTTTCTTCTTAATTCTATCATATCATTACCGTATTTGATTTCATCCTCTGGATCAATGTCGAATTTTTCTCCAGGTCTTATGGGTTGGAGTGGAGGTATAGAATAATCAGGAACAGTTAGATCATTTTCTAATCCTTCCATATGATAGAATGGGTTTTTTTCTAGTTCTGCTTCAGTTAAATTTGTTTCTAAATATGCCCATATTAACCATAAAAACCTTCTTGCTCGACTCAATGGAGTAGTTTTCCAATTTAAGAAAATTGATGAAAATGGTGATTCTTGATGATCTTTTAATATTTTTCGAATTTCATTCATATATTTTAATTTTTCTCTATCTTTGTCTTTACTTTCATCTGATTTTTCTTTAAATTCAAGTTCAACATTAGGAGTATTAACGGTATTATCATTGGAATTTATATTAATAATGTGATTATTATTTGTATTTGTATTTGTATTTGTGTTTGTGTTTGTGTTTGCATTTGGGTTTGTATTTGCATTTGCATTAGAATTAGAATTGAAATTGAGATTAATATTAGTATTATTATTATTATTGTTGTTGTTATTGCTATTTTTATGTTTACTGTTATGGAAAAATCGTTGATCAGATTCATCATTATCTTCATCTTCATCAAGTGAGGTATCGATTTTAAAGGCACTATTAGAAGAGAAATTTTTAATATGAGAATTGATTAATTCTTCAAACTGGCACATTAAAAAAACCATATTAATTGCATTAGTTTTAGGAAGTTTGTCCTTTGGCACTTTAAACAATTCTGAAAAGGATGGTGGTTCTTTTTTATTTGTACTTGGTTCACAAGCCGATTTTAAGATCATTTTTAATCGTGGAGAATCTTGTAATACTTTTGAGCTGTTATTTGAATTTGAGATGCTTGTATTGGTATTTATTTGAAATACGGGAATTGAATGATAACTTCTCAATTGAGATTTCATTTCGGGAACAAAATTAACAGTAGTGTTCATTCTACCAGCATTTACTAATAAAGAGACCATTGCTATTGGGATACTCATTGATTTATCAGTTAATAAGCGATCTTTTAAGATTTTTGAGCATTTAGTGGAATAGGCCATTGCTTGAATGTACAAGTCAGAAAAAGCCAATTTTTTATTTGAAGTTGGGTTGAGAAAATCAGTGAAAACATGGTATTCATTTTTAAAGATAATACTTAGTAAGTCGTATTGGATATCTTTTCTCCATAAGGGCTGGCCATCTTTTTTTTTGATATGGCGAATTCTGGCATTCGTTAGGGAGGAAGAGATGGAGGTTGCGTAAGATGAGATGGATGTTAGAGTTAAAGCAGAAGATATGCCAGAGTTTTGATTTAATTTTTTTTTTGTTGGTTTTATTGTTGAATTTAGAATTTTAAAGTGGTTTTGATTTTGAATTGATATTGGTCTTTGAAGCTGAGGAATTTGGTTCATGGAATCGCTCAAGTTTTGATTTTGGTTTAATATTTGGTATTCAAAATGAGGTTTTTGTTGCAGTTGTTTTGGGGTCATTATTTCTTGTTGCTGAGGTGGTGGAGATTGGGAGGTATGTAGTTTTGTTGTAGAAGGTGCTTTTGGCAGTTGATGAAATTTGGTTGATAGCTGTGATGGGTTTATTAAATGGGGTTGTTTGGAGGGTTTTGGTTGGGAGATGAGATGGTTTTGGTTGAAGAAATCTTGATTTTTTTGGTGGATAGGTTGCTGTTGAAAATGTGTAGGTGAGGAGGTGTGTAGGTGTATTTCAGATTTAAAGTCAGCTTCATCAGTGGCATCAGAATCATTTTGTAGGTCGATATCGTTGTTGTTAGGGTCTATATTATCGTTGTTGTTTGGATTTGAGACGACTTCAGTTTCAAGTTGAATTTGGTTGGGATTGATGGTGATATCGTTTGGATTGTTGTTGTTGCTGGGATGGGTATTATTGGCAATGGGAGGAGATGAGGAGGTGGAAGAAACGTCGTTTGAGAGTAAGCTAGATATATCCATTTTCCTATTGTGAGAATTGCTGTAGGAGGAGGAGGAGATGGTGGTGGTATTAAAGAGAGGAGGATGATTAGCTTTGGTGTTTTGATTGTTGATGTAGGAAATATCAAATTTTTTGTCATTTTGGAGATCATGAACCGGGTCGTAATGGCTATTTAAAGACATTTTAGAATCGAGGAAGGATATAATAGGAATTTTAAAGTTAAAGAGACAAAATGTTGGTGGGCAAAGGGATTGGGAGTATTTTCAAGTAAAATGGGACAGGAGCAAGAGGTGAACAAAAAACAAAGAAAAAATAGAAGCTATGAGTAATATGGGATATAATACAAGTGGGTTGTTATCTCAAGGAAAGGAAGCTGAGGAATGAAATTGGTGGATAGAGAGCTAGGGAATAAAATTCAAAAACAAAAGTATGTCAAGTTGATCAAATAGCTGCAAAACAATAAAACAAAACCTTAATTGGCGGGACCTGAGCATTTAGGCACTTAGGAGATTGGGAGCTGGCGAGTAAACGAGAAAGGTATGTGGTTAGTGTTCAAGACGACGAAGCAGACATACCAGGGCGATTAGAAGAGGATGGTGAAGAAGAGGAAAGAGAAAGTGAAGATGGTGGAAATGGTTTTGGAAGCTGGAGAAGTGGTTTTGAAGCAGGAAACCTCCGAAAACGAGAGGAAACCAGTCCCAAAAGGGAAGAAAGCGAGTTTTTCATTTGACTGGTTTTTTTTTGCACATTGAAGAAAATATATTCATTAATAACTTTTATATAAAAGGGGATTCGTTACAAAAGGTGGCAAGATAAAAAGAATTAAAGAATGAAAAAATGAGAGTAAGTCAGAGAAATAGATTAGGATGGGGTAATCTATTTGGAGAGCTTAGCAATGGTAGCTAAATCGATACTCTTTGGTCTTTCGATTGGTAAACCGAGGATTCTATCCCAGATTAATTGGTTTAATGGACCTAAAGCTCTTGAACAACCGAAGATGACAGTGAAGTATAAAGTTTCTTTGATACCATAGTGGTAGAACAAGATACCAGAACCTGAGTCGACATTTGGGTAAGGGTTTTTGGTCTTACCATGTTCAGTCAAGACACCTGGGGCGACTTGGGACAATTTGTGAACAAATTGGAAGAAGATATCGTTTTCAGCAATGGAAGGTCTGGCTAAACCAAATTCCAACATGGCTTTGAATCTTGGATCAGGTTTTCTTAAGACAGCATGACCGTAACCTGGGATAACTCTGCCAGAGTTCAAGATGCTCCACAAGTATTCAACGATTTTTTCGTCAGAAGGCAATTTGTCACCGTTACCAACAAGTTTTTCTTTCATTGTTGTGATGAATCTGACGACTTCTTGAGCAGCCAAACCATGCAAAGGACCAGCCAAACCTTGGATACCAGCAGAGTAAGACAAGTAAGGGTCGGATAAAGCAGAACCAACCAAGTGAGTGGCATGGGAGGAGACGTTACCACCTTCGTGGTCACCATGGAGAGCACAGTAAAGACGAACCAAGTTGACGAAATCCTTTGATTCAGTTGTGCTGAAGTTGTTGATATTGAGAGAGTCCTTTTCGGTCATACCGAGGAAAGAAGCAATGTTGTAGGACCAATCTTGGTCTTTGTTTAATTGACCTAATTCCGAGGTGTTTTTCGATTTGAGGATATCGGTCTTGTAGGTGTTTTGGTAGATTTTACCGGCAATGGCAGGCAATTTGGCGATTAAGTTGATAACATCGTCAAAGACATACTCCCAGTAGTCAGCCTTAGCAATACCTTTTTCATAGGCCTTAGCGAATAAGGAATCATGGTTCAAGGCAGAGATGGCAATGGACATTTGGGTCATTGGATGCAAAGTTGATGGTAATGAGTCCAAGATTTTTTCGCAGTAGGCGGGTAATTCAGCTTTTTCGGCCAATTCCTTAGAAAAGGCGTTGACCTGTTCTTGGGTTGGAACTTGGCCAGTTAAAAGATACCAGAACATTGATTCAGGCAAGAAGATGGACAATTTGTCGCCGATTTCGTGCTTTGATTTTGGTAAAAACTCTTGACACTCATCGATAGTCTTGTTGTGGAATCTGATACCTTCGTTGGGGTCCAAGACAGATGATTCCCAGTACAAGGATTTAGTACCTCTCATACCACCTAAACATTGACCAACGGTTAGCTCACCAATTGTTTTATCGGAATATTCCTTTTTAACTTTTAAAAAGGCCTCTTTTCTTTCTGGGATAATTGAGATAAGAGTGGATTTAAGATCTTTACCTGCGGTAGCATAGGTTCTCAAGTTTGATTTGAAAGTGGATTTGACGGTTGAGGCCAATAAAGGGTTAGCAATTGATTTGGAGAACATTTTGGAAAATTAAGAAAAGAATATAGATAATGAGCAAATTGATGAAATCGAAGGAGAATCGACGAATTGATGAAATTAATGAAATAAAAGATAATAGGGAATGTATTATAATTTATTAATTTAGGAAAGGAAAAAAAAGAGAAAGAAGAGAAGAAAAAGAAAGAAAGAAAAAAAAAGAGAAGAGACCTGGGTGAAGAAGAGGGAAATAAGTCGAGACTTAAATAGCGGGAGAAATCGAGAGGAACTCAAGCGATGCAATTGAAAATAAGTGGAAAGAAATGAGTATAATTGAATTCAGTCTCACGTAATTGAATAACAGTGAATATAAATGAATAATTGGAATCTAGCAGGATGGAAATAAGACTTTCTTTTTCAGCAGAAGGATAACAGCAGCAAAATAAGAATATAACTTTAACACCATGCAAAGACAGATAAAGATCAGCAGGAATGGACCAATGAATCGAGCAGAAATGGAGCTGGGAACAGGTGAGAGACTCACCCAAAGCTGAGAGCAACGCAGGTGAAACTGTGTCGACACGAATCGAGAGACAGCTCAGGCTCTGTCTGCAGCGGCTTCTGCTCCAGGCCCTGCTGTGCTGCTGCTTCACCGCCAGGCCCTGCTCTGGCTGCTCTGGCTCCTATTGCTCCACCACCAGCGCTCTCTGCCATCCATAGTGAATAAAATCAGCTTACTTCCTGCTCGCTCCAATGACCCGAGACCACAAAGCACAGCTGCGTGCGGATGCGCGCACACGCTCAACCACGTAATGCATCACGTGGTACAAGGGCTGGCGTTTCCCCACAAGTCACGAATCAGCGTTCTGCGCGCTGTGTCCGGGGTGCGTGTTTCAGCAGCGTTGTGCGTGCAGACCCATTGTGCTGGCTGCGCGTGGATAAAGCACGCATCTATTCCCTGGGGTGAGCAGTAGTGGCACCGTTGTAGTAAAGATTCCTGCCATCCATCGGTGCTTGAGCAACCGCCGCCGCTCGGCAACGGCAGGAGGCAGCAACAGCGCTGCTTCGCGCGGGCCTCACTACCGGCTCCAAAAGCGGCGGCGGCAGAGGGCCCGCAGTGCGAGCGACGGTTCCGCTGAGTAGAGCCTAAAGCTGTTTCGCACGCCCCCAGGACAATGCGCGCCGATACCCGAGCTGCCGCGGGTACACTGCGGCGATATCCGCTCTGGCTGAAGACCGCTCACCGACCCCATACTCAGCTCTCGTTTTTTTCGCCGCGCTGCGATTGGCCAGCGCCCGCTCATCTGTTTCGATTCTTTTATACCTCTCACTTTTTTTTTCACTTCTATCAACTTTATATTCTCTATCGTCTCTATCTCTGCACCTCTTTCTTCTCTTTTCTCTTGTCCATTTAATTCTAACCTCATATTCTCCCATCCCTCAACCTCTTTCTTCAACCTATTTATATAAACGTCAATATTCTTTTATTTACCTCTTCCCTTTCCTCTTTTTCTTTTTCTTTTTCTTTTTCTTCGTCTGCAAGTCTAAATCACTCCTCACCTCCAGGTTTATATAAGCACTTGATTCACCGACTTGGTCTCTTTTTGTTTTTCGATTTCAATTATTCATCCCTTGATTCAATTATCTCAATTCAATTAAGTCAATTCAATTCTATATTCTTTATCTTATTACACTCTACTTCTCCAATTTAATTGTTTCAAAATGTTTTCCTCCAAATACATGATCAAATCAACTGTTAACAACAGATTTTTGCAAACCACCTTAAAATCAAAATCCTTCACCACCTCTGCTTTCTTAAGATCTGGTGCCATCATGAATGACAACATCAGACCTGAAGCTGATGTTGTTTTGAAGGATATCTCCTCTTATATCCACGACTACAAAATTGACTCCAAATTGGCCTATGACACTGCAAGACTTTGTTTCCTTGACACCTTGGGTTGTGGTTTAGCTGCTTTAAAATACCCAAACTGTGCTAACCTCATTGGCCCAACTGTCCCAGGTACCGTCGTTCCAAATGGTTCCAGAGTCCCAGGTACTCCTTACGTCTTGGACCCAATCAGAGGTGCTTTCTCCATTGGTGCCATTATTCGTTGGTTAGATTTCAATGACTGTTGGTTAGCCGCTGAATGGGGTCATCCTTCTGACAACTTGGGTGGTATCTTAGCTGTTGCCGACTACTTGACCAGAACCTACAAGGCCACCAACGGTAAAGAAGGTAAATTATTCAAAGTCAAAGATGTTCTTGAAGGTATGATCAAGGCCCACGAAATCCAAGGTTGTTTGGCTTTAGAAAACTCTTACAATGGTGTCGGTTTAGATCACGTCTTGTTAGTCAAAGTTGCTACCACCGCTGTTGTCTCCAAAATGTTAGGTTTAACCTACGAACAAACCATTGATGCTGTCTCCCACGCCTTTGTTGATGGTCAAGCTTTAAGAACTTACAGACATGCTCCAAACACCATGTCCAGAAAATCCTGGGCTGCTGGTGATGCCTGTTACAGAGCTGTCAACTTGGCTTACCACGTCAAAAACGGTGAAACTGGTATGCCATCTGCCTTAACCGCCAAAACTTGGGGTTTCTACGATGTCTTATTCAAGGGCAAACCTTTCGAATTCCAAAGACCTTATGGTTCCTATGTCATGGAAAACGTTCTTTTCAAGATTTCCTTCCCAGCTGAATTCCACGCTCAAACCGCTGTCGAAGCTGCTTTAACTCTCCACAACAAATTGAAATCCTTAGGCAAGACCTCTGACGATATTGCCTCTGTTGTCATCAAGACTCAAGACGCCGGTATGAGAATCATCGACAAGAAGGGTCCATTATACAACTACGCTGACAGAGATCACTGTATCCAATATATGGTTGCCATCCCATTGATCCACGGCAGATTAACCGCCGATGACTACTCTGATGAAATTGCTGCCAATCCAAAGATCGATGAATTACGTTCAAAAATGGAATGTGTTGAAAACCAACAATTCACTGTCGACTACCACGACCCAGCTAAGAGATTCATTGGTAACGCTTTAACCATCACCCTTAAAGATGGCACTGTCTTGGACGAAGTTGAAGTCAACTACCCAATTGGCCACAGAAAACGTAGAGAAGAAGGTAAACCAGTCTTGTTGGCCAAATTCGAACGTCATGTCAAAGAACACTTCAAAGACGATGCCAAAGTCAAACAAATCCTTGAAAAGAGTTACGATGCTGACTTAGACAACACCGACATTGATGAATATGTTGCCTTATACTCAACTGCTTAATTTTAGGCACCAACCTCAACGAAACAACAATATTCTTTTCTTGATTACTCTCACTTTTTATATTTAAAAATTCCTTATTTTGTAATGATCTCCCTACTTAACGTTATATAGATGACTTAATTGAATTTTATCTTGTATGTTTAACTCTTCTTCAAATTTAATTATTGGTCTTTTTAGTCTTCTCTCCCAAACTTGTAAATAATGTAAATCACTTATACTCAATACTCGACCTGCTTATCATTTAAATAATATTTCATTTTAAAAACAGATTTTCGGCAGCCAGATAACTTTATTTTCTTTTCTATTTATTATTATATATTTTTCTTTTTTTTCTTTTTTTTTCTTTTTTTTTACTGACTTTTTAATGTGATTGCTTTGCCAAAATAAAAGCAATAACCTGCTTCCACAACTAATAAAAAGGGCTGGATTTATCTCAATCAATTCAATAAACTAATCCATCATAATATGTATTATAGCAAAAATATATAAATATAAATATAAAAGCAATTTTGTATAATAAATTAAATATTCTGTTTTCAATTCATGAATTCCTATAAAATAAAAAAAATAATTTTTATTAATAGCCATTTTTTTATCTTTTTCTTTTTCTTTTAATACCTAGTAATTCTTTTGTTAGCAAATTCATTGGAAACAGTTATGTTATAGTGTGATAAATTAAGCTAAATTTATTTCAAAAACAAACACATTGAATAAGACAATAATTTAATAAATAAAAGAAAAAAAATAAATAGATAATAACAATAACAATAACAATAATAATAATAATAATAATAAATATTGAATAAAAAAATTTTAAAATCATTTTGATACCATGCTGATATGTTTCATCTCTTGAGAAATTGAAAAATTGAATTAGCAAACAAAAAAATATAAAAAATATAAAGAATATAAAAAATATAAAATAGAGTAAAATAAAGAGTAAAATATAGAGTTTATGAAAATTTATGAGAATTTATGCAAAATGGTTTCAAAATACTAAATGAATGTTAATAATTTCGTGCTAATATTTAATAGTTAAGAATCAATAGCTGATGTATAACAGAAATGAAATAAAAAAAAATGAAGAAAAAAAATTTAACCAGTAGATGATTTTATTTGGCTATTTCTTACTACTTTTAGCAATAGTTGACAAAAGAGTTTCGAAAGAAGGAATAGTTGTTGTTAATGTGTTTTGATTTGAATTCACCAACGCGTTTTGTTGGTAATTATAATAAGTATTGGGATTGATCTTATTATTATTATTCAAAAATCTATCATTTTCGGTTCTTTGAACTGAACGATAATTTCCATAAAAGTTATTATAAAATTGATTATCTATTTTTCTTGTTGAGTCCGTTGAATTGTAATTCATCTCGGGATAATTGGAATTGCTCGATGGAATTTTGGTATTGTTATCGTAAATATTATTATTGTCGTCATTACTATTATTAACTACGTTATTAGAGTAATAATTATTAACATTATTTAGAGTATTAAGATTATTAAGATTATTAAGATTATTGAGATTTTGAGTGGCACCGTAAATATTTTGAGTATCATAAATTGAATTGCAATTATTAGCAAGGGTGTTATTATATTGGTTATTTGGAGTATAATTCAAAGGAATATTGGGAGAGTTAATAAAGGCATTTTCATTGGAATTCTGTTCAACAATTGATAAATTATTTATCTCGTTATTAATCTTATAGTTTGAATTGGAACTGGAATTGGAATTGGAATTGGAGATTGAATTCAAAGTAGAATGGGAATTAATGTTAGAAGAATTATAATATCTCGAATCGGTTTCATCGGTATTTAGTGAATTGTTATAGGAAATTTCATTTCTATAATCTGTTGAATAAGATGAGCGATATCTAGAATAATATTGAGAATGGTATTGTGAATTTGGGTCAGAGGTATAATCAGGTTGACCATAAATTTCAGTTGGGGAGGTTTGAATTTGAATTTGAGATTGTTGTATTTGATTTTGATTTTGATTTTGATTTTGAAATGGAGACTGAGACTGAGATTGGGGTTGAGATTGGGATTGGGATTGAAAAGAGTTTATATTTGCATTATTTTCAACATAATAATTAGAGTTGATATTATTGTTATTGTTGTTGTTGTTATTATTATTGTTATTATTACTATTATTGTTATTACTATTATTGCTATTGTATTGTGTTTGAGTTTGGGGTTGAAGTTGAGAAGAAAAAATCAAATTATTTGATAAAGAATATTGATAAGTAATATAAGAATTTTCATTGTTTGGATGTCTTTTATTAATGTGTCTTGATAAATTCTCTTTTTTTCTTGATCTGTAAGTGCAGTCAGTATAGGGACAACTTTCAGGGTGTTTATCATGGCTTTTAACATGTCTTTTACAATAAGAGACATTTTTAAAACCAATGGTAGAGTAAACACAATTGGGGAATTTGCACTTATAACAATTTTCAATACCTTCCTCATCTAAATGTTTACAAAATTCCAAAACAGTTGTCAAGTTTTTATGGCAGCGTGAACATTTCCAACCACCTTGTTTTTTTTGGTTTGGATTGAGAAGTTTGTTGTTGAGCAAATGGGATACATAAGAGAAGCCATTATTTGAGGATAAATATTGTATATAAGTGTCTCTATCATTAGTGGGAGAGTTGTCGTTTAAATTTAAATGATTTGATCTGTTCAAGTCATTTGAGTCATTTGAGTCATTTGAGATATTGATAGGGTTATTATTAAGATTACCAAAATTATTGGTATTGTTGTTGGCATCAAAATTTTGATGAGAAGTATTGTTGTTATTGTTATTGTTATTGTTGTTTAGAGCAGCATTTTGGTTGTTATTAATACTATTATAGTCAGTATAATTATTATTTGAGAAGGTGTCAAGATTATTTTGTTGATAATAAGGATTAGAAAAATTGGAGTAGGATTCGGGATGTGGGTTTACATTAATCAAGCCAAACAGACTCTCAACAGAGTTTGTATCCGAAAGGGACGATTTCATTGTTTAGGAGGTGGTAGATATAGCAGAGGGGCTGCCAATAAAAGAGAGACAGAAAAAGAAAGAAAGAAAGAAAAAAAGAAGAGGAGAGGGAGGAGGGAGGAAAGAGATTGGTGTATGATTTGAAGGTTGATGAGAGCAAAAAGTAGTGGGTTGTAATAGGATAATAAAGTTTGTTGAGACCTTAAATTAATTGAGATCCGATTTTAAAATTTGAAAAAAGCTCTCAAAGAGCAAAAGGAAGTGAGGAGGAAAATTTCAAAGAGAAGTGAAGCACAGCCAGAAGAGCAGTAGAAAGAACAGCAGGAGTGTAGCTAAGAGAAGGTGCAGTTTCCGGTGAGAGAGAGGGTGGTGGTGGTAAAGCTGATTGGAGAAGAAGGGAGAATGAAGAGAAGAGAGAAAGATGTGGGAAATGAGAAATTAGAAATGAGAAGAAAAATGAGAGAGAAAGTGGCAGAGTTTGGTTTGATGAGCTAGAAAGCAGAAATGAATTGAAAAGGAAATGATATGGAAGTGATGAGAAAAAGCTGTGGAAATGATATGAAACTGGAATTAGATTTAAAGCGAATTTAGTCCTTAGTTCTAGGATTCGAGAAGGGGATAAAGGAGGGTTTATATACCAAAAAAGGCCAGTGGAGGAAAGATAGAATAGGTGGTAATGGTGATTGTGAGATTGGTGAAACTGGCTATTGAAACCAGTGGGAGTAGGTAGCAACTAGAAATAGAGCTAGTAGAACTAAGATGTAGGAAACAAGAAGTAAAGACAGTAAGAATACCATTTACAATTTGCAAAGTCTAAAAAATTATTGAAATATAGGCTACAGAAGTTAAAGACATTAAAAGAAAAATTAAAGAGCATGAAAACAAGAGAAATGTTACCAAACACAACCTTTTGAGAAATCTTAAACGTTTTAACTTTCTTCAACATAGCAGTGTGATTTGGCACTTTCCACTAAGTTTTGGAGCAGACATAACAGACATAAAGACCATGGAGCCCAAGAGCATGAGCTTCAGGAGCATAAGGGTCAGAACTAGAGCCCACACAAGGCTTTCGCTCGATATTAAAGTGCTCTTTCTCTTTGTTAGCAAGTCTGGGGAAGCAAAATAGCTCATGGGAGCAGATGATCTCAGCAAGAGAGATCGTCTTGGTTAACAGTTGGAAATGACTAGCAATTGGTGTTTGTTGGGCTCGACCTGGTTGCTGGATTCTTGTGTTTCTGCTTCTAGTGTTGTGATTGTCGTGAGCACTGCGATGTTTGGATCCAGTAAAAAAGAATGAATTGGGAAATTCGTTTTCATCTGGATGGCCAATTAGACTTGGTGCTCACATTATGGTTTCCTGATATTGTAATATCCAAAGTTGAAAAAGGGTGCTATGCTTTTCCCTTTGCTTTATTGCAGACTCATTCAGATCAATCAGACTCTTGGAGAAAATTGTACAGGACTATATGCTCACAGAATAAGGTTAACAATGGGAATTGCATTCCCCAGGTTATCGTTTATCCAGTAATTACCATACAAAAACCATAAAAACCCACAAATCTCTTGCACAACAACAGTAGGCAATGCATCACCAAAATAGATCCGGAGCCAGTAATCTAACGTCAATGAAGCCTTACGCTAGCTAGAAATTGAGAATCAACATGAGGACCAACATGAGAGCCATAAACACAAACAGCTCTGATTATCCAGATATTACAATGTCCTCGCCTCAATTCCTCCGGCAATACTTCATGTAGCTGTTATCAGCAGCTGTATTTCCCTGGCTATTGTTTCCTCCCCAATCGTCTTGCCAGTGCTCTGTTTCTGAGAACAAAACTCTACCCATTGCCTCCTGCTAACTTTATTCCTCTTATTCTCTTTGATGCTGCGATTCTGCTTGCTTTTCGGATAAGGCCCGCAGCGAATGCCTTTTGCCGGCCCAGGCTGCCTTGTGTATTCCGGTTGTGTTCCGGCACTACCGACCTGCTGCTTCTCAGACCAAATCGTAAACCGGTCTCGGCTGCACACCACCCGCATCGGCGTGGGCTGCCGTCTCCTCGATGCCGTTCTTGTGGCTGGAACACGTCGGGTTTTTCCGAAGTCAACTACTGTATCACTGTAGTTGTGCATGCTTATGCATGAAAAATATATCTGCTTAAAAAATAATCCCATGTTCTCGCACTTTGTGATTGTCCGTCATCCACAGACATGGTTTCTTTAACTTTCATATAATATTACGGTGCCCTTTATTTTTTGTTTTCTCTTTGTTTGTTTATAAATACTAGTAATACAAATAAATTAATCTAATGAACCTACCTTTCAAGTGCTTACCTAGATCTTAAATCGTTCACTTCAAATGGTAGCCCCGACTTGACTACCACATGTCCATTGGTGTACTTGAATCGGTTGCTTTTGATATTCATTATCTTACTGAACTTAGTTCTTGAACATACAGAATACAAATTTCTCTCATGATGAGGATGAAATCCTCGAAGTTTGCATTTCTTCATTATCTCTAATCCGTGTGGATCCGATATCCTAAACACTCCAAAATCTGGAATTGCATTTGGTGCAACAACTATTGCTATGGCCTCTGGCAACATTGTTTGATATCCATTTTGTGTGTGCAAGTCAACACTACTTAAAAAACATGATTGAGTAGGATGTGTATGAATCCATCCAAGCGTGATCAATTCATTGATACTAGCAAATTCCATTAATTTGATTTCATCAACAGCTTGACAAGTATTTGAACTGGAAACTTGATCTGGAATAATTAAATTCGTTATGAAATATCTGTCTTCAATTAATTTCCCAAATAATATACCACATGTTTCTAAATTATTTTTGGTATTTTTTTTAGAAATCTTAATAAACTCCTTTTTAATTTCATATGGTAAATAAACTGCCTTTAATATTAATCCTCCTTCTGTCATGGATATATTTTCATTTCCATTTTCATTTTCATTTTCATTTTCATTTTCATTTTTATTCAAATTTAACTTTAACTTCAAATTAGAATTTAACCCACTATCTTCATTATTTAAACTACTAATATCTTCTATATCATTAATATCATTAATATCATTTATATCACTTATATCATCAAATTCGTTAAAATCAATATTATTAATATCATTGATGATACTATCATCATCAATATTATCATAGAAATAACTATTTTCACTATTATGATTTTCGTTTAAATTATTATCATCATTATTATTATCATTATTATTATTATCATTATTATTATTAGTAGTAGTATTAGTAGTGACAGGAATATTATCATTATTATTAATATGATTAGGATTTAAATTGAAACTAGATGCTTGAGATCCCCCGAATGAACCTAACTGAGGATCACTAAATTTAGAATAATCTATCGTTGGTGAAGAAATTGATGGATATTCAGGAAAATAAGAAAGTTGTTTATTATTATTATTATTATTATTGTTATTGTTATTGTTATTGTTAATAGTACCATTAGTATGAGCATAAGCATGAGCATGAGGATGACTATAATTATTCATAACATTATTACTGTATTGAACAGGTTTCGTCCCATAAACATTACTTTTATAATCTCCATATCCCTCGGAATCACCATAATCCTCAGATTCTTCTGAGCCCTCATAGTCTTCATACTCATTGTAGTCATCGAACTCTCCGGGATTACTATAAATTCTGCTCCTTAAGTGATTATTATTATAATTATTTAATATTTCTTTTGAATGGCCATTATCTGATATATATTCTGAATCATTTCTAATATAATCATCAATATAATCGTCAACGTAATCGTCAACATAATCGTCGACATAATCGTCAATGTACTTTTCAACATATCTATCAGTATCATTTTGATTGCTAAAATTTAAATTTTTCAATTGCTTTGGGTTCCCATTATCACGGCCCGAAATTATTTTATCATTAGTTAACGTTAATTTCAAGTTATAATTTGGATCATTTATTTTTAATTGATTTTGGTAATCTGCAGCTTCTTTTTCAAATAAATCCTTAGCTTCATCTAATAAATTTGAATGAAGAATTTTTTTGTTTGAGTTTCCATTGCTTTTCACTTTTCTCTTTTCATTTATTTGATTTTTTTTAATAAATTCCAAATTATTTAAATATTCGCCAATTTCTTCATTAATTAATATTTTCAAGTTTTTAGAGTTTTCATAACTCCTCTCGATTTCCCCGAGTAATCCAAGATACAACGAATCTTTTTTATCCCCAAGTAGAAAAAATTGAGGGATCTTTTTCAAAATCAAATCAGTAAATCTCAAATAAAAAATATATGCTTCTGGATAATCACCATATTTATATCTTTCATCAGCCTATATCATCAGTAAGAAAACAATAGAAAAAAGAAATTTAAGAGAGAATGAGTTAAAAGTTAGTATTTATTATTGGTGAAAAATTCAATTTTTAATCAAGATAAATAAAAAAAAGAAAAGATTGACAGCTAAAATGCAATCAAACATGCAACAAAAAATACGATAATAGCAATAATAACAGTAATTACATTGATAACCATACAAAGCTAATTTACATACTTCACTGAGAAGCATATGAGCAATTTCTACCCACGCTTTGTAGGTACCTTGAGTGGAAAAGCTATAGGAATATGCTTCGCTTTCCAATTTTTTGATCGACCGAGGACATCCCTTTTCCATTATCAAACAAGCATTGTATTGTCTAACCAAGCAACCCAAACAAACATAGCAGCACCAAATAAAACGAGCATACAGAAGATACCATATTTATATCAGTCTTTTTGGAAGAGTAAACAAAAGAGAACCGCAACTGCAATCGCTGTCCCGTTCCGCTGGAAATCGCAGTTCTGCGCCCGAAAAGCGGCGGTTTTTTTTGGAGACTCCGCCGGGAGCCTGATCCGCTGCAGTGGTGTTTCCCATTGTAGTGGGTTTTATCCATTGCGGTGGGTTGCATCCATTGTGCTAGTGCTGGTTTTGCTGCCTGTGCTACCAGAAGGGTTTCTAACGGTCTTTGGAAGCAAGGTAAAGCAACAACGTTTTGAGATTCCCCAAGATGTTCCGGCTTTCAGGAACCACCAATCCTTCTTCGTGACACAACTGCTCGATGTTCTTGTTCAACAATATCAAACCGTACTCAAACTTGTACAAGTAGTTTTGATTGTCCTTCAACCAAAGTGGGAATATCTTGCTGCTCGATATCTTTGAGATTGGATCGTAAATATACGACTTGGATCCCAAGAAAGTCATGGGATACCTTAGCGGTATTGACAAGTACAATGCAATGAGATTAACCAATTTAACAACAAATCCCATGGCTGAATCGATTTCGATCTCCTGGTATGTTGTTAGTAGTAAGTTATTGTCAATTCTGTTGGATTTGTATGATGATGTCAGTGATAGTATTGAAAACAAATCCTTTCTTGTTGAATAAACAGAAGCTCTAGTTGAAGTCGCAGTTGAGGCTGCATTTATGTTGCTGATTGTAGCAGTTAATGGCGAATTTGCAAGATCAACTGAATTTATTGTCTCATTATCGCGACCAGATACCGCTGAGTCATTCAATGTGTTAACCGAGCTTATTGAATTTCTTCTTGAATTGATATTTCTATTGATTTTGGTTTTCTTATTGATAATATTTAATATAGGATAATTTTTAAAGATATTTGATAATAGCGAAAGGCTTAAATTTAATATGGTGAATTCAAATGGATTTCTTGCATCATTCTGAATTGGGAAGACATCCATTAAATATTTAAAGACTTTGTTTGATAACATATTATTCATTTTAATATTCATAATTTCATATTCATTAAGATATTCTCCATACAATTTCTTTTCTTTTAATACCTCTTTTCTTAAAGATAAAAATAGTGTATTATAATTTTCATTCTCATCACCATTCTGGTAGCCATAATCATAATCAATATCGCTGTCATCATCATCATCATCATCATCATTATCATTATCATTATCATCATTGATGTCAATGCTGTTGTCATTATTAATATCAATATTACCATTCACTTTTAACTGAATAATATCAATATTCTTACAAATTTCATCATAACCATCATTATTGTTATCATCTTCATCTTCGATTAAAAGTATTTTCTTTTTATACACCAATTCTTGTTTCAACTTTTCTTTAAAATTTTCCAAGTCATTTAATCTTTTTTTTTCGGCTTTTAGAAATGTTTTTAATTGATTAATTTTAAGACTGATCGTTGAGTTTAGTTTGCTTTGAGGTATCAATATTTTATCAAACTTATTATCAAACGGAATAAGATTACGATTATGGTTATTATTGTTATCATTATCATTATCATAATTAAAAACAATATTTTTATTCAAAGTATCCTCAATTTTTGAGTTCAATTTATATATAATTTTTCTTAAATCTTCAATGCAAGATAAAAGATTTGTGATCTTAATTAATGAGTCAAAAGATAATGACGAAACATTTTTAGTAAAATTATTAATTGAGGTAGCTGAAGAAACTACAGATAAAGATCGTGAGATTTTGTTATTATTAAATGCCTGATTTTTAGATTTATTATCAATTTCATAAATATTTTTAAAATTTAAACCATAAGGTAATAAGTAACACCCGTCTTTTAATGAAAGAATTATAATATTTTTCTGATAATTAAGATAATTTAGAAAAGATGAACTGAAAATATTGGGGTTTCTAGATAAATTTGACAACTGAAGGTTAAATGAAGAAATTGAAGAGGCTGAAGAAAAATTATTATTATTATTGTCCAAATTATTAAGATTATTATTATGCAGGGATGAATTTAAATTGTGATATTTTTTGGATTTTTCTATATTAAATTGCAAAGATTGTATGTCATTATCGAGATAAATCAAGTTTGATAAGTTGATATTTATTGATATTATTAAATTCCATAGATTATTATTATTATTATTAGTAGTATTATCATCGTTATTACTGTACCTTGCCCAGATTTTTAAATTTAATTGAGAAAACCTAGTTAAATTTGAAAGATTAATTTCTTTGAGAAACTGCAAAAAATTGAAATTAATATCAATGAAATTTGGATTTAAATTGTTTGGAATGATTTCACTTATATAAAATGGAGAATTATGTATTATTTTGATTTTTTGATTTTTGATTACAATCGAATGTAGTGAGAAAAATGAATCAAGTAATCTAGAATCATTTAAGGATTTTAAATTAGTGTTGTTATAATCATTGTCTATTATATTATCATGTTCATTCAATTCCCCTTTCAAGTCAACATTGGAATTATTTAAATTTTCATTTAGACCTTGAGATTTTCTTATTGAAGAAGATAAAATTGAAATATTTGTTGATTTAAAGCCATTTGCAGTATCAAGGGTATCAGCAGCATCATTACTGTTGTCGTCTTCGTTGTCTTTATCATTATTATGATTGATATCTATATTATTCAAGAATAAGTTTCTAATCGATATACTTTTGATATGACGAATTCTTCTTTGCATAGGTTATAAATTATAAATCGAGGTAGAATCAAAGTGAATAGAACAAATTAAGCAGTCTATCGTTATAACAAACATCAAAAATCATAAAGCTTCTTGGGATCAATTAATATACCAAATCTTGCAACAGCTGGATGAATTCTATGGATATCTCTGATCAAATCTGATCAAATCTGACAAAACTGTAAAAATTGCAATTCCTTTACAAACCCACTTTGATTGCGGGCTGTTCTCCGAAACACATCCACGAGGCCGGCAGAGCAAAATGCTGCTTTCTGCTGCCAGTCGCGTTACTGTTTGTGTTTCCTCTGTTTCCTCTGTTTCTCCTGCTTCCTCTGCTTCTTACTCTCTCGCTTCTTTTTCTTTTGTTGCATTTGAAGCTTGCAGGCGACAGTAGTTAAGGCCGACAGATGCTTCCTATAGTTAAGGCCGGGCATGTTGCTTCTCCAGCTGTTTCTGCTTCCCGGCCCCCGGATACAGAAAAAGATTTGCCTTTCGAAGTGCTTGGAAAAGCAATGCTATTGTGTTGTGAAAACTATATATATACGTAGACCATCATTTGATGTGCCTCAGCGTTTTTTGGAAAGACTTTTAATCTCTGCTTCGCTGCTTTCAATGACTTTGGTGCTTTCAGAGATCTTGTTGGCCAAATGGCTTACTCTTGTCTTGAATTCCTTGTTGTTAACTGCATACCCCAATCCTTTGATCTCATCTTCCCATGTTTTGATTCTGTTCACCTCGAATTTGATTAAATTGGTCAAATAGGAGGTTTCCAACACATTATATATTTTTTGGTCGTTCACAATGTTGTTGAAGGCTGCTCTCAATAATGGTTTTCCCGGTTTAATCTTATCAATAACACCCCTATCTTTGACTATTCGGATCAAATTCTCTCTTTCCAACTTGGATAAAACCTCAATTGAGTTGCTCTTGAATAATGGCAAGTGATAGACCTTAGAATAAGGGATAGCCTCTTCTTCCGATAATAATTTGATTATATTCCATGCTTGAGCTGACTCAAGTAAATTGTTATTCCGTATTATAAAAATTTGTGTCACTTGTTCAGCAGTCTGTTTGATCATTTCATCCAATGCTTGTTTGGGTAATTCTCCAGACTTTACTCTTCTTACAAATGCTTGTAAATCTAACATTCTACCACCGATAGGTCCTAACGCATCATCTAATTCAATCAACTGATATCTTGGTATTCCAAATCCACTCTCAAATTTTTTATTGTTGATACCTGTATTAATACCGTTATTACGAATATCATCAACATGTTTGGAACTGCTGCCATTCATTAATTGATTCAAAACATACTCTCTTGAAGAATCGGTTGACGCATCTTCTAAAGTCGAAACCTTAAACACTTGATTTGGTAATGAATCTGCTAGTAATTGTAAACTGCTAACATCCTCGGTTAAAAATATAACTTGTGCAAGGTTCATTGAAACTAATAGGGCTGCCCAATCCGCTATCTCTTTATAAACAAATGAATAGTTATCGGATTTAGACAAAAATCTATCAATAACAATTATGGGCTTTTCTTCTGGATGCTGTTGCAAATAATCTTCTTCTTTCAAATAACTCATTGATAAACTATTGTCATTCGCACTCCTATTCCCATTCCTATTTAGATTGATTTTATTACCAATGCCGCTTTTGACCAATGGTCTTTTTGATGTTTTATCATAATTTTTTAATGAAATCTTTCGAATCGCCATCATTGTTGAGTTAAGCATCGCTTTAAATTGGTTCTCTACTGTTTCTGATAATCCGCTTTTACTTCCTGTAAAACCCTGAACACCTAAATCAATCATCTTGTTTATTGAATTTAACCAAGAAAACTCTGGGAAATAACCAATTTGATCGGCAAAGTTTGATATAAATTGTCTTGGTCTTCTGGATTTGACTATCTTATCCAAATCAATATATAATACATTGTCTTTATCCTTTAAGGCATGTTTAATAACCATTTCATGTTTACCTCCGCCTCTTGGGCCTTTTACTACAATAAAAGTGTTAACATTTTCAGATAACCATAATCGTAACTCTTGAATTTTGCTAATTCTTTCCGGCCATAGTTGTTTTGTATGATCAATTTCATAGTCATCTTGTAAATTTATCATATTTTGAATTGATGATATAGTTTCTTTAGTAATTTTGGTAATATAACTGAAAATAAAATTATTTTCAGCATTGTTTAGTACTTTACGATATCTTTGGGTGATTTTTTCTTCTATAAACCATTCCCGGATTGGATCAAATATCATCACAGCAAATGTAGCCAATACAGCTATTAAAAATGGAATTGAAATCTTTGTATGGTTCATAAATGCATCTTTTAGAATATTGTGAGTTATGATTTTTTCATATTTAATATGAATTACGGTATCGTTTAATTTTAACCCAGTTATACAATTTTTGGCGCAGATAGCTGATCGAATTCTATTAAATATAACAAAGGCAAACTTGGGAAATTCTTTATTTGATGGAGATGATGGAATGATATCAATAATTTTTCCATATCTTCTAAACAATTGATATAAATCTTCTTCTGATAGCTCTGGGCCTTCAAATATCACTTTCAATTTGAATGTTGGATATCTTCTTAAATCTTCAATCCATGGGGAACCTTTGACTGGATAAACATATGGTCTTGGTAAAATCTTGTTTAAAATTCCTTCACTATTGTAATTTATACAGTTCTTTTGAATTTGTTGATTGAATTCGGCGATTGATATGTAATTTGGTACTTGAAATTTAACAAATGCACCACCATCTCTTTTTAGTGGAGTAAAAGAAGTAATTTTTAGATCTGAATTGAGAAGCCTATTAGTTGTTGGAACTAGTGGGTTTTCCACTTGATTTTTATCCTCGATATTTGCTTGATCCTTATCGGCACCCTTAATGGTATCTTTGGTTGTATCTTTGATGGTATCAGCTGTAATTTCACTAGTGTCCTTTTTTGGGTTAGAAGATAAGTTTATTATATGCTTTTGAACGCTTCTGTGTGATTTCAAATTGGAAAAGATAAAAAAGTTTAGATATTTCCTAAAGTCATATTTTCTTTGATAAAAAGGATAAACATTGTCAAAAAACAAAAGGGTTTCATGTTCTGATTTCTGAATGACTCCGGTTTTCTCGGTGCCTTCGAATTCTCCGGTTTCAGTGTCTTTCTTTAGCACTTCGTCAGAAATAAATCTTCGTGAGCCTGTTTGGAAAAGTTGGTGATATTGGTATAACTGGGGAAGTTGGGGATGTTGGGATAGTCGGCTGACTGATCTGAGGAAGGCTGATTTGTTCAGGAGATAGCAATGGCCAGTATGGGGATATTTCTTAACAATAGCGAGCATGGTAAGCAGCAGTGGATCGTGGTGTAACAGGCACTCCAGAGACAATTGCAGCACAAGAAACAAACTGGAGCTGGGTCCATCAGCAATGGAGCAATAAAGGAATAAAGAATAAAGCAAAGAAAGCGATTATCACTCCTCCACCACCGGAACACGTGGTATGGGCCGGATCTTCTCCTTCCACGTAGGCGCTTTTCTCTTCCTCCTCTTCTTCTCCTTCTTCTTCTTCAGAGGCATCTTCATCAACAGTACCAGAATACGTTTTTTGCTTGCTACAAGCTCCAGTACTACTCAATTGCCATGTCTGAAAAAACAAACTATAGCATCCAAGGACTCAGTCTTGTTACACTTTTAAAGAGGTATGGCACTTTGTTTTTCAACTTATTCTGACCCTAAAACAAAAACTAACATTCACATTTTATCTCAGACTCGATGCTGCTACTTCTCGTTTAGAAGACATTACAATTTTTCAAGAGGAGGCTTTTAAAAACTCTCAATCGTTAAAATCAGCTTCTCCAGCAGCTGCAATTCCCGAACATCCCCAACCTGTCTCAAAAGACTCGGCATCTACAAAGACACCTCCAGGCCCTACTGATGTTTCGTCTGTTGCTCCTGATTCTTCAACTTCAACTTCAACTCCCCAGACAGCCTCAATTGCTAAAGCGGTTCCCTCACCTCCTGTTTTACCTACTGTCGAGGAAAAAACTGTTTCTTTATCAATTCTAGACTTTGAATCTTTCATTTCTGATTTTATTGAGCCTTTAGTCTCAATATCGAAAAAAATTGATCCAATTGTGTTTGATCAGGCCAATTTATTATTGCAGGCTTTTAAAGCCGAATTGAAGTTCCTTCAAATTGTTATAAAATCAAAGAAACCTGACCCAACTAAACCAATTTTTGCTGAAACCTTACAACCAATCAATTCAGAAATCGAAAAAATGATTGCTTTAAAGGATAAAAATAGAACTTCAAAGTTTTTCAATCACTTGAATACTATAGCTGAAGCTGCACCAGTTCTTGGTTGGGTTTGTGTGGACATTCCAGTCGCCTTCATTCCAGAATTCAAAGATTCTTCTCAATTTTGGTCCAATAGAATAATGAAAGAATATAAAGATACAGACCCAATCCATGTTGAATGGGTTAAAACCTTTTCACTGATTTTTGGCAATTTGAAAAATTATGTTAAAAAATATCATATGAATGGGTTGGCCTGGAATGCAAATGGCTTGTTCTTCGAAGAAGCCATAAAGGCTGTTGAAGAAGAAAACACTCCCAAACCACCCAAACCAGAACCTACTCCTGCTGCAGCTGGTGGCCCTGCACCCCCACCACCTCCAATGCCACCTGCTTCACTTTTTGAAGTTGAAGCTACTCCTCAACAAGAGACTGGTATCAATGCTGTTTTTTCAGAATTAAACAAAGGCGAAGATATAACAAAGGGACTTAGGAAAGTTGATAAATCAGAAATGACACATAAGAATCCCTCATTGAGAGCTTCATCTGTTGTATCAACCAAAAAGACCCCTCCACCTGCTCCAAAAAAACCCTCTTCTTTACTTTCCCATTCTTCGGCTTCAAAATCTGTACCATCAACTCCACCTGCCAAAACTAAAAAACAACCAAAAAAGGAATTGGTTGATAGTAAATGGACGATTGAAAATATTTCAAATGATCATACAATTGAAATTGACGGAGAAATGTTTCAGTCAATATTTATTGGAAAATGTTCAGAAGTTACAATTCAAATCCATGGAAAAGTCAATGCAATCACAATTAGCGAGTCCGATAAAATCGGATTGGTGGCTGATACTTTAGTCTCTGGAATAGATGTCATTAAATCTAGTCATTTTGGAATTCAAATTATCAATACCTGTCCAATGATTTCAATTGATAGTTCAGACGAAGGCTCGGTTTATTTGCCAAAAACAAGTTTGAACACTGAAATATTTACAAGTCAAACAACCGGATTGAATGTTAACATCCCAGATGTAAAAGATTCTGATGATTATAATGAAATTCCTGTTCCTGAACAATTTAAGCATACATTTAAAGATGGAAAGATGGTCAGTACAATCGTTCAACATTCTGGTTGAATCTAGTATTTTTGTCATTAAGCTTTTATTATGATTTACCTTTTTTTTAGTTATTTACTCGTTCATTTATTTATCTATGTATTGATGTTAGAAAGTTGAATTTATTTTTTTTTTTATATATTTTTGTTTTTCTCATAATAATAAAGGTTGATTAACCTATATTCATTTTCTTTTCTAGCCTTTCTGGTTTTGTAACTGGATGGTTGCTATAATGTAGATAAGTTTCTCAACTGAAACATTGAAATTTGGGTTGGTAAAAAAGAGGTATATAAACAATCCAATCATTCATCTAGGCTCTGTTACAATAATTGATAATTCCAGTGGTTGTGATATTTTTAGCTAGTGATTGGTATTTATCTGGCTCCATTTTTTTTAGCTTGGATATTCAGTCCTTTCATTGATTTTAATAATGTTTTCAACCAGAAAAGTTACTATCATTGGGCTGAAATACTACTATCATCTGCTTCGATTCATAGCCATGAAACAGTTTTTTGTTATTCTGCTTTCGTTGTCTTAAACAGTATTACAATGAGGCTCTGAATCAAGTTTAACTAACATCGGGCTAGGAATTTCATGATGCCACATCAATAAAACAGCATAGCTTAGCAGTATAATCATCAGGTACCTTTGGCTTAATTCAGAAATACTGAGCCGAATTCTCAATCACCGAAAAATACACATTCACATGCATAGATCTGCAAGAGTGCATGTATTAGACATTAAACACCGAACCTGGCTGTTTGTTTTGCTGATAACGATTTTGTCTGCACACCAAAGAATAGACACTATCGCCATCCAGACGTGTGACTGTTTTGTCAGTTACTCTGCCGGGTACTGGAACCAAACAGATGGAGATACCATAAAATCGCTGGCTAACCAAAAGTGGCGAGTTTTCCCCAGCAAATCCCATTCGATGGCATATGCAGGAACATGCATACAGCCCACAGCCAGCGCGAGTTCTGACCTAGAACCACGTGCTTCGGCGGCGTTGTTCATTTTGGCAGCAGATCAAAATGGGTTTTGTTGGCTTCACTGCAACTTCTACATTTTGTTGATGCTTTGCTTCTTCTGCTTCTCCCTCTTCTATCCCACACCCCAGCTGTTTCCGTAAGACTTCTGCTATTTCACTTCAAAACACACTTTCTGGCTCATTTGCTTTGTTGAAGCTCACTTTTCTTATTTTCTCCTTGCCTTATCTCCAATACCCTCTTGAATATGTCTGCAGATTGGACTGTTGATCCTGATACAAAAAGGAAGTTGCTCATTTTGCAAAAAATCGGTTCAAACAAAAAATGTTTTGACTGTTCTGCACCAAATCCACAATGGGCCTCGCCAAAATTTGGTATCTTTATTTGTCTTGAATGTGCTGGAATCCACAGAGGTTTAGGTGTCCATATATCCTTTGTTAGATCAATTACCATGGATCAATTTAAAAATGATGAACTACTAAGAATGCAAAAGGGCGGCAATCAAAACTGTGCAGAATACTTGAAAGAAAATGGTATTAATTTAAATTGGGATGCTAAAAAGAAATTTGATAATCCTGTTGCTGAGGATTATAAGGAAAAACTAACTTGCGAAATTTCAAATAAACCATTTGTGAAAAAATCACATTCCAATTCCAGTAACTCCAGTTCAGCTTCAAACATACCATCAAGCTCTATCAATAATAATTCTCCAATAGGCTCTCGCAGAGGAACTCCAACTTCTTTTTCAAACTCTGCATCAAACTCAAATGCAAACCTCAATTCTTTCTCAAACAACCCAAATAATTCCAACAGTTCCAATCAAATTTTGTCTGCAAATAAGCAAAGAAATGAAAACTATTTTGCTTCTTTAGGTGCCAGAAACGAGTCTCGCCCTGAAAATTTACCTCCCTCTCAAGGTGGGAAATATTCTGGTTTTGGTAATACTGCTGCTCCAAAAACTCAATCTTCTTTATCGACTTTATCGTTTGATAACTTGCAAAAAGATCCTCTCGGTACTTTGACTAAAGGTTGGGGCTTATTTGCTTCATCGGTAGTTAAATCTGTTAATGAAGTCAATGAAAGTGTTATAAAACCAAATTTACACACCTTACAAGAAAAAGATATAGCTAATGAAGCTAAAAGAGCTGTATCTCAATTTGGTTCAAAAATTCAAGATGTTCAACGTAGTTTCAATCAAAATAATCAAATTAATCACAATAACAACATCAATTCGAACCAATTTGCTTTTAGAACTCTGAATAAGAAAAATGAAAATAAATTTGGAAAATTGTTCGATGATTTAGGTGAAGAACAAAGTTTAATGCATGATAATAATGGTGATAAATTGATTGAGCCTGCTTTCGGTTTACAAAAACCAAGAGAAAAGACTAATTTACAAGGCTTATCTGGCGGAAGAACTGTTCAAAAAAAGAAAAGAGATGATTGGGACAATTGGGATAATTTTTAATTATTAAAATCAGACCTTGTCATTATTATTTTTTCTTATTTTATCTTTTATTTTTTGTTTGTTTAATTTTGTTTATTATTTGATTTTATTTTAATTTGATTTTAATTTAATATTATCTATTGCATTTTTCTTTTGCTTTAAACTTTTTTTCCTGTTTTTTTTTTCTTTATTTTTTATAACTCAAAACATATTTAATTTTAATTTTAATTCTCAACTTTATTTTTCTATTTCCCTTTTCTATTTTCTTTTTTTTAATGATCTTATCTTCAATTTTGTATTACTTAATGTTTTTTTTCTAGAAAATCATAGTCAAAAACTGTTGAAAAGCATTGATCAATTAAATTAAATTAAACTAAATTAAATTAAATAAATTAAAACAAAACTAAAATAAAGTAAACTTTAAAAATAAAAAAAATAGAAAACTCTTTTTCAACTAGCAATAATAGTTATAAATAACGAGAAAAATTCAGATAAAGTTTTAAAGTCTTCCTTCAATAGAAAATTATACTATATACAAATATATAGATAAATAAAAATTATAAAAAATAAACAAATCAATATAAATTTAAATTTTAATAAAGAAAAAAACAGAAAACAAAAACAACTAAAAAGAAAGAGAAAGGGAAAAAAAAAAACAACAAATAAAAAAAAATTGATTGCAAAAAAAATATGAATTAATTAAATAGCACAGGAAAATTTTAACAAAAAAAATTCACAATCTAAAAAATATGGTTAATAATAAAAGTAGTAGAATAAAGTGAAATAAACTAATTTATGGAAAAAAAATAATGCAAACTTATAAAAGGACAACAAAAGATTGAAACAAAAATTAAATCATATTTTTTATAAGTTGATGATTATTTTTTTTTGTTGTTTTTGCTTTGAGTTTTTTTGTTTTTTTTGTTTTTTCCTCTTTATTTTTTATGATTTGTTTTTCTTTCAATTCTTAAAGGGATTTAGAAATCATTTTTTAGAGTTATTGAAATATCTTTTGAATTCTTTAATTTTTTTTTTTCATTTATTAATAATAACTAAAAATCATCAAAATTATTAAACCAACGAAAATATTGATATAATACCGGCACAAGATACAAAAACAGGTAGACAGATAAATATAAGTGAAAAGATAAATAAAGTAAATATAATCAAATATAAGTAAATAGGTAAATAAGTAAATAAACATTAAGAAAAGAAAAATGACAATTTAGATCAATAAATATACACAAGATTAAAGAACATCATTAAGATTGTGTGATGAATTGATTGTTTGAGCTATAATAGGACAAAAGAAATAAGGATTAAAAGTTAGAAGAAACAAAAACAGAAAAAGATGTACAAAAAACAAAAGATTAAAGAATCAAAAATGAACAAAATGAAAAATGACAAATAAAAATAATAATCAAAATCAAAATTAAAATTAGGATTAAAGATAAGATTAAAGATAAAATTATTATTAGAATTTTGTTTTTTTGTTTTTTTTTTCAATATTTTTTAAAAATTTTCAAGTGTATAACTTTTTTTTTGATGTTTTTTTTTGGTTTTTTTGGTTTTTTGGATAAATTTTTTTTTTTCGGATTTTTTAATTATTATTAATTTTTTTTTTAAAAAAAAAGGATTTTGTTAATCAGTTATTAGTTATTCATCACCATTTAGAGCTCTAATGACAGCAGGTCTTCTCATCATATATTTTGTCCATTTGTAAACTTCTGGAAATTCAATTTTTATGTTGATACCAATTCTATCAACGACATTATTCCAAGGAACAAAACTCAAGTCGGCTATAGTGATATGATCACCAACCAACCATATTGGATAGTCGAAGAATCTTGATTGAGATATTGGTGTTCTGCCACTTGAATAGTCAGCAGCATTTTCTATATCTAGTTCCATGATCAAGGCTTCTCTTCTTTCAGCAAGGGCCATTTCGACGACACCATAAACTCTTCTAACTTCATCAGTGTATCTTTCGACGGCAGAGGGAACAGACTGGGAATGGAAGTATCTAAAATGTAGGGCTTGACCTATCATTGGAGAGTGGCCCGAAGTCTGGAAGAATAACCAAGATAAGATTTGAGATTTTTCAGATAAATCGTTTGAGTATAGTAGACAGTTGTGGTCGCCGGAAAAGTTTAATTGGATGTATTTTTCTACTAGATATAGGATAATTGAACCAGATTCCCATATAGCTAGGTTATTGTTTGAGTGGTCTATTATGGCAGGTACTCTTGCATTTGGGTTGATTCTAACGAATTCTGGGGCTCTTTGTTCGCCGTTGTTGAAATCTAGGAAAATTGTTTTGTATTTGAATTTTAGTTCAGATAGGATTATGGCGACTTTGAAACCATTTGGAGCAGAACGATGAGAAAATAAGGTGATGCCATCAGGAGGAGGGTTTTGGAAAAACTGGGAGATTCTTGATTGAGGATGTTGCAGTATTAATAATTGTTGTTGTTCTGAGGATATTATGCTGTTTATGTTGTTTATATTGGGGTTGTTTGAGTTGTTGTTGTTGTTTATTAGCTGTTGTTGTTGTTGAGATATATGGACGTTTTTAAGGGCAGAGGATAGGTTTGATACAGTTGTAGGGTTAGTCTGCTGGTTATCAGAGGGGCTGTTGTTATTGGAGGGATTGTTGGAAGTATTGGTGATGTTATTGGGGGGAATTCTGTCGCTGTTGGGATTGTTGGGATTGTTATTATTATTATTGTTGTTGTTATTGTTGTTGTTGAAAATTTGATTTATCATTTTGAAAAGGTTATGAGGAAAGAAAGAGGTTGCGAGTAAGTAGAATTAGGTGATATATATGAGGATATGTACGAGGCTAGGACAAGCAGGAGTAGTAATGAGAAGAAACGACAACAAAAAAGTGAAAAAAAGCAGTGGAATATGAGATGGATAGAATAGGAGATTGGAATCAGTAGAAATAGGTTGGAATCAACAGAATCAAAATGAAATAAAAAGAGTTGTAGATTGGAAAACAGAGAGATGAAAATAGGAAAACGAACAGAAATTTTTCTTTTTCCAGATTAAAATTTTATTTTGAGGAAAACTGCAGAGGAGGAAAAGGGCAGAATGGGAAGGTTTTGTTTGTCTCTCAGGGCTCAACGTCAGGAAAAAGAGATAACAGAGGCAACAGAGATAACAGAGGCAACAGAGGCAACAGAAGAAGATGGAGGCGGTAGTAGAGGAGTAGCAGAAGCAGCAGAAGCAGTAGAAGCAGCAAAGGCAGAAAAGGCAGCAACAGAGACTGGAGGAGCGAGAAGTTGCAGCAGAGGCGTTTTAAGCAGGAAAAGAACGAGAAGAAGAGGAATATAAAGAGAAGAAGAAGAGAAGAAGGAGAAGCAGCAGCAGCACTACCATCATTCAGGGGCACGTTCCGGCGGCAGAGGCAGCAGCGGCAGCAGCAAACCCCCGGCGCTTAATTAGTTGCCTGGGTGGCGAAGAAGGGGCTGGAGGAAAACGAAACGAATCAAAAGAACCAAATTGAAGGAATCAAATCAAAGGAATCAAAGGGATCAAAAGAATCGTATACAACTACAGAGCTCAGTGTGCTGCAAAAGACGAGCCCTTCATCTGCTCGCGCTTCCAGAACTTGAACAACAAGTCGCCATATTTCTGCAACTCCTCTACCTGGATCATCAACTTGAACTTCATCAACAACAAGAACTGCAACTCCAAGTGGTTCAACTCGTCGATGGGCAATCCTCCCACCCTGGCGTATCGCGAGTTTTTGTAGAACACGTCTGAGAAGAACTTGGACGACACTGTGATGCCTGAGATGATCAAGCGATGGATGTTGTACGAGTCCATCACAAACAACTGGCTTCCACCTTCGCTGTGCTCGTCCTCGCCAATGTCCACATCTCCATCAGCATCAACCTCTTTGTCGTCCTTCAAAAGCCCATTCTCCTGCTCGTTGGCCTCTTTACTCTTCAGGCTCTCCTTGCTACTGTTCGCATTGTTCACTTTCTTAGCAATTCTGTCAAAGTAGACCAACAAACTCAAAAACACCTCGTTTGTCAATGGACAGTACTTCAGTATTCTCTGTAAATAACTATATATTGAAATCGACGGAACGTTCTTCCCATGAAACGCCAAAACATTGGTCTTAAGATTACTTATTCTGTCGTCGTTGTTGTTTTGCTTGTGACTGTTAAACTTGCTGTTGGAATTGTCGTGGTTGTATCCACTGTTTTTCAGACTACTGTTGCTATTATTACTATGCTCGCTATCGTCGTCGGTATGGTTCTTGTTGAAATGGTTCGGATGTATTGCATCATTAGCTTCAACAATTCTTGCCAACAAAGCCGCCAACATTAGTAACAAATCGTTGGTTGGGAAATCAACGATGTTCAAGTGGTATTGACTGCTGCTGCCGCCAGTGTTATTAGCATGGTTACCATTAAGATTGATGTTAGGATCGTAGTTATTTTGGTTTGAATTTAAATTTTGAGACGAAGCAGCTGAAGAAAGCGAAGATAACGATCTTGCGTGTTGAGTGATTATATTTGATCTTATTTTATTGTTATTATTATTATTAGTAGTAGTTTTATTGGGATTGTTCGTATTGTTATTGGAAATTGTCGATTGGATTAGTGTCTTGGAGGAAGACGCTGAGTTTAAAGAAGAAGAAGGTTCGTTTGTCTCCATTGATACGTTAATGTTGGTTGTATTAGTAGTTGGTTGAGAAGTTTGAGGTATAACAAATCCATTTTTCTTTGAATTATCAAAGTATGGGATGAACCCATTAGTATTGCTAGTATTGTTATTATGAAGACTAAGAGTAGAGTTGTTTGAATAAGATGACGATATTACATTTGGAGGATTATGATGATAGCTATACACTGAGTTGATGCTGTTATTAACATTAGTGTTGTTATTCTCTTTTTGATTTTGATTTTGATTTTGAATTGATTTTGATAGTTTCGAAGTTAACAAGGATTGTCTAGGTTTATTAGTGTTAGCATTAGTATTAGTATTAGTATTAAGAATATTTAGATTTGAACTTGAATTTGAACTAGAGTGAGAAAAAGAATTTGAAAAAGAACTTGAATGAGAAAATGAGTTTGAATTTGAATTTGAATTTGAATTTGACTTTGAATGAGAATTGGAATTGGAATTGATATTGGAATTGATATTGGAATTGGAATTTGATGTTGTGATAGAAGAATGATTGTGTGTATTTTTAAATTTATTAATGTTATTGAAAAAGGAATTTGATTCGTTTAATGAATTATTCGTTGTATTACTAGTGTTACTTGTATTCGAGTTATTGGAGTGGTTACTACTATTACTTATATTCGATGCATTAGATGCATTGCTATTGTTTGTTGACACTTTGATTATATGATTTATAAAGGAGTTATTGCCAGTGAACGAATTTGAGTTTCTAAAAGATGAGGGTGCATCAGCTCTTGGGCTTGATATGGTATTGTTAAAATAATTATTGGATTGAAAACTCATTTTATTAATATTGTTAATGCTATTGTTACTGTTATTTAGAGTGTTATTTAAAGTGTTGTTACTAGGATTAGGGTGATTTTTAGAATGATTGGTGAGACTGTTATTGGTATGACTGTAATTATGGTTCTGGTTAAATTGATTGATTATAATTGGTTTAGCATTAATAAGTTGAGTTTTTTGGATAGAATCAAGATGAATATTTTGAGGATTCTAAGGATACAAAAAAAAAAGAAAGAAAGAAAGATATTAGTATTAAAAGAAAAAGGAAAAGGAAAAGACAAAATTGAATAGTATTAAGATAAATTAATAAATTAAAAACTTACTTGCATTTTATGATTCTAAATACTGAATTTACTATAGTAACTTTTTTTTATTTTTCTTGTTTTTTTATTTTTTAACAAAAGTAAATTATACTATCTTGAATGTTTTGCGTCTCTTTAGTGTCTTTAGTATTATAGCTAATAGTAATAATATAAAGTGGTACTGAGGAATCCTTCTGGATTTAAAACTGTTATAATTCTTGTTTCTTCCCTTTGGATTGGCACTTTAGCACTTTATAAAAGTTATTTTATAATTATGATTAAATTTGCGTATGTAATGTATAGTTTAAAGTATTAAGTTAAGAAGATAATATGATAAAATGAGTAGAGACAGGTTGTGATGAATGTTTTTCCCTTTTTTTTTTCTTTTCTCTGTATCACTAAAGAAAATGTCTTTGATTTATTTTTCTTGGGACAGAAAAACAGTAACAGCAAGCTGAGACTCAAAGTTTGCAATACAATCAATACAGCGAGAGAGTGCAGAGGAAACAAGCAAAGATCGAGGCGAATATCCACTATTCAACGATGTTTGCGTCTGGTGCTGGGGGATCTGCTGCTGTTGGGACTTAAGACGTGGGCGTACTGGGGTTCTTTTGCTCTCGTGGGTAGCACCTTCTGGCAACTTATAACAACTTACAGCAACTGATAGCACTGGTCTGAGGTGCTGTTTGATCTTTTTCTGTTCTGTTTTATAACCCATCCAGCGATTATATCTCGTTTCTCTGGCGGTGTGCTGATAAAGCGCTGCTCCAAACTGGTTGGCCCGCGCTCTCACCCGCCCGTTGCGGGAGCGTCTGCCGTGTCAGGTGCATACTGCTTTCGAACACACGCGTGCTCGCGCGCCGCACCCCCTGAGAGCCCTGTCGCAACTGAGACACACACGCGCCGCACAGCTGGCACCAGCGAGGCATGAAACTGTAGATCCAGGCATCTCAGCAGCGTGCAGCAACGTGTAAGCGCATATTTCTGCGTAGACGACTCACAGCTCCGATGCGCTGGATATTCCCGACGGAAAGCCAAAAGGCATTGCAGTGAGAACCAGCATGATGTTGTAGTGGTGTTGTAGTGGTGTTATAGTGATATTATAGTGATATTATAGTGATATCGCAGTGGTGTTACAATAAGGCACAGGACTGGTGGTCTAGACGCCCAAGTACAACAACACTGTGCCGAGAAAGAGAAGTGTGAGCACAATTGACCCCATCACAAGGTGAAAGCCACCAAACTTGTAGCAATACAAGTCCCTCAACTGACCAAGATATTGGAACATCACTTTTCCTGACAACTTGCTTTCTCCCTCGGTTCTCACTCCAAACGAAAATGGAACGTCTCCAATGGCATCTTTCTTTGGCAAGGGCAATTTGGCTAATAGCTCCAACGCAATCTTGAACCCCTTATCGTTGATATTATTAATCGCATTTGGATCAACTTCATATAAATACTTTCTTTGAACCCCAAAGAATCCCGACATTGGATCACTTGCACTGGTTAATGGCAACGCTAATAGCCTTGCTCCCGACGAAATAATTCTTCTATAAATTGGCCAGTTCTTGTCCATTTCAACACCCTTAGCATATCGAGTACCCAATGCAAATGGATGCTCAACTAATGAATCAAGCATCTTTGGTACAACTTCTGGTGGATGTTGCAAATCTGCATCCATACACAACAAATATTGTCCATCACTGTTTTTGAATCCATGCAATACAGCTGATGACAACCCTCTTTCTTTTGTACGAACAATAATTCTAACATTATACCCCTTCTCCGATAGTTTTTGAACTTCTTCAACTGACCCATCTTGCGAATTATCATCGACATAAATTAATTCCGTTTGCTTGCTGAATTCAGGTCCCAATGCTTGAAATAACCTCGTAGTTAATGGTTCAATATTTAATTTCTCATGATATGATGGAACAATAACACTGAATTTGATATCTTTGCTCATTTTTTTTTATTTCTTGATTTTTGTTTTTTCTTCAATCCTTTCTCTTTATCGACAAAATTAATTACAATGATAATTAAAATAACTAGCAACGACTAGAAACAAATAATTATGAATAGAATTTACTATGAACTGAATACAGTTTAATAGCAATATCTCAATGATCAATCGAAAATCGAATATTATAACAAACTAACAAGTAGCAGGTAAAAAAGAAAGTACAGTAAGTGTTAATTTCTCCAATCTCAAATCTCAATTTCATTTTTGAGAACGTTTCGAAACCACAAACACGGATCATTTCGTTTCTACTCGATCCGTGTTTTTGGCGACACTTTTCTTGTCTCCTTCTTCTTCTCCTTCTTCTCTTTCCTGTGATTCCTCTCTACCTCACAATGCTGTTGTCTCTCGAACTAACCATTGAATCGCTCGTTCATCTCTCAATGCCTCCAAATGCGGTAACACCATCTCTCGACACTTGCTATGAAACTCATTAAGCCATCTTTTCTCAAACTTACTCAACAATTTTCTATCAATCAATTTTTGACACATTGGCACCATTGTTAAATATTTAAACCTCAAATAATTCAATCCATTATTACCTTTATGATCTTCCCATTCTATTATCTCAAGATCACTCTCAATTCGTATCCCAAATTCTCCATCTTTATAATACCCTGGTTCATCTGATATAACATTTCCTGCTTGTAGTATACCCCCATATCTTTCTCCGGCTCCAATTCCTACTGGCCCCTCATGAATATTATTAAAACAACCAATTCCATGCCCAGTGCCATGTCTATAATCTAGTCCATACTCCCAAAGTGGCCTTCTAGCTAATATATCTAAAACGCCCCCTGTAGTTCCCTGAGGAAAAACAGCGCTGGCCACTGATATATGTCCCTTTAATACCAATGTATATGTTTTTTTCTCTTCTGCGCTAGGTCTCATAAAATGCATAGTTCGAGTTATATCGGTTGTACCATCAAAATACTGTCCTCCTGAATCACAAAGATATATTTTCTCTCCATCAATAATAGAATTAACCTCAAAACTTGGAGAATAATGAATTATTGATGCATTGGCTCCTGTAGATGATATAGTCTCAAATGATAACCCTTTATAATCCTCCATTTCACTTCGAAAACTTTCACTTTTAACCCCACCCTCATATTCATTTATATCTGTCTTTTTAAATCTAATCAATTGTTCTTCCAACCATGCAAAATACCTAATTAATGCAATCGAATCCTTTAAATTAGAATTAAGCATTCCTTTCAATTCAACACCATTCTTGATAGATTTCAATACTTCAATATCATTACTAAATTTATATTTTTCAAATCCTCTTAATGAATTAAATAATGCAAATGTACTATTAATTGGCAATATAATCGACAACTTGTCATTATCGTTGCTAAAACAAATCAGTGCCAAATCATCCCAAATCTTGTTATACCTCTTAATCTCATATTCACCGTCTCCAATCTGATCATTTAGATACTTTCTTACATCATCAGTAACCTTCTTCTCATTAATATAGAAATATAATTTATCCAACGTTAATATAACATATGAAAAGAAAACTGGGATATATGGCACATCATCCACTCCTCTTAAGTTCAACAACCAAGCTATTTCATCTAATGCAATTATAACAATCCCAAATGATTCCTTAATCTTTAATATATTTCGAACTCTTGATATCTTAGAAGAAACTTCCTCACCAGAGTATTCTAGATCGTATTTAAAAATCGGTATTAATGATCGTAAGGGTTTCTTATCTCCCCAAACCCCATCAGTTAAATTATTCATAAGTGGTTTAAATTCAATTCTAGAATTTAAACATTTCAACTTCAAATGATCTCCTGTAGTTATTGAAATTAGTTTGGGATCCACTGAAATTACTTTTCTATCATTCGAATCACTCTTTGAACATTCATGAATCGCCCAATCTTCCCAACTTAAATATCCTTTAACACCTTGTTTAATTAAGAACCAATTTGAATCCAATTGACTTTCTGCTTGCAAGAAATATCTACCATCGGTGGATAACGCTGCATTATTCAATGATACAACAGCAATCCCATTAGATCCAGTAAAACCAGATATAAATTCTCTTCTTTTATCAGACCCAGATTTATACTCTGATTGATGTTCATCTTCCGATGGAATTATATAAACATCAATCCCATTTTCTATCATTAATTCTCTTAATTTTTTCAATACGTTTGTTGAATCATACTTTCGAGGTTGGCAGAAGCTGGGATTTGGTTCATCTGAAGTAATCGTGATTTCATCATCATTAAATATCGCCTTTTTTTCTATGGATAATCTTTTTTTATTATTGCTAAATAGGTTTTTGCTCTTAGAATCTTTATTATCTTCATAATAAAACCCGCCTCTTAAGATATCATAATCATAGTGCAAATATTTTCCTTTATCTCTCCTAAAGAGGGATAGGAATGGAAAACAACAGTCTATTTTAATGCTTTCATTACAGGATGGACTTGTAATTCTTGAATGGTATGCACTGTTTTCTTTGTTTTGAACTATCATTGTTATTCATCGACCTAGAACAAACAATACTCTGCTCTTCCTTTGTCAGAGAAAGGCGAAAAGTGGTTATTCTGAGTAGATAAGATACAAATATGCCGCCACCCAAAAAATCCACAGCAAACTACAATATGATAGGTAACAAAAAACCAAAATTTATTTAGTAAAACATAAAATATAGTATATCAAGTATAAAATAAATAATATAACATCCCAGAACCAAAATTATAAAGTGATAAAAAAAAACATACAAAACAAATAAAACAAATAAAACAAATAAAACAAAAAAATAAGCTTTTATTCAAAAAAATCTCTATTGTTACATGCTCTTTGTAGGCGAGGTAATTAATCCATTAATTGGAGAAGACATTCTCGAACTTGGAGAATTAGCACTTTCAGAATTTGTATGTACATTCATTTTCGATGGTTTTTTCTTGTTCTTTGATTGACCGCCACGCAACAAATTTTCAAATTTAAAAATTGTATCTCCTGCTTGAGAAGTAGGCGAAAATGAATTCGATGTATCAAATGAAGACATCAATGATGTACCAGAGGAAGGAAATTCATTGAATATAGGTGAAGAAATTGGGGTTGCACGATTTAACAAATTAACATTTGTATTTATGCCATTATTAAAGCCAGAAAGCCCTCCATAACTTGATATTCCACCCATATTAACATTTGGGGTGGCATTGTGGAAATTTAAATTGCCAAAACTATTATCGCTTGAATTGTTATGATAGTGATGTTTATCGATTCTAAATGACGTATTGCTATCGGTTCTTGCCAAACTTCTGTTAACAATGCTGCTAATCTTTGCAGTATCTGTAGAATTCGAGTAATTATGATAGGACATTGGATCAAGCGCTTCATACTGATTAATATTCATTTCTTCTATCTCATTCGTGCCTGCGCTGTTATAAAAATCATCCTCAGGCAATTCAGGCAATTCAGGGAGGGGACCAGGCTCTGGTATATCTCTAGTAAAAACTGTATCAAAATAATTCAATGTTACCCACATTCCAGTTAAAGATGAACCATCATTATAGTCTCCTAATCCCACTGAAACGTTATCTGTAGTTGTAGGCTCAAGGTTATTCAAATTAGCATTATTATAATCTTCATGGAACATAATATTTTCTGCTTGATTTTCATTTTCAGTTGCATCATCATAATCGTCATCAACGCATTTGGTTGAAACAATAAGCACATTAGTTCTAGTGGTGCTTGCAGCTATTTCTGGCATTGGAATCGACCAACCACTTTCTTCGGGGATTCCAAAAAGAGTAACGGCTCTTTCATACTCCTTTACGTTTTTAGTTCCCAAAATCGATTTAAGGATTTCCTTATCAAATTCATTTCCAGAAATACTTGAAAACTTTTCCAAAACTTTAAAAGCCTCATCAGAGTATTCTGTCATTAATAGTCGTAGTAGAGGAGAAATTAAATCAGCGCCTGCCCCAATAAAATCAGGGGAGGTTAAATCAACATAAGGAACTAACTCTTTCAAGAAAATCATTGTTTCCATTTTAATATATTTGACTTTGTTCAACAAAAACCCCATCAAAAACACCAACGCTTGTGCTTGAAATTCGGGAAAATAATATTGCCTAATGAGCGAAATTGTTTGATTCACAAAATCCATCTTTGTACGAAATCTTTTTTTAGAAAATGAGATAAAGATTCGAGCCAAAGCAGGTTTATCATCAGAATTGGCCATTTTGCTCAATACATCTGATGCATGAATCACATCATTTGGATAATCGTTTTCTTGATAGGCGTGCATAAATCTAGGTATATTTATTAACACAGCTAAAAGTAATCTAGACTTTCCACCTATAATCTCACTGGGTATAAATTCGTTTAGACGATCAAATAATTTTAAACTTAGATTCCATGTATTGGAAGATCGCAAACCAACAGTGACAAGCTGTTGCAATCCACTGAACTTTCCCTCCCAGTTTTCCGGAAAAGTTCTGATCAAACAATCAATTGAATCCTCAGAGTCAAGATCAATTTTGGCAAGAAAGTTGTTAAGAATTGATAAGCCTTCTTCAAATTCTTGTTCATTTATCGTGGTCAAACAAGCAACAATCGCCCAGAAAAGTTGTGGAAATACTATTAACTCATCTGGGTCAATTTTTTCAACAATAGTGTTTAGAGTAATAAAAATTTGAAGAGCAAAGTTAATAATATCGGGAATGGTGTCAGAAATTGTATTACTTAAACGGTGTAATAATTCTCTCAACATTGGCTGGTCCAAAACCAAAAATAACGACCTAAATACCTGAAATGAACGGCAGGCCATATGTCTGACAGCACAGGTTGTAGCCCATTTAAGAGCAATTTTGCTCCATTCTTCTTGTAAGTTAGGGACAGCTGGACTAAATATATTTAAAACTCGCTTAATTAGACTATCCATATTTTGAGGTGTTTCGGCTCCATTAGGATTATTTAAATCATCATAAATCCATAAATTCTTATTTGAGTGATCGTTTCTCATTAGCAATTCTATTAAATCATCAGTGTCAGGATGTCCATGGCCAAGTTCATGAACTATATTAGCTAGCATTGCCTTTGCTTGATTTTGAACAAGAATAAGATAGTGGTCTAATAAAACAAAACATATATGCAATAAAAGAGGAATCTTCTTCTTCATCATGTCGCTATCTGACGAAAATACATCCACTAAAAATATAAGAGAAATTTGACCCAAAGAAAAAATTTCTTTATCTTTATAATTAGACAATGTATAAAAATAAGGGTAAGAGTTATTGATTATAGGAGAATTAATTTCAGGTGCTGGGGGGATCATGGTTTTGGGTTCAATAAAAGAAACCAATTTCTCAATCACAGCATTATTGGCAAGTGATGACACAGAAACAACAATTTGACGAGCATATTCGACAAATGTTGAATTTCTTCTTTTAAGACTTTCAGAAATCACATAAGCTAATATCACTCTTATATTATCACTTGGAGTGACATTCGCTAAAGCGGACCATAAAGCATCAACCTCAGTATACATTGTATCACTAAATTTTATGGTAATTTCAAATAAGTTGTTTAAAACCATCAATGTAGACAAATCTTTAATCAGATCGTCATCCTCAATCTTCAATGCAACTGTTGGAACCCAAGATAATAATAATGATAAAATATCTTTTCTTTCAGGACTGCCAACTTTTTGAAAATAGTAGCAAAGCAATGATATTATATAATATTTATCCTCTGGAAAATTGACAGAATACAAGCTTGCAAGATTAAACATTGCTCTTTTATATAAAACAATACTTTTACTGCAAATAAATTTCATCTGTGTTTTTGCAAATTCGGTATTATAAACTCTTTTCTCAACAGTCTTTAATAAATGACCTGCTTTTCTTCGTACTTCATAATTGCTTGATCCAATCGCAAATAACGCTAAAAAAAGAACTTCATAAGACTTGTACTTATAATCTTTATTGCTAATAATAGTTTCTGCAATTGTAAAAAAGTAATTCTCAAAAGGCATTGGTGATTCATGATAATTATAACATTCTTTGATGACGGTTTCAAGTATCTCACCCTTATTATCATTCATTAATAAATTTCTCAACGCTCTTCTCCCAAGAGCATGAATTAAATCTCTTTCCGCCTTTCTTTCTTTCTTACTTGGGAAAGATTTCGATGAAAATAAAGACTTTATCCAAATCAACAAGCCCTTGACGTCAAAAGACATAACAGGTGATGCATTAAAATCTCCAATTTTCTCAGTGATTGGTCCTGAACACAATGTTGCCATACAGCTTAATGATGCAAATTGCAAAGAACTCTGCTCGAGCTGAAGTGTTGCACTTAGCTTTATGGTGTCTGTTTTTACTGTCGCCATCATTTTCTTATATCTCTCGTCAGCGATTAAAGAATTCCTTCCATAACCGCACCATTCTTCTAGAAATTGAAAACAAGAAACTCTAGCTTCAAATGAAAGTAGATCTTCATATTTTTCAGATTTTTTCAATCCCAAATAAAAATTTTCAAGCAAAACACAAAAATATCTTCTTAGTTTTTGATATTCATAACTTTCTTGAACTTTTTCAATTAAAAGAAAGTTTATTAAAGTTTTAATAAACGTAACCAATTCCCGCAAAATCCATTCATCCAAGTACACTTTTTCATCCAAAATAAATTTTGATGTTGAAGCTAAAACATGACTAACCTCGATTTTTAATCTTGAGTCAGCATCATTTATTACTTTACGTTGCATTTCATATTCCCAAGAGGTTCTAAGAGGTGATATTGTCTGGATTAAAACTTTGTAAATATTGATATTCACACAACTTAGACCATAGATAATTGAGTCCCTTACCATTGTTTGATTTGTATTCAAAAGTGATATTACCATTTTGAAAATTGACTTTGCAGATGTGATCGTTTGAAATTGGTAGCCCGAGGTTTGTTGAGATTTCTTTCGGCTATGGCCTTGATATTCAATTGATTTGAGAACAACTGTTTGCTCACTTGTAGAAGTTAAAGAGCAACAGGCCACAATTAAAAACATTTTCCATTGCTGAATAACTATTTCTGGCTTTGGATTTTGCAATAACAAACTATGCTTAGAACTAGATGAGCCCAATGAATCTGAGGATTGAGATATCTTTACGACATATTCCTGAAGACGTACTAATCGTCCACAAACAATCGAACGACATAATGCAATGGCAATTGGGCATTTCTTAAAGCAAATATTTAAAACTTTAGGAAAAACTCTAAAAAATAAACTTAATTCAATCCCATTGTCAGCTTCTGCTAATCTTTCTAATGTTTGATCAGAAGGAATTGTTTTTAAAGTTGCTAATTTCTTTATCTCAGCCATACTCAATTCTTTGTAAAGAGGTCCTATTAACTCAAAAAAATTAATCTTGTGAAGAACATTTATTAATCGAGCCCCAAAGTCAGCAACAAATTTTGAAGAACTTCTGACATGGATTAGTTTTTTTTCTGTTGGTTCTTTTAACCCTTTAGTTTTTTCATAAATAGCTTGATCAAAATTTGGAGCAAGTCGTAATATTTGCAAGCCTAATCGACGGATTTGTGTGTTTCTGGAACATAAGAAAAAAAGACCATTCCCTTCAACTTCTTCAATCAACGTAATAATATTTTTCCATTCTAACTCATCTGCACTTTTATCATCCTCTGATTTCTTCTCAACTTCATTATTTTTATCACTGGAATTAAATTTGTAATTTCCATTAAGAATATAATCAGCACCACCAGGTTTTTTAGAAACTGATTTAGGTTTAGAAACAGCACTTAAAGCACCAAGCCAAGTATTTAATAACTCAACGTAAAGCTTCAATAACCTTTGGAAACTTCTTGAAGTAAAAATCAAATGGTTTAAATTCAAGTTGGGTGAATTGGAAAACAATGTATTGCTGTATTCAAAGTTAAACACTATTTTGGTAAATGTTGACATCAAAAAATATGAAAGACTAAGCTTTGGTGAACTTGATTTACTCTTTGAAGCTCTGGGATTAACATCAAACTTTGGATTTAGTATAATAAACTTGAGAACATTAACAGAAGCTTTGACAATGTTTAAATTTTTGTTTATACAATTTTTTATAAGAATTTCAAAAAGTTTCTTGAGTGAAAGAGTCATCAGGTTGCTGTTGGCATAAATATACCAAAATGGCAATGCATTGATTAAGTTTTCATATAACTTGAGATTAAGACATTTATTGAGTTGATTGGCATAGCTATCCCCACCAAAATGAAATGAAGAAAATGCAGATAGTGGAGAAATAATAGAAGAATTAATGCTCAGTTTATAAGCCGAGATAATGGATTCATCAATTTGTTGAGATGTCACATACAAATCTCGTTGATCCTCAAATTCACCATCAGGTATGATCTCATTTCCAAGTTGTTGATCTAGCAAAATAAATAGTTGGGCAAAATATTGGCTAAGTTCTTCATGAAGATCTCGGTTGGTAGAATCCTGCTCTACTATTTGAAACAAATTAACATTGGTTTTTAAACAAAGCCTAACATCAGTTTCTTCGATTTCGACACAAGAAGTACTCTTAGTTTGATTTTCACCATTAACAATTTTTTTGCTTCCAAAAATATCATAAACCATTGAGTTTGGATTTAAATTTTCTTCATCTTCGCTATAATCAAGTAAAAAATAATTCATATCAGAAGGAAAAGTAGGCTTTGCATTGTTATATGTATCATTTAACATTAAAACATAAGCTTTTAGTATAATAATCAATTTTTCCTGAAGCAACGATTCTAATGAATATCCATTAAAACTTTGTTTAATAAGAGGAATAAACACATCTTCCAAAACATAGGACATATAAGAAGACCCAACAACTCGAAACATTTCCACCAAGGCATTTATCAATTTGGGATCATATATGACCCATTGCATTTTTTTACCGTTTGCTGGAACAGTAGTTGATTTTATTCCTGTTGGAGGTTCGCCTGGATTTGCAGTGTAAAAAAATAAGTTATCAAAAATACCGCTTAACTTACTTGTTGTTTGATTAAGCGATTGAGAGGATCTAAATATATATGTCCATAATAACTTGGACAAATTTTTCACCATACAAAGTTTTAAATACAATAAATTTTCATAATTGGAAAGATTTTTGAAATTTAAAGTTGAAAATGTTTTTTTTCTTAATTGACCTAAATTGTCACTAATTAGCATGAACCAAAATCGATCAAAGATTTCAAGTGGTGCTAAAGATAAACAGGTGCAAACCAAATTAAAATACAGTATCCAAACTTTTACTTGATGAAATTTATTGATACCTACTGAGGGATAACTTAGGGAGAAATTATTATTATAATTGATTGTTTTATCAGGACCTAATAAATAAATACCTTTAAAAAACATTTGAGTTACAGCAGTTTTCCAAGATGAATCATCAGTTTCAGAAGTTAAAACATTTGCAAGAGGTAGAATTAATTGGTTTAAAACTTCGCTATAAGCTAGTATTATACCACTATTTCTAGCTCTTTCGAAAAAAGTAGCCACTGAGCTTAAAAACCCAGCAGCATCTTCAAAATCCTTAATTGGGTAACTTTTCAATTTTAAATATTTCATTCCATGTATTAATAAAACAATGTGATTTTCAAATTCTTCGTCAGCGACAAATGAGCTAACATTTTCTAGATTTGCAATGAACCTATCACTAACTTTTGAGAACCTTCTTTCAGATATTTTTCCCAAGATTATTGCTAGTAAATTAACATTTGCAATTTTAATTGGATTTGTATGAGGGCCAATTGGACTTGAAGATTTTAATTCAGTGTAAATATTTTCTTCCAACTTGTCAAATAATTTTGAATTTTCATTTTCTTTAAAGTTGCCATTATTAAATTGGAATCTATTTATATCGTTATCATTAAAGTTTACATTTGCATTTAAATTAATATTGCTGTCATTATTTGGAGTGTCATAATTTACTCCATTAAATTCAAAGTCTTCGTCAAAGTTATTTGAATTTGAGAGGGGAATTTGTTTAACAACTTCGACCATTACTCTGTATAGAATATAGTTACTTATTACCAATTTTTTCTCTAAATTTTTTAAAATTTGTTTTGTAGTTAAGATCTCTCTATGATAGTAATGGTATAGTTTAGATAAGGACTGGTCATAGGACTGAATTTCATTTGAAGATTGAGATAAAAAAGAGGTTGATCTTGAGTGATTTAGGCTTTTTCTTGACAATTTTGATAATTTTTTTGAATTTGATCTTGAAAGTTTTGAAAAAGTTGACAGATTTGTATTGTTATTGTTGTCTTTAATGCTAGTATTGGAAGTTGAAGGAAATTCATTTGGTGTTGAAAAATTTCTATAATTATTTGAGGTAATTGTTTTATTATTGGTCGAGTTTGTGCTGCTGTTGTGGTTATGAATGGTACTGTTAGAAATTTTATGGTTTGTGCTGTCATTTTTAACGTTTGTGAGAGTTGATGCATTAGTATTGGTTGAAGTTGTGATAGTAATGGAGCTCTGGTTGTTATGTTTTGCGGTAGTATTAGTATTAGTAATATTAGTAGTGGCAGGGGTGGCAGGAGTGCTGGGAGTGGTAGGAGTAGTAGGGGTAGTGTTGATGTTATTATTTTTTGAGTTGAAAATATTTGTTATATTTGACTGCTTTCTAGCTACGCTTTCTAGTTTAGTATGTAAATCTTCAAGAACTTTGGCAGATATTTGGACTTCATCTTCTTTTGATCTTTTCCAGTACATGACGGATTCAAGGACTCTTTTTGGTTCTTGCCTGGCAAAATAACCCAAGGATCTTATTACTTTATCGAATCTCAAGTCTCTGCCTTCTAGTAGGACGTTTAGGAATTTGTTGTCTTGGAAATCGTTAAATTCAAAGAAAGTGTTTTGTAAGAAGTTTGCGTTTAAGCTACCATTGAAGTTTCCATTAAATGTGTGATTGAAGTTATATAGATTTAGAGATAAATTCTGGTTATTTGAGGAGTTTGAAGTGTTATTAGAATAATGGATGCTGTAGTTATTGTAATGATTGTTTTCATTACTATTGTTGTTATTGTTATTAATATTAGTATTAGTAGTAGCATTATTATTATTATTATGGTTTTTATTATTATTACTATTATTATTGTTGGTGGTGGTGTTATTTGAAAAATCCGATACTGAATTTAGTTTTTTCTCGGCTAATCTTACAAAATAAGTAAAGAGGATGTGTAGTACTAGTAAAGAAGGTTTTTTCATTTCCGTTGCCATTTCTCTTCTTATGAGAGCAGTTGGTTTATTGTCGATGATAACGTTTGGGTTCATTGATATATCGTTTATTTCTTCTGGGTTTATATTTTGGATGATGTTATTGATTTGGTCAAGCTGGTTGATTTGCAGATTTTGAGGAGAGTGATTTTGAAATTGGAATTGAAATTGATTTTGGTTTTGACTATGATTTTGATTTTGAAATTGAGGATGTGTTTGATATTGAGATTCAGCGTCTAGATCTATTGAATTGTAGATATTGTTCTCGTTATAGTTATTATCATTATCATTGTCATTATCGTTATAATTTGTATTATAGTTTGTATTATAGTTTGTATTGTAATTGATATTGTGATTGGTATTATAATTATTGATGTTATTATTGTTATTATTATTATTGGTAGTGGTAGTGTTTGTGTTATTGATCATATAATCGAGATCTATTTGGTTAGTTGAGCTGTGATTGAATTGGAAGTTAGTGTTTAAAGCGCCATTTGAGTCATTATTGGTGTAATTTGAATGGTTAGTTATGTTTGTATTTGAAGTGTTATTAGTGTTGAGAGTGTTGAGAGTATTTATTGTGTTATTTGTGTTGTTTGTATTGTTTGTATTGTTTGTATTATTATGAGAATGGTTATAAGTGAAATGATTTTCATTATCAATATCAGTCTGGTTATTGTTATTGTTATTGTTAGTAGTAGTAGTAGTAGTAGTAGTAGTAGTAGTAGTAGTAGTAGTGGTGGTGGTGGTGGGAGTATGGTTCTTTGGATGTGTGATTGACTGGTCTTGAATCAATTGATTGATTTGATTTAATTGATCAATTTGATCAATCTGGTCCATTTGATTTAGATGGTTTATATGGTTAATCAGATTTAAGTGGTCGTGCTTTGGATGAACAAGAATTTGGTTATCGGTATCATTGAGGTCAGACATGGTCGTATCAATGAAGATGGCAACCAAAAGTCAGAAAGCAGGAGAAAAAATGTAAGATAAGTTTGATAAAAATATATAAAGAAGGACGATGTGAACACTATGGCAAAGGAGAGAAATCGGTTTGATGTAGATAATGTGGATAGTGTGGTTTATGAGGATAATAAAGTTAGTATATTCAGTACATTTAGTGCAACCAGGAAGTAGTGGTCAGGACAATCAGGGTGGATAGGATAGTGTGGTAATGGCAGAGGAGGACCAGCCAGAGCAGTGAAAAGATCGCGAGCGCCGTTGAACCCCTTCGTTGCTTTTCAGCACGACGTGAGCAACGCGAGGCAGCACAGGAAGCACCGCTCCCGCACCGGCCCTCGTCTGCCGCCGCCAGCCAGCTCCTCCTGCCCCAGACTCCGCTGGCCAGCAGCCATCCGTCGCCAACGCCAGCAGAGGTCCCACACGCAGCTCCTTCCCCTGCCTCACCGGAACCCTCCTGAAACACTCCTCAGACGTTCTTCACGTCGCGCTCACGTTGCGCTCACGCACTTTTATTTGCGGGTAACACTGCTTGCTATTTCCATCAGCTACTCCCGGCTCCTCGAAGCCGTTCAGAAGTCGATGTCCTTGTCGTAGCGTCCAAAGGAAATATCGGGGTTGCCGAATCTGTCAACGGGAACGGGACGTCCGAGACCGACGTAGTTGCACTGTGGGCAACAGATGAAGTCAGTTTTGGAAAAGCGAAACGAGGGTCCCATGGAGTCAAATTCAGACCCCAAACCGCTGCCAAATCCACCAATGGCACTGAAGTCCGGAAGGAACTCGTCCTCGGGGCGCTTTACCTGCTGCTGCTCCCTGCGACGGAGCTCTTCCTCCACACGGCGGCGGATCTCCTGCTCCATCTCCTGCCTCCTCTGCTTCTCCTTTTCTTTCTCCTTTTTGTTCTTTCGGTGTTCCTCCACCTCGTCCTCGAGTTTGTTGGCGGCAATGCTGCCCACTACAGCACCCGTGATGCCTCCAATGATGTTGTGCTTGCCTCCAAGCTTGGCTCCGGCGTATCCTCCAGCGGCTGCTCCTCCCACCGTCGCGAGAAATCCTCGTTCGTCCTCCTCTCCACCAACTCCTCTTTGGTAGTACTCGTTGTTGGAGTTTCCGTAGTATTCGTTGTTGGATTTGCCGTAATATTCGTCTGCCATTCTGATGTCCAGTTTAATTGAGAAAGTAATAATCAAAGCAATAAACCTCTAGTTGATAAAACAACAAAACAATTAACAATAGGTAATTGATATCACAAATATCCACTAAAATGTAATCGGCGAGAAAACACAGAAAGAGAAAAACGGAAATCTCCCCTATAAATACTTGTAAATGCTCGTCCCAACATTGCCTCCTCTACCAAAGCCATCAGAAAACCAGAATAATGGCAATACCTCACAATGCACTGCTTTCTTACCAATGCCTTCTGCAGACACCGTCACTTTTTCAACTGCTTGGTTTTGCTCGGCCCTTTCTTCCCATTCTCTAGGACCTACCGATTCTCGACTTAAACACGTGTGTTATTGTATGTTTTTGTATGTCTTTGTATATCGTTATTGTATTATATCATTATATCATTATATGGTGTTCTAAAGTATATATCAATCATCAATCTACCAATGGCAATTGTATCGATGATTCCACTTGAAACCACCTTTCACTTGCAAGAGTATCCTCTTAAAAGTCTCTGTCACCTCTACCATCTCTGTAATCTCTGCGATCTCTATTGTCTCTATCATCTCTCTTATTGAAATGGCTTTCAGTTTTGTTTCCAAGGAATCCTCCTGCGACAGCTCCACTGATGGCTCCAAGAACTTCTCCCTTATAGCTTCCTCCATCATTTTCTCCTTCGAGCTTTTTACCGGCAAAGTATCCTCCAACAGCTCCTGCTAAGGCTCCTCCGGTGGTGGCCAATCCACTGCTTAAATTCTCACTGTCAAATAATCCTCGGTCTTTGTTGTCAGGGTTTCCATATTGATTTCTCTTTTCAGAGTTGTAGTTTTCTCTATCATCGTCTCCGTATCCCATTGTAAATTATTTGAATGTGTTTGAATGTGTTTGAATTGGTACTTGTATTTGATTTGAATTGATTTGAATTGATGATTCTATAAGATATCTGCAATTTTCCTGGGATTTTGGTCCCATTTTATACAATTCCATGCTCATTCATTATCCTTTTATTTCTACCCCAATTTATTTGCCATGCTTCTCTTCTCTTCTCTTTTCTTTTCTCTTCTTGTATTATCCTTATTATCTCTAACATCATATGTCAATTTCGTTTTAAGCCCGACGTTATTTTACCCAATTTCACTCATCTCTACATCCCATTTCATCTTTCCTTCCTAACTTGTAATCTTATTCACTATTGCATGCCTCTATTTCTTTTAAATATCTCATCCTCTTCAATCATAATTGGCTGCTCTTCTTTATCTTGACTCCATCTCCTTATTTCATAATTTCTTCTCTCCATTTCATAATTTCTTCTCTTCATTTCATAATTTCTTTTCCCTATTTCAACTATCTTCCACTTGTTTTTAATCGTTTATTCATTTCATTCGCCATTTCTTCTCTCCTCTGCTCTAGTTCACTCTAGTTTACTCTAGTTTACTCTAGTTTACTCTAGTTTACTCTTTTTCGCTATACTGAACCCATCATCCACTCTATTATCCTATAAAAACTACACAAATTAATCGCCTCATCAATTCATTTACTATCTACTCATTTAATCGCTTATTCAACTAATTCCCCAGATATAATAGAATACGCCATCCTTCTACGGATATTCTTCATATCATTCTGACTAAACTTCAAATGCTTTTCTTGACTCAAAAAATCAACATTCATACATGTAAACACCCCACAATCTGACCCATTCTCCTGCTGTGGAATATCCTTTCTCTCAATTGCTTCCCAATTGTAATAATCAAATTCTCCCAATCCTCGATCATAATTGGGATACATCCTCTCGGTTTCTTCTGCCATATATTCCTGTAGCTTGCCCAATATATTAAATGACCCCCCATTCAAAGAGTCCAAATACTCAAATCTCCGTTTCTTATTGTTAATTATCCCCAACACCCAATGCGAATTCAACAAGTTGATTGGTATAAAGATATAATCCATCTTGGTCACATCAATCTTCTTTCTTTTAGCCCATCTTTTAACTCCTTTATACCCATTCTTTGCTAAACTCGAATAAAAGTGCGTAGTGAAAATAAATATCTTGGGCAAATTTAAATTGTTTTTGCCTCGCTCAATTAACATTGCCATGTAACAATCAATTATATTGTCGTTTAACCAATGTTTATCCTTCAACGTCTTCAAATCATTTACCGATATGTCAATATTATATAGCATTGTAACTTTTTCGTTGGCTGACGCCTGCCAAATATAATGAACCTTTTTCAATTTATCTTGTTCTAATGGCTTGACAGTAATCTTAACTTCATTATCTAATCGGCTTTTGCGAATCTTTTCTTGTAACAATAGCTTTTCCTCAAATACTCTTTTGTAATTTATTAGAAATGTATCATTAAATTGCTTGCTTAATGATTCAATTTGTTTGTCTTGAGAAATAGAAAATTTAGATCCATAAAATTGAGGTCTCGGTATTTTTTTAGTGCTTAAAAAGGTGTTATCATTCTTGGAATTTTTAGCATTATTATTTTTGACATTATCACTCTTAAAATTAATCCTATTATCTTTCTTTTCTATTGATGAAAATGTTCTCGATAATAATTTTGATAAATCCGTCGTATAATTATTCTTGTAATCGTAATCTTTAAAATGATTATATTTATTGTTGTACTTGTATTTGTTGTTATTTATAGTAGAAAAAATAGATAACACGTTAGATTTGGGCTTGTCAGTATTAGCCGAGTTCAATAATGATATTTGAGAGCTAGATCTTGACATGGAATTATCAATTGATTTTCTTCGTAACGAAGAATGTTTTTTAAGGAAATTAAAGTAAGTTCCATACTGTTTATTATCATTATTATTAGAATCTTTTTTATTTTCATTTTTTTGGTTATCTTGATTATCTTGATTATCGTGATTATCATGATTATCATGATTATTATTATATTTAGATGTAAAAATCTTAGTTATGTCAATATCATTTAATAGTAATGATTTTTTAGTGTTTTCATTAAAAATAGCATTATCATCTTCTTCTTCTTGATCCGAATAATTATCGGGAATATTATTTATATCCTTGTTTGAAAAGAAATCAAATTTGACTTTTTTATTTAAGTTCAAGTCTAATTTTCTATTAGGCAATTGATTATTTGAATTATTTGAATTATTTGAATTATTTGAGTTATTTTGAGTATTTTGGGATGAATTAAGAAAATCAATTTTGGGTTTTTTATAAGGTCTATCATCGATTAAATCAATTACTTCAATATTTTTATTAATATTATCTTTATTATCATCATGATTATTACTATGATTATCTTTATTATAAAGATTGTAGTTATTATTATAGTAGTCTGTATTATTTTTATTATTCATATTATTGGAATTTAACTGCTTATTTAATAATGCCATGGAGCTTTTCAACATAGAAAAGGAGGATTGCACCACTTTAGATACATTATCCAAAAAGGTTCCATTTTTTGTGGCATTTGTATCATTCATTTGATTATTATTCATTTTATTATTTGTCAATTCGTAATTATTATTATTATTATTATTATTATTATCAGTAGTAGTAGTAGTAGTAGTTGTCTTGTAATTTGTGAGAGTTTTTGATGAAGAATTTAAAACTGAATCTCTTTTATTGGGAGCCACAATAGGTCTTGAAGATAAATACATTGAAGAATTGAATAAAAAAGACGAATCAGAAAATGGATGGTTGGTTCTTTTAACGCTATTATCTTGAGCAAAGTTTGAGATTCTTCTTTTTCTTGAATTGATTAGAGATCGGTATTGGTTGAACTTCAAATTTTCGTTGTCAAATTGGTGGAAGGAGATATCTAAAGCAGCAGAAGACATTTTTGCACTCTCTGTCGCCAGCCAGCAGTGGTAAAAAAGAGACAGAAGAGTTGAAGAAAATGATTAGAAGTAGTTGGAGATGAACCAGGCTCCAACTCTAGCAATATCGTTGTTTATATTGCAAAAGACAGCTCCTGCGAAAACAGACGTTGTTTTCGTCAGGTCCAGCGGTCTGGGAGAGCGTAAACAAACAAGCGTGTGCACGCGCAGCGGTGATTGGCCGCGCTAGACGGAGCAAAGAACGTAACGGCCGCCGCTAACACGCACACACTATTAGCACGCACTATTAACACGCACTGTTGGGCTGGTTTCTGCTGTTTCTGTTGTTTTTCCTGTTTTTCCTGCTTTTGCTACTCGATATTGATCTCATACATAAGGATGATCTCAGTGCTTACTCCCTGCCACCCTCGGTCTCCACTGGTGCTGATCATAAACCGGCAGGTGTCATCGGTGTAGATGTCGCTGAGTATTCCCCCATGATGGCCTGGAACGATGAGATAGGGCACTGTGATATTTCCGTTGATGTTGTTCAAGTTGTTGCTGCTCATGTTGTTCAAGTTTCCCTGTGATTCCTCCTTGTACATCTCCAAATCGTACAACCGGATGTTGTCCTGTGATCCACAGAGAAGATGTCGTGAGTTTGGCATTGCTTTCACCACTGAGACTGGTCCTGACAAACTTGGAAACGTCAATTTTCTCGACACCCTTGCTTCCTTGCTTGAGTAGTTCAAATAGGGCATTCTTAGCTCAAATTCTTCCACCAAGTAATTCCTACGACCAGCATATATGTAGTTCCCATCGTTCGAAAAAGCTGTTGACATGCACCATGGTGGTGTCCCCTTTGGAACCTTTAAATGAATAACGTTATTCCCATTTTTACTTATTCTTCGATCCCATATATCAATTATCCCATCAATTGATGACGACGAAAAAACATTAATATCTTTACTTATGTCCTTATCACTTGATCCATTGTTCTTATCAACACCGTTCTCCGTATCATAATCATCATTATCACCGCTGTTCTTTAAATTCGCATTCCCATTTCCATTTTCAGTCTCACTTTCTTTTTCTTTATTGTTTTCTTTGTCCCTTTTTCTAGTTTCTCTTTCACTATCATCCAGTCCATCATCAGAATCTCCAAATAATGAGTCTAAATCATCATCTTCCTCTTTAACCAGTGATGAGGAATCATTATTATAATAGTCTTCATAACTATTTTTCAAATCAATCTCAATAGAATTATCCGGTCTCCATTGGATATTAGAAATCTGTCCAGTTGAGCCAATAAACTCATTTATAACTTTTCCTGAATTTAAATCCCATTCCAATATATTTCTATCCCATGAACCTGATAACACTTTATCATCATAGTTATTTAATTCCAATCTTGATACAGTATCCTTATGCCCATCCAAATATCCATGAATTAATCCTTCTTTATGTCTAATTGAATGCAATGCAATTCCACCCGATTTCAATCCAGATAATAACCATAATGATTCTCTTTGCACTGCTAACGAGTAAACGGGCGATAATTTTGGTTCATAAAGCTCAGTACTCTTACTTGTTGAATTATGTGATGATGATGATGATAATGATGATGTCTTATGACCCTTTAAATCTGATTTTCTAATCGGCTGCTCATTTTCCCAATAACTAACAATAACACCGGCTTTTGTTATGGAATCAACCATTGAATGTTTCTGCGCACCTGTAAGAATAGATTTTCCCTCAATTGATGCCATAAAATCATACTTCCTTATAAATCCGTCTTCTCCCCCTGTAAACAAAAACCTAGGCCCTCTAGTTAATGCCATACAATGAACCTGTGATGCATATGGTATCGCAACCGTTGGCAATATCTCAAATGTCTTTGCATTTCTAGCTTTTGACATTAATTCTTTTCTAGTAATTTTTCGGGTTGCTACTAAATCAACTTTAACGGTACTATCGCCTTCATTGTTTTTATCCTTTATCACAATTCCGTTTTCCTTTCCAGCTCCTCTTTCGTTGTTCTTATTTGCAGGTATTATATTGGAACCACTATTATTGATGTTGCTAACATTATCACTATTGCCATTATCGTCACCATTGGTTTTATCATCATTTCCGCTGATAGTTTCTCTATTGGTTGGACCTGTTTTCTTGGTTTTGTCAGTGGAATCATCCACATTGACATCTAGCATTTCTTCGTCTTGATCGTCGTCCTGGTCATCATCGTCCTGATCATCATCATCCTGATTGTCTGAATCATCCCCATCTATGTCTGGCTCTTCGTCATTAATATCATCGTTATCATTGTCGTTGTCGTTGTCATTATCGTTGTCATTGTCATCGTCCAGATTCTCGTTCTGCGTCACGTCACCTGTGCCTTCGTTCTCATCATACTCATCATCATAATTGTACTCATCTGCTTCCAGTATAGGCACTGACCCATCCATCGTTCTTAGCTTCACCACCTTCTACAAACAGCTGTTTTCCACCGAAACACCCAAAACCAGTTTTTTCACTCCTCTAGCACGTGTTTTCCGGCACCAAATCCATCAATTCTCACACCTCCTCGTCTCACCAGCAGCTGCTCCACCCAAACCGCCATAATTTTTGACAACTTCCATTGAACAGCTTAAAGAAATTCAGTTTTCTTTCTTCTCTTTTCTCTCCTTCTCTTTCTGCTCTTGTAGCTTATTGTTCTTTCCAGAAGAACCTCGGAAGTATGTTCCTCAGCACGTGTTTTTTTGATCTGGAATTAAACTTTGAAGATTTTTGATTCAAAACATTTTGAAATTTGGTTTGATGAGATTTCAAAATATCAGTTAATCTATTTTTTGTGTTTGGGTTTGTTAATTGTTCTGGTATTGTTTGTTTGGTAATTAGAATAAATTTCTGGCTGCCTATATATTTTTGGATCTTTTAATATTCTTTCCAATCATGACTGTAATAAAAGTCAAAAGTAACAAAGAACTTCCTCCCCAAAAGATATATTATTTACCTGATCAAATCTCTCCTGATTCTACTGAGCCTTATAACTCTCACTATGGTGCTGGCATTCCAATCGCAATTGATTTTGGAACATCTGATATGAGAATTGGGTTAACAAATAATTTGTCTCCTTCAAATATCTTTCCATCTGTAATTTCTCGGTATAGAGATCGTAAATTGGCTCAAACTTTAACTTTTGTCGGCTATGATGTTTACCTAGATTCAAGTTTTAAATCCTCATTAAAGACTCCATTTGATGGCCCTCTAATAACTAACTGGGATTATGTGGAATGGATGCTAGATTACTCCTTTCATCATATCGGTGTTGATTCCGATGGTTTTGTTGATAATCCTATAGTTATGTCAGAATTATTAGGTGCCCCTTCACAGCAAAGAAAAAATATGTTGCAATTATTATTTGAAGCATATAGAGTACCAAAAGTTACATTTGGCATTGATGATTTATTCTCCTATTATCAAAATAATGGTAAAAATGGTTTAGTGATTGGTGCTGGTAATCAAGCTATAAATATCATCCCCGTAATAAACTCAAAACCAATTTTAACTGAAGCTAAAAGAATCAACTGGGGTGGCAGTCTGTGTGTTGATTACTTGTCAAAATTGATTAATCTAAAATATCCTTATTTTCCATCAAAGATAAATAATCATCAGTTTGAAATCCTAATGAGAAATCATTGCTATGTATCAAAAGATTATCAAGAAGAGATAAACCATATTTTTGATTTGAATGTACTAGAAAAAACAGATGTCTTAATTGAAGCTCCATATGTTGAAAATGTCCAGCCTATTAAAACCGAAGAAGAACTAAAAAGAATAGCCGAAAAGAGAAAAGAAAGTGGTAGAAGATTACAAGAACAAGCTCAAAAATCTCGTCTAGAAAAATTAATTCAAAAGGAAAAAGATTATGAATATTATACAAAATTAAAAAACAGTTTAGAAGAATTAAATAAAAAACAAATAATTCATACTTTAGAAGCTGAAGGCTTTGATGATGAATCTGATTTTAAAAAATATTATAATAATTTAGAAAAATCAATTAAAAGAGCAAGAAAAGCTGATATAGGTGGAAACAATGATGAGATCGAATCTGAAACCCCACCTGAATTCCCATTAGTCGATATTCCCGATGATCAATTAACTGAAGATCAAATAAAGGAAAAAAAAACTCAAAAGTTTCTTAAAGCAAATTATGATGCTAGGAAGAAAGCACACGAAGAAAAATTATTGGAAAAGAAAAGATTAGAAGAATTGGAAATTCAAGAAGAAAAATGGAGAAAAGAAGATCTTAATGGCTGGATTCAAGACAAAAGAAAAAAATTAAATTCTGTACTAAAGAAAAAAAAAGATAGAAAAAAATTAAGAGAAGAATTAAATGATAGGAAATCTCATGCTGCTCAGATAAGAATGAAAAACATAGCAGTTTTGGCTGCAGAAAATTCAGTTCCAAATACATCGGGAAATAATACTAGAAGCTCCAAGAGAAAGAGAACTATTACAATAGATAATGATCCCAATGATACATTTGGAGCTAATGATGACGACTGGGCAATTTACAGAGATATTGCTAACGTTGAAGATGAAGATGAAATTGAGGAAGAAAATCAGTTAATGTTAAAATTAGAAGCTGATTTGTTACAATATGACCCCAATTTTTCAATTGAAAATACTTATGATTCTCAATTCAACTGGAGAAAAAGTATAATTCATAAATTTTTAAGAGGTCCAAGAGATTATGATTCAGAGAAAACACAGCACCAATATCAATTTCATATGAACATAGAAAGAATAAGAGTTCCAGAGACAATGTTTCAACCATCAATTGTCGGTGTGGATCAAGCAGGTATATCTGAGTTAAGTGAAAATATTATTGTTAATAGATTGCCCAGTGAGGGATTTTATTCTAAAAATGAAATTGAAAAAGCCCCAATCATTAATGATATATTTTTAACAGGAGGGCTATCTCATTTTAAAAATTTTGATGAAAGACTAAAAAATGACTTTACATCTTTCTTGCCTGTTAATTCCAAAATTAATATCAGAAGAGCTATTGATCCAAGATTGGATGCGTGGAGAGGAATGGCCAAATTTTCTAATAATATTGATTCTAAAAATGCTTTTATAACCAAACAAGAATATGAAGAAATGGGGCCAGATTATATAAAAGAACATAATCTAGGCAATTTTGGATATTTTTAATGCAGTTTTAAGTTTTCATACTATAATTTGACTTTCAATAGCTGAGAAACTTTGTTTGGCTTAATGTACAATAACATTTTAGTTTTACTATATTTATTTTACTTTCGAACAAAAGTTTTGTAGTCTTCAATTGAAATTCTTTTTGCAGTGTGGTTTTTATCGTTTGTATTACTTCAAAGTTTACAAATAGAACATTTTTCCTGTCTTCTTCAGCCGGAACACACAAAAAGTCCATTTTAATGTGTGTGAGGAAGTTTACATATTAAAAAAAGGTTTTTATTAAAAATAGTGCTAATATTCAACAATCGATAATCTAAATATAACCCAGTACTAGTTTTAAGTTCTATGACCAATCGATAATTAATCAAAGAGCTAAAATGGATTGCATTCTCAGATATTATTAACACATATTTCTAAAGATAGAATATTTAAGAAAGAACCATTTTTATTTTTATAAGCAGTTCATGTCAACGAAAAAAAAATCTTTTAATACTCTCTTGAAAACTAGATAATTAACGCTAAAGTTATTAGATTACAAAATAAAAGAGTTCTCGTCTCGGTCTTTCAAAAAATAAACAAAAAATGTAGCATTATTATACAAAGAAATATGATTTTGCAATTTATTTATCGGAGCTTTTACCATTCAAAACCTTTTTGGGATTTATACCCTTTTTCCTTAAACTAATCTTCACTGCTTTCTCAATATACTTTCTATCTTCTTCTTCTTCGAATTTTGAAAAATCATCTTTGATGATACTTTCTTCTAATTCCTCATCAGCTCGTATCATTGCTTCTTTCTCTTTGGCACCAGCTTTACTAGTGTCATGAGGACTTGGAGCTGTTTTCTTGAATTTAGCAACGTAAAAACCATCAACATTATAAGTATGTGGATAATATCTTCGTGTTAATTTGAGAGAGGAGTTAAAGTGCTTCCCTCTATAGCCAGTAAATCCTTCTTTACCTATAATCAAACCAGTTTCCACCAACTTAACATTGGGTCTTTTTCTCAAAGCGTAGTTTACAACTGCTTCATTCTCATCGACTGTAACAGAACAAGTAGAGTAAACAATATAACCGCCAGTTTCTGAATTGGCATTCACAGAATCAATAGCAGATAAAAGCAATTGTTTTTGTAAGTAAGGAACATCGATGAAATCCTTCTCTGTTCTTGAGGTTTTAACCGAATTGTCTTTAGAGATAACACCAGTTCCCGAACAAGGAGCATCAAGTAAAACTCTGTCGAATCCCCCAATAACCTTTGGAAACTCTCTGGCATCATGGTTGCACACAATTGTATTGCGACACCCAAGTCTATGTATATTAGCAATCAAAGATTTGGTTCTGGCTTTATTTGAATCGTTAGCAAATACCACACCGGTATTTTTCATCATCGAAGAAATGTAAGTGGTTTTACCACCAGGAGCAGCAGCCATATCAAGAATACGCTCATTTTCTTGAGGATCCAATGCCATCACTGGCAAGAAAGATGAGGCAGCTTGCAAAATATAATGGCCAGCAAGATATTCAGGCGTAGCACCGATAGGAACCTGAGAATCAAAAATTTGTAAACCAACTTTAGTCCAGTTTCCAATAGGCTGAAGATTAACACCTTTGTTCACCAAAGCTTGAGCTAAATTTCTTCTTCTGGATTTCAAAGTATTTGTTCTTATAGTTACAGGCCTAGCAATTTCATTGGCTTCAAAAAATTCTAGTGCTTCAGTGGGAGAAAATAAGTTGAACAATTTTTCTGCCAAAAATGGAGTATAATTGAAATAATCACACACGTCTTTAACAAACCTATTAATATAATCGGTTCTACTTCTACCTTCTTCAGCCAAGTTTTTGAAGTCTTCAAGCACTTTTGTAATTTCTATTAATCTCGTTCTTGAAATTGTGACATCTTTTGGTCCTTTGCTCAATGCTTCTTCTTCTTGTTCTGTTGGCAAAATTTTGGCTCTAGACTGAACAGTATTGCCTTCTAACAATTCTTCTTCAGCGTCAGCATCCTCTTCTGCTTTTTCCTGATCTAATTTATTTGAAAAAAGTTCAATATTTTTAACATTTAATTTCTCAATATCATCTGAATCATACTCATCATCATCACTAAATATTGGTTGATCTTGATCTTGCTCTTGCTCGGAATCGAAATCAGAACCTACAGATCCATTTCCTTCCAAATCAAATTCATCATTAAGTTCTTCTCCTTCTAAGTTGTCTTCATCGTCATCGTCATCAAAAAGGGTTTTTCTGGCACTAGCCAATTCATCCAAATCTACTTCAGGTAAGTCATCTGGGAATACATCTTCTGATTCCTCTATTTTCTTGGATTTTTTAGACTTTTTAGATTTTTTCGATTTATTATCCTTTTCAGTTTTCAATTCTTTTTCAGTTATTTTACTTTCTTTATTGTTCTTTTTTACTTTTTTATCAGACTTCTTAGGCTTTTCGTCTTTTGTAATTTTTGCTTTAGTCTCTTTAGTTTGTTTGGTCTCTTTAATGCCATTTTGTTCCAATTCCTTTTTTTCAGACTTTAACTTTTTAGAGTGGAATTCCTCAATAGGAAGAGGATCTTTTTGTTTTCTCTTTGAACGATTTACACCCATTTATAAATATATAAAACAAAATTTCTAGATGAAGATTCTGATTAATTTCTATCTTAAAATTTAAATTTTTTTTCAAGTTTTTGTTCTTTGAAATTTTTTTTTCATAATGACCGAAAAAAGTAATGACCCGTATTGCTGGTTTTAGTTTTTTGAATTTATTGAAGATTTTTCAGATTTTTCAGAGATTTTTTAACAATCTTCAATGTTCCAAAAGAGAAGCTAAAATAGATTATTAAAATATAAACAAAAAAAGCGAAAAGAAAAAAGAAAAAAAGATGAATGAAGAATTCGTGCTGGAAACAAAGGGGAAAAACCGTTTAATTATTAGTCCGAATCAATATTGTTTCATCAAACTTCCATCAAGTGGAATAAAGATCGTTCAGTTGAGACCTGATGGTGTAATTTCATTGGGAAAATTTGGCTGTTTTGAAGTTAATTCAGTACTTAATCATCCATATGGAGAAACATTTGAAATCATTGAGAATAAACAGGCTCGAGCAATTTATACAGATGCATTTGAGGCTGGAAACGATGATGAAGATTTAGAAGAAGAGAATATTTCTGAAGCAGAGATTTCATCGAAGTTGCTATCTACAGATAAGGAAAACAAAAGTAGATTAGATAATAGAGATGTAAATGATATTGGATCTGGTGTTCAAAAATTGACAAGCGTGGAGATTGAACTTTTAAAAAAAGACAGTGAGCTATCGAATAAGGGAAAAGGTATTATTGAAAAATTGATTGAGAGTCATACAAATTTTAATAAAAAAACAGTCCATTCACAAGAAAAATATGTCAAAAGAAAACAGCAGAAGTTTTTAAAAGTTTTCACTATTGAGTATTTATCAGCGTCAAATTTACTAAGATTTTATACAAGTAAGGATTTTGGGAAGATTCATGAATTAAGTGAAGAATCACTTGGACTAATGATATCGTTAGCAGATGTTAGACCAGGTGGAAGATATCTTGTTGTTGATGAGTGTTTAGGGTTAATTGTTTATACAATGATGGAAAGAATGAATTTGCAAGGAGAAATTGTATTAATACATGAGAATGAGCATGCAAATTTGATTTCTTTAAAATATAGTGATTATAGTGAAGAGGAGATTAAAAAATTTGTTAAAACAATAAATTGGTTACAATTTTTTGAGCCAGATAATGAAAAAATTAAATTTCCAATTAAAAGTGAAACTGAAATCTCGTTATTGACCGCCCAAAAGAGAAGCAATTATTATCGTCATAAAAGAAATGCTGAAATTACAAACTCTGTTATAGATAATGTTAAAAGAGGACAATTTGATGGGTTAATTATGGCCAGTACATTATATTTACCGAAACTATTACCTAAAATAGTTGATAAAATTGGAGGATCAAGAGCAATTGTGTGTTATAGTAATAACAAGGAGTTATTGAACGAGACAAATCATGTATTACTTAACGATGTAAGAGTTATAAATTCCAAGATTTTAGAGACTAGAGTTCGACCATATCAAAGCATTCCAGGAAAGTTGCATCCATTAATGACGATAAGAAGTGGAGGGGGATATTTACTATGGGGATTGAGAGTTATTCCTGGAGATAAAATAAAGGCTACGGGTAGAGGAAATAAAAAAAGTAAGGATATAAAAGAGAAAGAAGCTGAGAAGCAGGAGGAAAAAAAAGTAAAAGATGCTAAAATTGAAGGAAAAGATGATTTAGAGAGGGAGTTGAAAAAGCCTAAAATAGAATGAAGATTGATTGATTAATTGATTGATTGTATTATAATAATTTATCACAGATTTTTGATAGAATATTTAAATCAGTTTTCCAACCCACAATACATCTAATTAGATTATTCGAGTCATAAATTAACCCACAATTCCATTGATTTGATTTATCAAGTTTTTGAAGTAAATTTTTAGTGAATTGAACTTGTTGATCGTTGCCAAGTTCGAATATGAAAGCGTTTGGAGAATTATTTAAGAAATGTGGATGGAATAGTTTATATAATAATTGATTATAAAATTCCAAATGACCTAATAGAGCTAACTTTGGCTCATATAATTTAACTGATTTTTGTAAATTATTAGTATATTCTAACGAGTGTATATACGGGGGATTTGAGACAAGTAAATCAACCGATTTGGAATTGTTTTTGTTTTTGATATTATTTAATGTGTTATTATTAAATAAGTCTTGTTTACTAAAATAATAAGTTCTTGAATCTAAATTTAAAAAATTCTGATTGATTTTTAAATTTTTCAAGGCTAAATTGATTGCAAAATTGGATATATCGATACCTATTAGAGATATTTGTTTATTATATGGTCTAATCTCTGAGCCTAATAGTAGGGGAATACAACCAGATCCTGTGCAAACGTCTAATATGGTAAATGGTTTATTGACAATATTATTGTTATTGGTATTTTGAAAATATTCGGATAAGATATTTGATAATTTGATCACCCAGTCTTCGGTGTCATTTCTGGGTATTAAGACATTTTTTTCGCATTTTATGGATAAGTTATTACCAAAGGGTTGATTCCCCAAAATATATTGTAAGGGAACAAGTTTTTTTCTTAATTTCAAAGCCTTTAACCATTTGTGTTTTGGCAATTCGTTTTTGATCCAGTTTAGCTCGTTAACTGAAGAAGTGATTGATCTACAAGCTGGAAGAAGATAGGGAAGATAATGGGAAATCCCTGCAGCTTCTTTGAAGAGCTTTGGTGACAATCTAGGCATATATCATTAAATGGTATAAATCTATCATAAAGTTTTCATGTTGAAGCATTTAAATCAAAATAAATTGATGGTGTAAAATTCGTCAAAAAGCTAAAAAAAATAATTTTAGTTATAAACATTAGCATTATAGTTCTATCATAATATCAAGTGCAAAAACTTACAAGATATAAATTGGTTACAGTGGCCGAGTGGTTAAGGCGATGCCCTGCTAGTACTTCAAGTCAGCAGTTAAGGCATTGGGATTTCCTTCGCAGGTTCGAATCCTGTCTGTAACGTTCTTTTTTAAGTTGAGCCTTTTTCGCTGCTAGTTTTATTACTAAGTGCCCGTTTTATTTAAAAGCGAGATTGTAATTCATTTTCTTTTTGAAACATATTTATTCTCAGTTATCTCAAATACGTTGGCGAAAATGGGTGGTCATCAATACGAATTTAATGTTAAAATGGCCTGCAGTGGATGCTCAAATGCTGTTTCCAAGGCTGTTTCTAGATTAGAAGGTGTGCAGAACGTTCAAACAGACCTCGAAAAACAGTTGGTGGAGGTCAAGACTGGCGACGACGTGTCGTACGATGCTGTTTACAACAAGATTAGCAAGACCGGCAAGGAGATCTTGGGGGGCAAAGTTGTTTTTTAGAAAAGCGATAGGACATAGACTATAATACATTTTGATGTGAGCAGTTCTGGAGGCTTTGGCGAGACCGGAGCTCAAGGCAAAAGCAGCACAGGCAGCAGCGACACGGGCGCGGGACCAGCTGAGACCGGCCGAGCTCATCCCGCTGCAGCTTATGAAATGCCGAAGTGCGTGTGAATGTGCGTGTGAGTGTGCGTGTGAGTATGCGTGCTGTAGTGCGTGTGAGCGTGTTTACGTTTTGCCCGATCGAGCGGCGGTTGTCGTCTGTGCTGTTTGTGCTGCGTAGACGCTGCTGCAGAGGATGGTTGCTGATTGGCTGGGAGGTGCCTATTGTTCCCCAAGGGGCCATGGTCTTGGGCTTATATATTTCTTTTCTTTTCTCTTTTCCACCAGTTTTCCAATTTTTTCTTCAAGAAAGCAATACTTGAATCCTATCTGCTGCTCTCTTTCTCTTCTACCAGCTCCATTTTTCATCTCTCTTCTATATTATATCTCTTCTAACCTTCTTCCTCTGGTTAACTTGCCTTAATTCCAGCACAATCCTAGTTAATTCCTGTTTAAGGTTCAACCTTATCAATCAATTCCATCTGTTGTTTTTTTCCAATCAGATCCAATATAGCCATTACATTTTAATAATTCTCTTCTCATGGAACCCATAGCTGAGAATTCAAAGGAGGCAATCTCCCTTCACAACTTCAATAGCAACAATGATGCCTTTATCAATCATCCTATAAACACATCCACAAACCCACGTTCTAATGGCTCATTACACTTGCACCCACATTCAAAATCCCCTTCAAACATCAACTCAAAGAATCCTACAACAACCAGGTTCTCAGGCAGAGACTCAACTGGCGCTCTTATTGTAGATCCCCTACCAAACTCTCCTCCTCCTTCTCAGCCTATTCATAGTTCAAACCAAAAAAATACTCATTATATCCCAACTAACCATGGTAGCAGAAATGATTCCTACAATGATGTAGGCAAAGACATGTTTAAAGTAAGAGCAAGAACCTCTGATGTCAAATCAATCAAATCAGACTTCTCCGATTTCTCAAACTTGAATGATGATAACAAGTCTGTTAGTTCATTCCATGGTGCTGAAATCAACTCTGAGACTGGAGAACCCGAATTCATTTATAAACCTTCTCCTAAGAGCTTAATTTACGAACAAGAAAAAAGAAGAAAACAAAAATTAAAACTAAAACTAAAAGAAAAAGAAAAACTCCTCAAACTAAATGAAAGTTCAAAGAATACAAGAGACAACTTCTTGTCCAATCAAAGCTCAAATCAAAATATCCAAAAATTTCGTAAATATAAGAAAAAACCCGAAATAAAAGATTTAAGAGAGAGTGATAGTGGCTCCTTGTTAGACGAGGAAGTATACAACGTAAGAGAATCTCGTCGCCACAATCCTTCTCGTCATCATCGTCATTCTTCAAAATCTAAAAGACATTCAATGCTTTCAAATTATGTCGATGAAACTGAAGACTCTGAAAGTTTTGCTCTTCCTGGTGAATATGGCCCCCCTGTATTCCCCACAAATAACAAGAAAGCTTTTTCTCCTAAAATCGATTCTTCAAGATTAAATAACCCCAATTTCCCAAATAACCAACTCCCTTTCGATCCATATCAAAATCAAAATCAAAATCAAAATTTTATTCCAAACCAACCTCAAATGAATCCTATGAATCCCATCGGCCAAATGAATCCCATGAACCCAATGAGTCAACCAATGAACCCCATGCAAAATCAAATACCTTTTCAAGTTCCTGGTGCTTTTGTTGATCAAAATAATGCAATGTATAATCCTTCTCTTGTTGGTCCCCAACAAACTGCTGCTTTGTATCAAAACCTTTTGAACCAGCAAAGATTTGCAAATCAAATGAATGAACCTTACCAACTCGATGAAAGAGAGGAAAAACTAAAAGAAAAAGCTGCAATGCTAAGCGCTTTAGCTACTTCAAAGACTCAACAAAAATTGCAAAAGGAGTTCCAAAAGGATCTTCACGACTTGAAAGCAATGATCAAGTATTTAAAAGAAAAGGAAACTGCTCCAAGATATGGTGCTTTTGGTGCCGCTGGTTGGGGTGGTGTCATGCCTCCAGTGCCTCCAAAACTTAAAATGTCTGATGGCAAGAAATCTGTCGATGCCGACAAAGCAAAAGCGCTGGATCCTGCTCCTCCTAAAAAAGAAGAAAAGGAAGAAGACAAAAAACCAAAAGAACCAATTAAAGTCTATTCTGCTGATGATCCAATTTCTCCTGCTTATCAATTTCCCTTTGAATCTGCTGTGAATTGGTCCTCATTTTTACTGCTTTTGCAAAGAGCTTTTTCTGATCATAAAGCCCAGTTGAATGATGGAAAATTTAACTTATTCTTAAAAGAATCAGGAACCATGATCTTACCTATTCATTGGAGTCAGTCTATCGAGCCTGGCATATCTGTATCTATCAAATTTCCTCCTGTTAAAAAAGAGATTAAAAAAATTGAGGGTACCATTGTAAATCCTCCAATGCCTCCAAAACCCAAGGGTCTCTTTCTGTTTGGCAGAAAGGAAAATAAATTACCTCCACCAGTTATGGGAGGTGGTCTTGGTGGTCTTGATGGTCCTCGTGGGTTGCCCTTAAAAATAGAAAGCAAACAAACCAAGTTTCTTGCATGGGCTACTGAAGCTGATAAGACTTGATGAAAAATTAAAGCTAACTTTAACTTTTTTTTCTGTTTACTTTCTCATATTCTATTTTGTTTTTTGTTTTTTGTTTCCTTTTCATGATTCATTTTTAAACTGTTGATATTTGTTTTTTTTAATTTGTTTTTAATATTTTGCTTTTTGTATATTTTTCAATTTTTCATCTAATAATTTTTGGTTAAACTTGATATAAGTTTAATTTTTAGTTTCTAATTTTTAATTTTCAATCTCCAATTCTTTTTTTATATATTTTACTCATTTTTTATATTTTACTCATTTTTTATTTATTCACACCACATTATTCTATTTAATCAAATTCGAAATATAATTGAGATTTGAAGCTTATAATTATGTCTGAATTATATATTATAATAATAAAACCAGTGATGATTGTAAAAAATCAGAAACCAAATTAGAAATTATTATACATGCTAATTAAAATTAAATTATTAGATGATTGAAGTTATGAAATATGAGAAAAAATTAAAAACAAAAACAAAAACAAAATAAAATAAAATATAAAATAAAATATAAAATAAAATATAAAATATAAATTTTTATAAGAAATATTCAACAGGTCTTAATTGAGTTTTGATTCTGTCGGATTCTTTTCTTATTTCAATTGCATTTTCTGGACTTTCTTCAAAAACATTGAAAAAACTTTGCTGATCATTATATATTTCCAAAATACTTGCTCGATTTCCACATCTATAACAATAATTTGGCGCAGACCAAACAGTTGTCACTAAACCATGAAAGTAAATTTGGTAGCCTTCATTACATAGTTGGTGAGCTCGTAAAATTTTATCCATTGAGTTAAATTGTAAAAACTTTTTGACAACATCATAACCAAAAGTATAGCCAGCACCTCTTGAAGAAAGTTGGAAATCATTTTCTTCATCATTTGGATCGGACCAAACTAGATCAGCCATTGCACCTTCATGAGGTATTTCACGAAACCTGTCCACTAATTTAATTTGATCAATGCTATGGACGTTTGGTGACAATCCTCCATGCACACAAAAAATGGTATCGTTAATAACAACGGATAGTATTAAAAAATCAAACATATCAGTAAAATAACCCCAAACCAAAGGGGAGCCATATTTTCGATGGCATTCAGAATAGAAACCATAATTTTGCGTTATTTGCCTGGATTCGTGGTTGCCTCTTATCAAATTTATTCTGCTAGGATATCTTAATTTTAGACATATCAATAGAGTTATTGTTTCAACACTAAACATGCCTCTGTCAACATAATCACCTAGAAATAAGTAATTTGTATCAGGAGCAAACCCACCAATTCTGAATATTTCAATTAGATCATGAAATTGACCATGAATATCACCAACAACAGTCACAGGAGTATTGATGTAAACTACATTGCTTTCTTTGATCAAGAGTTCCTTAAGCTTAGAACACAAGGCATGTATAGTGACCTCAGGCAATAGCTCTCGACGATATAATCTTTCGATACACTTATCTAGCTCTAGAGGAGCTGCAAAATATACACCCAGAAAAACAGGCCACACGTTAGTAAACAAGCTGAAGAAAAGGACAAACAGTGATAGTTCGGGTTGGAACTGAACAGGAAAACTCACCAGTCAACGAGGAGTCAGTCAATGTCATTCGTCTAATGTTATCTGTAGCTGATGAAATGATGAAATGGTGAAATGTCGAGCCGTTATAATCTTGCTGATAGTATGATTTATGATTTTTGACACATGTACTGGGTGAGAATTAAAACAGGGTATGAGAAAGGGAAAGAACAGGTCTAAGCAGTGTCTGGAACGAGGTCTCTTCAAAACACGATGCAACACTGGCGACGACTATCAAGTATCAAACAACACAGAGAACAGCAAATCCACCATCGTTGAAGCACCAGCAGCACCAGCACTGCGAGGAGCCAGTTTTCTGAGCGTTGATCTAGAGTTTGAGCTGGGCATGTGACCTGGAGATGCGGCTGGATCTGGAAAAGAAGCAGTTGGGAGGCAAAGAGAGATTAGAGGAGGCAACGAGATGGACTACCAGAACAGAGTTGGGTCGAAGAAGGGCAGTGGTGGTGTGGCCACTGCCAGCGAAGAGAATGCCCACCGGAGAGAGAGAGTGAGGCAGTTGATGTCCAATCGAATCGACGTCGACAGCGATCCCTATGTCTTCAGGAACCACTTGGGCTTGCTAGAATGTAAGTTGTGTTTGACGACTCATGTTTCTGAGGGATCCTTTTTGAATCACACCCAGGGAAAGAAACACCAGACGAATTTGCAGAGAAGAGCAAACCAGGACCCTAAATTCAGTCATGTTGATCTGGTAAATGCAGCGATAAAATACAAAAGCAAAAGTGGTTTGGGTAACAATTTACTATCCTATTCGACTGTTCCCAAAAAGAGCTTTGCGAAGATTGGTAAGCCTGCGTACAAGATAACTAAAATAAGAGATCCAATTAGCTACGAAATCGGGTTGCTTTTTACCATACAGTTCCCCAAATTGAAGAATGATATAGCACCAAAATATCGGATGATGAGTTGTTTTGAACAACAGGTTGATTTGCCAATCAGTAAAGAATACCAGTATTTAGTAGTTAGCGGTGAACCATACGAAAATATTGGCTTTAAGATTCCTAGTAAAGAAATCGATAAGGACGAAGACAAATTTTGGTCATTTTTTGACAAAGATACAAAAGAATTTTTTATACAATTTTTTTTCAAAAACAAGTCAGACTAATTGTAAATTACGAAGCTAATAAGCTGTAATCCATAATTGTAATTTTGTAATTTATAATTCGTAATATATAATATATTTTACAAGAAGAAATTTGTAAGTGCATATTATCAGAAAAACAAACTAATTCTTTTAAAAATGAATTGGGTATGATTATAATAGTGAATTAAAAAAAAAAAAGTAATAAGAAATTAATTAGAAAAACGAAAAAAGTAAGACCAAAATGAACAAAAATAAACAAAATATAGAAGTAATAGAATAGAAAGAAATATAGTTAAATAATAAATTAGTAGTTGGAACTGCATTGCATTTAATTATAATTGTAATTGATATCAATTTTTTTTTAAAGCTTCATCAGAAATATTCAAAGAATCATTTGATTTTTCTGTTGATAATGAATTATTATTAAAAGGTACATTTATAGTTGTGGAGGTTTCAATTTGGATTGGAGTCCCTATAGAAGAGATTTGTTCAATATAAGGCCCATTTTGATTAAGTTGAGGAATTTGGATGATCTGTGGAGTTGGTGTGTTAGAAGAACTTGAATTGATTGAATTATTTGGATTAATTGAAATAACTGGAGAGCCTGTTGCAACAATTTCATTACTATTGTCGTTAATGCTAATGTTAGTATTAAGTTTTTGTTTTTTATTATTTTCTAAATTCTTCACAGAAGAATGAGAAGTGTTTTGAGATCGATTATTTTTGTGATTTTGATTATTTATTTCGTTATTTTGATTTATTTGAGAATTGTTCAAATTTTGTGTGTTTTGAGTTGTTTGAATTGTTTGGATATTATGATTAGTATGAAGATTATTAATTGAATTTTGATTAATATTTTTAGCATTGTAAATTACCATTTCTCTATCATATCTTGCTTTGTCTTCTTCATATAGTTTAAAATACGGTCTTTTTGAATCTTCATCTAAGGTTTTCCATGCTTCGGTTAAACCCTTTGATAAGTCGTTTCCAGTATTTGGATTTTTCTCTTCAAGAGTTTTTTTAATGTTTTCTTTCTCCATTTCACAAAAGATCAAGTACGCATTTGTTGGTCTTTTAGGCATTTCTGGGTCCCTTGGTTTTATAACTCTTTGAGAGTTATTAATTCTTTTTTTTTTAGATGATGAAGTTGATTTAGTGTTTATATTTGCATTTGCATTTGCATTTGTATTCGAATTTGTATTCGTATTTGAATTTGAATTTGTATTTGAATTTGTATTTGAATTTGTATTTGTATTTGTATTTGGATTATTATTATTATTATTAGTTAAAACTAAAGAGGGATTTTGATTTAAATTGATTACTTTTCGATCATCTATTTCATCATCAGTTTGTAATTTCATTATATCATCAGTATCAGAATCATCATCAAATAATTTTGAACGTTCTTCTAATCTTTCTAATAATATGGTGAATTCTAATCTTAATCGTTTTATGGTTGTTTTACCTCTTGAGATTGCCAAAGCAGCAATTTCGTTATTTTCTTCAACTTCGGCAATTCTTCTTTTAAGATCTTTGCATTTTTGTCTAAGTTTTCTATTTTCAGATTCTTCTATAACTTCGCTTAGTTGTTTTTGAGCTCTCATTATAGTTTTCTGTTGATTTAATTTATCTAATTGAGTTGTGGTTATCTTTGAATAATTCTGAACTTTTCAATGATAAATGGAAAAAATAAAAAAAATAAAAACTCTGGTCAGGTGATATTGCGTATTCATACATATTTATACTGTAAAAGCATGTTATCAGCTTTGTGGGAGCTGCCACTGCAATGGATCTTTTGTTTTCAAAATGTCTGAATGAAGTAAAAATTGTTTCTGTTTGGGCAGCAGAAGTGGAAAAAAAGTGGGAGAAAGCATAAACCAGATTTTTAAATTGGTATATGGTAGAAAGTATATTAAGATTCTATTACGAAGTTAAGATTTTAAAAGGATTTTATTAAAATTGCGAATATACCATAATCTTATAGTTTATTGAAAATAACCAAATTTTGATCGATTAACAAAGGCAATTAGACGAATTATAAAGATTGGCAAGAGATAAAAGACACAACTTTAGTATAAACTCTAGATTTGAGGATAACAAATTCTATTCTCAAATTTGAATATATGAAGATTATTATATGTATTTTAGTTCTGAGTACTTTTGTGCCCAAGTAACCATTCAATCTCTTCTTAAATGAGTTTCGATGTCTGATATTTAGAACCAACACAAAATAATGTAAATAAGTATTAAGGAAAAATTGACTGAAAAAAACGCAGATAATAATAAATGAAAAATTATTCAAAAAACAACTTGTTAAATAACATATCAATCAATATATTAAAGAAAACAAAGCATATAAATAATATCATTTACGAATATCATTTACGAATTTGAAATATTTAAGAAAATATTTCAGAATTTGCTATTTGCTATTTGCATTCGCAAATTTATTATTTATGAGTTAATAATTATTTGAAATCAGATATTATTTAATAGTTATCTATACAGACAAAATAATATGCATCGAAAGCACTTGCAAAACTGGTAGATTGAAAATGCCTTATATGGTGATTACAGGAATCAATCAGACCGGCAAACAAACGCAAAAGGATTTCTAAGCGGTAAAGGAAAAATCAAGTGGGAGTTCAAAGAGTCAGCTAAATATAGATAAGCTCTAGATAGGGAGGTATCTTAAACGATGACTTGGGTAAGTTAATGATTAAAACCAATAACGACTTTCATGAATCATGGTTGCTTAATATCTGAGCGCTAGCGATGTAACTTGCAAAGACAATTTGAATTTAAAATTTTCACTCAAAATCAGTTGCAGTTTGTTTGCAAACAATAGTGTGTGAGGTTCGAACCTTCTTGCAAACATGTAAGGCCTGCCTATTTTGGTAAGCCCACACAAATATGCCAGTAAAAAGTCAACAGGTTATGGGTCTATTAATATTCTAGCCTAAAAACACCAGAATTATTCCGCTGCAGACCCGGTCACCTCGTAAAACACACAGCGTTCGGACTGGCAACGGGCCTCGTCGCACCGCTGACTCCGCAACTGTTAAGGTTCCTCCACTGTGAGCCGAATGAGCTGTGGCAAACAGGCTCTGCGTCCTAAGCGAGCGCTCGCTAACCCTGCCGCCGACGCCCTGCCAGTCCCTGCTGTCGCCTGTGTTTTGCACCTGTATCAGCATAGTAATGCGGCACCCGCAGCTGTGTTTCAGACCACACTGCCGGTTTTTTTCACTACCAAAGTCGATATTGATGCTTTGACATATAACCAGATTGCCTGGGGCCATTTTTGCTCGCCTGTTTCTGTTTCTTGTTTGTTTTGCTTGCGAGAAATGCTTGCAAGGCCTCCTGTAGTTCTTTTCTGGTTTCATTACAGTTGCAAATTAAAACTGAAACCGCAGCAGTTAAATTTGAGTGATTACTCTAACTCTTTTTAGTTTTTTTTTGCTCAGAAATTTTGTAGCCTCAAAAAGTTATTCTCAGCAAAAAGGACATTTATACCAAACTGTAATTCTTGTTTTTATAATATTCATAATTTTAATTCTTCCAAAAAAACTTGATTAGATTTGATTCAATCTAATTCAATTTTTATTAAAAATTTAAATTTAAACCTAAATCTAAATCTAAATTCAATTTTATTTCTCAATTTTTTGATTAATGCTATTCCTATTTATCCAATTCTCCCTTAAGTTTATTCTCAATTTAATTTATCTTATTCTTTTTATTTATAATTATTTTGTAAACTCATTTTTTATTTCTTGTTCTCATTTTGGCTTTCACTTTCATTTCTACCTTTACTTTTTTTACTTTATTCGTTTTTATACTTCAAGCCCGATAAATCTTTTATATAAGTACCCAAATTCTTTCTTTTTGTGTTGTTACCTATCTTTTTTAATTTTCTTTTCTTTTCTTTTCTTTTTATTATACCTCATTAAATCTCATTACACCTTCTATTATTACTAGTTTATATATACTCAATATACATTCATCAAATAAATACATTACATTTAAAAAACACTCATAAAACATCACATCAAACATCTTGATTTCAAATACCCAACACAATTATCATCTATTCTAAATCTTCAGACAAATTTTTTAATTAATTTTTAATTAATTTTTAATAAATTTGAATTAATTCTTCATCTTATTCAAAAAGAAAAAGAAAAAGAAAATAATTTCTTTGGTTTTCCCTTTTTTACTTTTTCAATGCCAATAATATTCATTTCATGAGACCCTTATCTATATCCAGTGGCAGAAGATCTCAGAGATCCCAAAGATCCCCAAGATCTCCCTTTTCTTCTTCTAAAATTTCTTTATTACAAAAGGATAATCAAAGTGTTAATAGCTATAGTAGCCCCAACAGCCTTATTAGCCCTAATAGTCTCAGTATTCATAATAGTCCTAACAGTCCCAAAAGTCCAAATAGTTTCATTAGTACCAGCAGTGCCAATAGTGCCAATAGTTTCCATAGTCTAAAAAAAAAAAAGATTTTTTCAAGACAAAGAAATAGTTTTTTAGCTGACTTCAAATGTTGCTTTTGTGATATATCTCTAGAGAGTATCTTGCCTGGTGAAGAAAATATTCAATTATCCTGTTCCCACAATTGTCATTTTAAATGTTATTTAATATTTATGAATAGAAATGATATTAACAATGAAATTCAATGTCCTTCATGCCATAAATTAACAAAACCTCTAAAAGAATCCGATCATGATAAATTGGTTCAACTGTTATTAACTCAAAACCCAAAAAAATATCCGTTAACCGATTTAAATACAATTGGTAATTATCATTATAATAATAATAATGAAGATGAAGATTTTGACTGTACAGATTATAATAGCTTCAATAGTTATGAATTATACAATACTTATAGCAATAACGATGACTCCACTCAATTATCTTCGGAAATATCAACTTCTCCCATAACTCCAACTGAAAATTTCACCGATTATCAATTGTTTTTTCAATCATCTTCGCTAAATAATTTTACTTATTTAGATAATGAAGAAAGCTTTTTCCAAAATTCAGGATCTTCAAATTATTCATCATCTGAAATAGTTGCGAACGATTTAATCGATAAATTAAATACTCCAATAATTAGAGTTATCCCCGAACAAAAAAAAATAACTTTTAGAACTTCTTCCAATAATTATGTTTTGCCTTGTGTCTTTAATATATCAATGCCCTCAATTAACCCAAATTCAAAATCAAATAAGAATAACACTAAAAATACCAATGAAGTTAATCAAAATGATAAAATTGACGAAGAAAAAATTAAAAATAAAATATCTGTTCAAGTTAAAAAGCTAATTAAAAGTAAATTATCAGGTAAATTTAGTGTTGATTTCCAAAAATTAGGAAATTTGAAAATGTTTGATTATTTAAATTTTGCTCTTATTGATGGCACCGAGTATCTTGATGCTCAATGCTACTTATTTGAAAAATACCTCCTAATCTTAAATAACCAAGGTAATTCGATTACTGGGATTATTCAAATCAAATCAGATTTGTCATCTGTAATTGAATTGAATGAAAATACAATCCTGCTAAATTCCACTATACCTACCTTACCTGAAGTCGATGTTTATTCTGAAGACAAAAGAATCATATCAAAATGGAAAAATTATTTAAAATATTCGTCTCCCTATATCGATTTTAAACCAAAAGATGTTTCTTTAATTTCTTTAACAACAAATGCTTGGGATATAATTGATCAAATTGATTCAATTCATCACATAATACCTGATTATATAAAAGAAATTAACAATTATAAAAGAAAGGGTTTGTTACTACCAATGCACTTATTATTAAAGACTCTACCTGAACCAGAGCCCCTACCTTTAAGAATGATATTAGGTATTTCAATTTTTAATATGGATAAGTCATTGACAAATCAAGAGTATAAAGACAGTGTTTTACAATTAATTAAAACAATTGCAAACTCTTTGACTCCATTGGATAAATTTGGAATTGTAATTATAGGTTCTAATGGGAGTAATATTGGAAAATTTAGTGAAAGATTAAGCTCAGATGGCAGCTGGAAAAATTGGGAAACTTATTTTGATGAAAAATTAGTAATCCATGATAACTATGACCCAATTACAAAAAAATCATATATCAGCAATTCTTTTGAAGAATTAAGTTTATATTTTGAAAAATGCAGAGAAATTATAGGTACCTGGCCTGAATGTGAAAATCCAAATGCAAATATTGTTAGAAAATTTGTAATTCTTAATGCAAAATATGATGTTGCTTCTGATAATTCAATTTCATTAAAAGGTAATAAAACATACCATGATACTCAACTAGATAATGTGATAAATAAAAACTTGAAAAAAATTATAAAAGATAATCATTTTACTCTTCATTCATATTTAATAGGAAAGGAATATAATGTGTACCTGGTTAAATATTTTGAAAAACTTTTTCATTTTAATGGTATTGAATTTGGTTCTGAATTGAAAAGAATTAATACTTTAAAAGATTTTGATATTGTGAAAATAATCGATGAATGTCACAAAATTTGCATACCAAATATTAAGATTAGGTTTAAACCATTAATTGAAAATATAATTATTGAAAAAGCAGAATTTGATGAATTTGGTGAAAAAGAAGTTGAATTTTCAATACAAAAAAATCGATCTATTTTAGCTGTTGATTCTATTCGAGAGGCAATTAGAGAACAAGAAATTCCTATCAGTTCTACTAGCAATAAACCATCTCGAAGCATTTTTTCTGAAGATAACTTGGTTGAGTTTAATCTAAAAGATTTGACACCGGGATATTGCAAAAATTTCCTGTTCAAGTTCAATATAACAATCAACAATAGATTTAAACAATTTTATACTCAATTAACAGGTAATAACATATCGGTATCTTCCACAGGATCACCAGCACCATATGGTGATATTCCTTTAATTAATTATTCAAGCGAGCACTATAAAGGTAATTCAAAACCAATTAAAGTTGAAATTAAAGCAAATTTTATTGATGATATTACACTGATGCAGAATATAACATCATATATACCGTCAAACAAACATAGTGACAGTAATAATGATGAGTTGACAATTGATACAATAATGAACATTCCAGTATTTGCCCCCCTTTCGGCTTCAAGAGACATTATGTTTGCTAAAAGACAGGCAGAGTTAACAGCAGTAAGATCTCTAAGAAAGGCTATTGAAATATACTCAATACTAAAGCAAAAGGCTATTAACCATAATAATAAAATAAGCAAAAAAGATTTAAAAAAAGTTAAAGGGATTTTGATGCAATCGGTTTCAACAATTTTTGGAATAATTAGAGGATGTGTTTCAACATTAAAAGAAGATGAGGAAATCAATTTAAGCAATAAGGAGCAGCAGACACAAAAATATATCGAGGGAATTAGTAATAATCTTTCAAAACTAGCGAAACTAGTTGAGAGCAATAATGAACTAGCAATAGTGTATGGATATGACTTGCTTTTATTTTTGGTTTTTCAAAAAACTGAATAAATTAATTATACAATTGGATAACTCATTACCCGATTAAAAACAATCAATTTTTTTCATTTCAAAACACCTTTTTTTTTTTTTTTTTGATTTCAGAATTTTTTAAATTTTTATGGATTTCTTTATTATTTTTTATTATATTGTTATTATACCACTATTATTTTTTTTATTATTTTTTTATTTAAGCTAGTTGCATGATGATAAACAATTGAGATTTTACTTTTTCATTATTTTTATGATTTTTTTTACCCGTTTTTATATATTCAAGTTAATATTTTAGTGATGATATTAAAAGCTAATTTTAATAGATAATTTTCAATTTTAATTTTAGCATTAGTTGTAATTATAATTTTGATTTTAATTTTAACATTGGTTTGGGATTGAATTAAACTGGAATTGAAATCGAAATTTTACTGAATTTACTATTTTCTGGTAGAGCGTCTTAAGTTTTGTCTTCGATTCGTTTTTCTTTTTGAACCAGATTCAGTGTTTTTTAAAGGAATTTTTTTGTTGTTTGCCTTTGTGTTTTGTTTTTTAACTTTTTTCAGAGTATTGTTGGTTGTTGTTGTCGTCGTCGTCGTTGTTTGAGATCTTGTTCTCTTTGAAGCATTTTTAGGTTCTGGTGTTTTTTCTTCTTCTTCCTCTTCTTCTTCACCATCATCATCATCATCATCATCATCATCATCAGAGCTTTCATCATCTTCCTCTTCGTCTTGTTCTTCAATGTCATAGTCACCGTCGCTACTGTCCTCCGGAGATAAAGAAATAGCTTTTTCTTCAATTAACGCACCGAATTCTTTATAAGGCAATTCAAATTCTCTTCCTTTTACTATCTCTAGATTGTTTAATTTGATATTGTTGTTAAAAAGCTGATTGATTTCAGCGTTTGCATTTTTAGTGTTTTTACCATCAGAAGAATCAGTGTCATCATCGTTTTCAAAATAATCAGATTCCGATAATTCTAGTTCATCCAACCCATCTAAGTTAAAAGAATATCTCAATTTTTCCCAAATGTCTTCAACCCGAATCAAATTTTTCTCAGATTGATTGGAGGTGTTAGAAACATCAGAATTTAACTGATTTAAAATACAGAGCATATTTGAGTATTTATGTTTTCCCACAGGCTTGTGCTGGCAAATAGCCTTGAATAGAGATATTTCTTCATCCAATGACCATTTTCTCATGTTCAAATCTAAACGCTTTTGCTAGTTCTCATCAGATTCAATGGTTTTATTCAATATCTTCTCATCATTTGTTCATTTCCATTAAATTTCAAAACACAGAAACTTTAAGAGCCAGATTTCCATTACCAAACATCTGGCACTGTGTTTTGTTGGGGAATGTATGCGTGACCACACTTAAATTCCTCTCCAGCAGCCCTGATGTCCCATCCACAGCAGGGGGACTTTTGTCAGATATCAGCACGTGCTTCAACCGCTCTCGAGCTGAAAAGTTTTTTATTGGAGGAGTTTTTCCCAGCACCAGAAAAAGCACCGAAAGAAGCACCAAAAGAAGCAGAGGAAGCACCGAAAGAGCGTTTTGCTGCCAGACTATTTGCAATGACCAGGAAGATATCTGCGTTGAATAGTTTGTCCAGAGGGGTATGGTGGACTTGCCTTGTTTTGTACAACTAATACTGACCCAGACAACTTACTAACAGCCTTTGGTTTTCATATAGCACATACGTACCTCTTGGAACAAGTACAACTTGTTTAACTTGTACAAGAAAAGAAATGTCAATCTTCGTGGCAAATCGTTGTACCAACAAAAATGGTATTCCAAAGCTGAATCAAGAGCCTATCATGGAGAGCATTTGACTGAAAAACAATGGAGCAGAACCTTTGTGCCAAATTTGAAAGGTGTCGCTCAATTGGATTCCGGTTTGCAAGCTCATAACACTGAAACACCATTGGTTTTGCAAACGTATGCTCCATTGGAGAGGAGGTTGGATTTTGCTTTATTCAGATCCTTTTTTGCTTCTTCTGTAAGACAAGCAAGAAGATTTATTTTGTCTTCGCATGTTCATGTGAATGGTGTGAAAGTCATCCAGCCAAGTTATCCACTACGTCCTGGTGATATTTTCAGTTGCAACCCAGAAAAGGTTTTGCTAGCTTTAGGGGCCAAAAAGCCCTCGGTAAAACAAGCAGCAAAAATCGATTTTGTTACAGTTAATAAATGGAATGATTTTGTTAAAAAAGCAAAAGAAAATCCAGAGAAAACATGGAATGATCAATTACTAAGAAAAAAACATGGATGGAATGGTGAAATTGATCGCAATACTCAAAGGATTTTAATTGCCAATTCAAATAAAGTTGTCAAAAAAATCATTGAAACAGAACAAGAAAAATGTGATCCAGAACTAATTTTATTCGATATATTAAGAATTTCTTCAAATGCAGGAAACTCTGATGTGGCTATATTAAAAGCATTGACTCCAAAATTTGGTGGTAATGCTAAAAAATGTTTAACTATTTATCAAGATCTTTTATCAACATTTGAGAATGAAATTCCACCTTCATTACCAAATTTATCTGATCAAAAATTATCTAAATTAGTTAATAGAATATTAGGTTTTAACATTCAAGAAACTGATAAAACTGTCAAGCAAGAAACATCAACAGCCAAAGATCTTAAAGATCCTAAAGATCCTAAAGATTTTAAAGATTCTAAAGATTCTAAACAATCTGTCGAACCAAAAGAGCAAGCAGCTTCTAAGGGAAAAGAATTGGTAGATTCTAAAGAATCTGTTGAAACAAATCAAAATCAAGAAAATACCAAAGTAGATGAAGAGGCAACTTCAACGTTTGCAGAATTAAAAAGATCTGAAATATTCAATTCTGAAGAAAAAAAACTACAAAAAAAACAAGAGAAAGAAAAGACAATTAAGATAAAAGTGAAAAAACTTCAAAGCGTAAAATATACCTTGAACCAAATAACTTCATCTCTTCGTAACCAAATTGATGCAGAGTACAACAGTAAATTTATTAATCCTAATAAAGACAACTTCAGAGTTACAGACTTAGTTTTAGACCCCGAATGGCATAAAAATTTGAAACCTCATAAACCTATTAACATAAAAGAGATTGTTGAAGATGAATCAAACGCCAAAATATTCTTACCATTTCAAAAGGGTTTATATGGAAGACAAGAAGCAGAAAAACCATATTTCACTCCATGGAAACTAAGACCATTTATGGGCCCTTTTGCAATTTACCCCCATCACATTGAAATTGATTTTGATACTTGTCATGCCGTATATCTAAGTGATCCTGTTGCTAGACCTGGTTCTTCTGAAGTAATAACACCATTTGGAAAAGACATTAGTGAAAGAGCATTTATGTTCTACCAAAGAAAACGTTTGTGATTTTTATAAAAGTAAAACACTGAAAAAAAAGAGCTTGTACATATTTGTTTGTTATAGGTATTATTTATTTTTTAATTTTTTCAATTTTCTAACTTTTAAATTGTTTAATTTCCATGAAATGTAGACAAAGATAAAGGAAGCAAAAACTTGTTTCTTTAAACATTCCAAACATAAAAGCAAAAGCCGTTATCAGTATCCCTCCATTGCATTTTATCAATGATATTCATTTGCTTGATTATAATCCAAAACAGTCATTATACCATATTTTAAAGCTAAATAAAAAAAGTAAAGATATCAAACAGATCAATCTTGTAATCTTGAAGATACTAAAACAGAATTTATCCGGCAACTACTGATATGCAAAAATCATAAAACAAGGTTAAATTATTTGTGAAGGAAGAATGCAAAATTTACTGCAAAAATTCAAAACAAGTGAAAATTGATTAATCCAAATGAAAAAATAAAAGCTTTGAAGAGCAAAATAAATATAAATATAATTAGAAACTCAAATCCACACAACAACAATTTAAAAAAATCTAGGAAGAGTCAGTTAACAGCCTAAAAATTTAAAATTTTTTGAAAACTGTCTCAATAAACACCTTTTTTTCTGTATTTATTACAATTCTGTAGTTTCTTGTAAGTTTGAGTAGAATATACCTTGTGGTGTTTTAAATTGTGTCCAAACCCATAGATTTGCATTTACAGAACCAAAAAAATACACTTTATTTGACACAGTAGCAAGAAATTGAAATAAATATTTATTATTATTTCAAAATTACAACTGTACAAAAGTATCCTCTCTTTTAAAAAAAATATACATTAGTATAGTTATCTTGTTAAAAATAAAGATTAACATTTGAAGCCATTGTAGCAAAGGTGGAGAAACTTTTGGTGCTCAGAAATCAAAAAAGTTACAGCATTTGATTTGGACAATTTTTATGTATCAAATCGCATTGTGTCAGATAATATTGACACAATGAGACCACTGGGGTGGATGAGCAAAAGTTGAAATATTTAGTGCAATATTTTCTTTTCTTTTTAATATCAATATTCATGAAACGCTTTGTTTAAGAAATCTGGTTTAATAGTTACATATTTTGAGAATAAATACTGATTGCTTGAAATTCAATCAATGTCTTATAATATAAATCTCGTGTTTGTGAGTCAGATAACAATTTAAGTTCGGGTTTTGATACCAATTATATGCACTCTTACAGTAGTGTGCATGTAATTGCAAATTTTCCGGTGATTGAGGAATTGGATCAGATAAGTGCAAATTAATGTTCAAAAATATCACAACCATTGAAACTATCTATTATTGTGGTGGGAAAGTCTAATTGAATGATTTTTGTATCACTGTTTTTATTGATTCATAATTCAATGTTTCAATTCAAAAACATTATTCAATTTTTAATCGTTATAAATCAAATTCAAAATGTATTATATATGGGTTTTATAATTCAAAGAGCTTATCTACATATAGAAACCATCCAATTACAAAACCCAGGAACATTAGAAAAGAATGTAAGTATAGGTTAATTAGCCTTTATTATGTGAAAAAAAACAAATACAGTCATGAAATAAAGTTAAAAGAATTAAAGAATGAAGCAACTTAACAATAAAAAAACAAAATAAGAACATTCTCTATTGACGTTTTAAAATATCTAATCTCGCTTGTAAATCATCCTCATCACCTATTCCACCACCGATGGCTTGAGGAACTGGATTATTGGACAACGGATTGCTCTTTTGTGCTATGGTTTCTGGTGCATTTTGTAGACTTGAATTCAAATCAACACCGATTTCATCTAGGACTTGGTTGACGATTTCGTCTACTTCTTCCTCGTCTTCTTCAATATCATCGCCCATGGCGTTGTCAATAGCGTCATCCATCATTTCTTGCCTCTGGTCCATAATATCATTTTGTTTTTCAAACTCCATGACTATCCTTGTTAGTTGGGGCATGTTCATTGATCTGTTCATGCCATTTAACAATCTAGCAGCATCCTTCATTGAGTTCGCCATTTGGTCGCTGCTTCTGACAGCCTGTATTCTTAACGAGATGGCTTGTAGTTGAGTTCTCATGTTATTGAATTTCTGAATATAGTTTTTTGTTCTGACCAAGTCCTTTGCTTGGATTCTGGCAGCAGATATCTGGCCATTTTTAGCTGATTTTTTGATCTCAGACACTATGGTCTTTTCCTGTCTTTCTAGTTTTTGTCTTTCTCTGTCTAGTTCGCGCTGAGTACGTTCCAATGCTCTTTGGTTCTGCAATAAAGTCATCCATGTTTAGATGTTGTCAGTATGCAGTCAATATGATAGTAATAAAGAAAATGATGATAACAATGATGATAATAATGATGATGATATCATTGTTGTAAGAACAACTTAAAACAAACCTTTCTCAATTTTTCCTGGGGTGTTAGCTTTTTCCCAAAAGCCCATTCAAACAATTGCATTATGAATAAAACTGGCTAGCTGATTCGCAGTGAAAAGACAATGCAACATTAAAGAGATAAAGAGATAAAAGATTAAAAAACAATGCATGGAGAAGGAGAGATAATCACGTGATATCCGGCTTTGGGAGACCGGAATCACCTAAGTGGTGTGAAAAGAGTGTGGAAGAAGCTTTATTTAATGATAACTGTTGTAGCAAATCCATGATAATATACTAAAGTAAAGAAATATATAGGAAGAAAGATTGTAGAAGAGAACTCCAGGTCATTGGCAAAAGCTCAGAACTTTGAGATCATGCTTATTACTTTGTAATCAATCAATAAACGTATAAAAAAAAGATAAAAAAAGATAACATTTAGGTCTTTCTTTTGAAAATGGATAAACCCAATGGGTAATCAAACAAGCTGTAAAATTTCTGACTTGAATCTTTTAGACGACTGTGTTTTGAAATGCTTTCTGTTTTGTACCAAAATAGAGCTTCAAAGTCCTAACACTGGACTATTTTTTTTCTCAACTGTGCTCAATCCAAACAATTCTCATAAATTTGTTTTTTTTCTGGTTTCTTACAAACTTATTCAATTTGGTAAGGGCTAATCAATAGGAATTTTGAGTGGGATATAATGGCAAGTATTACTGACAAGAAATGAATAATAGAGGGATCTGTTTCCATTAAAGCAATACAGTTTCAAATTACTATTGTGTTGTGCAAATGGTTCGTACGATACTTTTAATAAAGAAAGTATCAATAAAATACATTTTCTGTTGAATTCGTGTGAATATGCTTTTGATTTAAACAATTCTGAATAAATTAATTTATTATTTGATTATCAAAATACAGTCAAGTTATTGTTGAGAGGGATTAATTTGTAAGCTTGTGGAAAAAAACTGATTTTATATCTGCTACTGTTGATCATACAGTATATGTATGATTTATGTAACATATTGTTGAATGAAGGTTATTGAATATTTGCAAAGTTGTGTTGATGGATTTATTGAAGTAATTTTCGATCAATATCCTGATATTACATTGTCTTCATTTAATTTCTATATTCATTAAGTTTTTAATATACTTGTTAAGATTTGGAAACATAAAGAATCCTTTTATAAATCATCTGGGATGTTTGGAGTATTACCTGATGTTTAGTTTTAATTTTCAAACAAAAATTGATTTATTGTGTAAAGAAACAGCCGATACTATTTGTATAAATGATATTGGTGATATATTATATGATACAAAGTTCGGATACACATTTTATCAAATGGAAGGTAAAAATATAATCTACCAATTGAAATTGGAATTTGATTGCGATTTATATTCCAAGAGTGTCAATTATCCCAGTAATATGCTTCCAACCAATGGGAATGTTAAAATCACAAATAAGGGTCATATTCATTACATAAATTCAATTGATTACATAGCCATACAACACAAAAAATTTCATTACTGAACAGAACATAAAAGAGAATTAAAATGTTGGTTCTCTCATGATATCTTTTTGCAACAGTATTCTATAGATGTGTATTACTTTATTGGTTATGCTAGCATATGCAAATATGAATATGTATTATTTTCTAAAAAAATACAGTGTGTGAATTAGAACGTGTTGAAGGGCTTTTACAAAGATAATATTAGCTTGGAAAACACAATAGAATTGATTTGTATTAGATATTTCAAATGATATGATGAATGTTGTTTTAAAATTCGCCAGAAATGTTCAAATATATTCGAATCTGGAGAATATCTCTGCCTGTTGAGGACAGCCATGTGGTTCGAACCCAATAGAATTTGGATCCTAACTGCCGAATGCACAGATGAGTAAACATAAACAAGTCGTAATTATCACGTGATACTTACCGAATGTTTGATTCACGTGAGGAGACTGCTCTCCAAGAGCTGTGTATATTGGTCGACGTTAATGTGACTTCCGTCCGGGGAAATACCACTTCAATTTACACTGATAACAGCTGGTGGATAATTCTATTGATGTTCTAAACGATTCGATTCGTCTAGGAGATTGAAGTCAGAGTTTTCACAATGTTTTGAATAAAACAGAAAATAATTTTGATCGATAAGAGAATGGTTTGTTGATCTGGGGTCTAAGATTGAGCTTTTTTAACTCGTTAAAGTGAAGATAGATTAGCAAGAAGAAACGAAATAGAATAAAATAAAGTAAAAAATAGTTAAAAGTTACTAATTAGTTATTATATAATTGGAAATTGAAAACTGGAAATTAGAAATTAGAAATTAGAAATTAGAAATTGGAAATTGGAAATTGAAATGAGAAATCGTATTAAAGCGGATTTAAATGAAATATTTTTTTATAAAAAAACAACAACGATCTAACTTGATAAATAAAAAAAAGATTTTGGCCAAAAAAATTACAAAATACGTAAAAATAACATTTAAAACAACAGTTAAAATCAAAATAAAAAATAAAAAAGTTATAAAAATGAAATATAAAAATGTTAGTTTGTTTTTTAAAAGATAAAAGAAAATTTAGGATAAATTTAGGATAAACCAAGTAATTAATTTTAGAACAAAATTGCAAGGAAGTTCTCATTAAACAACTTTAAACAGGATAATAAGATAGAAATGATGATAGTATAATGAAGAAGAAACAAAAGATTAATATTGATTTGGTATTGTAAAATAAAAAATAAAATAGAAACCAGCAGAGTATTATCAATTAAAATTTATCTAAAAATATTTTTAGCAATATTTTTAATGATATTTTTAATGAGGATTGTAATGGTGATACTTTGTGTTTTTTTATTTTATTTTATTTTTTTGTTAGTTAACTCGTTTCAATTTTTTAATATTCATCTTCAAAATTGGTATCCATTGAAACTTCTTCATAATCCTTTTCTAAAGCAGCTAAATCTTCTCTTGCTTCAGCGAATTCACCCTCTTCCATACCTTCACCGACATACCAATGAACAAAAGCTCTTTTGTTATACATTAAATCAAATTTAGCATCTAATCTTGTCCAGGCTTCGGCAATTGCAGTTGTGTTGGATAACATACAAACTGCTCTAGTAGCTTTAGCCAATTCGCCACCTGGAACATATTGAGGAGGTTGAAAGCATATACCGATTTTGAAACCAGTTGGGCACCAGTCAACCATTTGCATAATTTTTTTTGATTTGATATTTGAGACGGCTTGTTGAACATCTCTTGTAACAACATCACCTCTATATAAGAGACAAGTGGCCATGTATTTACCTAATCTTGGATCACATTTGACCATTTGGTTAGTTGGTTCTAGACAAGCATTTGTAATTTCTTGAACCGAGTTTGATTCGTGGAAAGCCTTTGCAGCAGAGTGAACAGGGGCATAAGAGACCAAAGGGAAATGGATTCTTGGGTAAGGAACCAAATTAGTTTGAAATTCATTTAAATCGACATTTAAAGAACCGGAGAATCTTAGAGAAGCAGTAACAGAGGAGACAACTTGAGCTATCATTCTGTTTAAGTTTTCAAAGGAAGGTCTTGCAATATCCAAGTTACGACGACACATATCGTAAATGGCTTCGTTATCAACCATAAAAGTACAGTCAGAGTGTTCTAAAGTTGTATGGGTTGTTAGAACTGCGTTGTAAGGTTCAACAACAGAGGTTGATACTTGGGGAGCAGGATAAACAGCGAATTCTAATTTTGATTTTTTACCATAATCCAAGGATAATTGTTCTAGTAATAAAGCACCAAAACCAGAACCGGTGCCACCACCAAAGGAATGTGTGAAAAGGAAACCTTGTAAGCCACTGCAATTGTCAGCTACTTTTCTGATTCTATCCATGACTTGGTCGATTAATTCTTTACCAACGGTGTAATGACCTCTGGCATAATTATTTGCAGCATCTTCTTTACCGGAGATTAATTGTTCAGGGTGAAATAGTTGTCTGTATTTACCGTTTCTAACTTCATCGATTACGTTTGGTTCTAAATCGACATAGACAGTTCTTGGGACGTATTTTCCTGAACCAGTTTCACTGAAAAAGGTGGAAAAGGATTCATCACCAGCAGGGCGTGAAACATCTGGAGATAAAAACCCATCTGGTTGAATGCCATGTTCAAGACAATAAAGTTCCCAACAGGAGTTACCAATTTGACAACCGGCTATTGCAAAACAAAAAAAAAAAAGAAAAAAAAATACAGTTAGAAAATAGGAACAAATAAATATAGAGGGTAGCAGAGTTAATGATGATAGTAATGAGATTATCTAGCGATTAAACGATGAAATACTAAAATGATTGAACAGTCAGATCAATATATGGATTGATCAAAAGAAAACAAGACCCATCGTTCATTGATTGAACAGGTAAAATACTAAAACACTAAAAACAGGATGAAGCTGTGAAGCAACGATGTGAGAATCCTCCAAGAGGAAATCCAAAGGTGGATTAAGACATACCTTGACCAACTGTAGAGATAGTAAAACACAAAAAGTAGGTTAGTAATGTGAAAGAAATAAAAGTGGGAGATGGAGATGGAATGAAAAACAATGAAATGGAAAACAATAAAAGACATACCATTGATACTAATAACTTCTCTCATTTTGGAATACAGATGTGAGTGTGCGAAGATACAAATGCTTTACTGTTGAGGAAGAAGAAAAAAGAAGAATTGAAGAAGGAGAAGAAGAAGAAGAAGAAAGATACCACATCTACAGCCCAAGAAAGCACCCTATTTGTTTACGCTCAAAGTAAACAGGAGTCCCCTTTTCGGAGAGCCAGAGTCGGCACACGTGTATTGGCCGTATATCCTACTTGCGGCACTTACGGCAGCCGTTTCTCGGTCGGTGGTCGGTTTGTCTCCGGCTGTGGTTACAAGTGCTTTTGCTGTTTATGCTGCTTATGCTGCTTGTACTGTTCTTCTTTCCTGCCCAGCTACATCCCCTAATTCCACACACTGGTGTCGCCTTCGAGAGAGTGGTGGTAGCCTGCGTCGTCAAAACCACCATACATGTCGCCCATTGCTGTCTCGTTGCCCATGCCTGGTCCTTCGTCATACATGGTCATCCCGCCATTGTTGCTTCCCACATGGCCATTGTTGACTCCATCGTCCTTCTTCTTTTCGATTTCCTCCAAGGCCAACACGATCTCTACCACTTTCTTCGATAACTTCTCAATTCCTCGTTTGACTACCAAGTTGGGCTCGATCGACCCCACTGTCTCCAAATTGAAATAAAACCGGGTTGGAACTGCTTTGTAGTCAAATCTGTCGTCTGCATTGGGTTCTTCCTCCCACTGGCAGTTCTCGCTCAATGGCCATTCCTTTGAGGCATCGTTTTCGTACCAATACGACGTGTGTTTTAGTTTATTCCATGGGTCATATTCAAATCCAACTGCTGCACAGGGCGACCATTTGGCGTGTTCTTTGCTTATCCCCTTTTTCGCAATGCATGTTAATTTCAATTCTTGGTGTTGTCGTAACTTGCAAATCAACACACCTTTACCTCCAGCATCTCTTATAACTGGACGACCGATCTCCAACCCATTGGTGTCCGAGGACACTAGATCGATCGAGTAAACATCTTTGAATTTGTTTTCGGAACACTTCACGTCCAACGTCAACACAACTGAACATTTCGGACAGTATTGATCACAAGTGCAGTCTCGAGTGTACGCCAATTGCTCGATGTCCTTGCTCTCCAAGGGTATCAACCCTAATCGGTGTGCAATAAACTCGTCTGCTAGTACTGATGTGTTGACCTCTATCTCCACCAAGTCAATTGCTAGCGTGGGCACCTCTGCCATCATCACTCTTCGCAACGAGTTGGCCAACGACAAGTCCACGTCCTCCAAGACATAGTCGACGTTGTCCTTTCCGAGCTTTCTTATGGTCACCTTAGGTCCCTCTTGGCTGTCTTCCATCTCGTCTTCTCCTGTTTTGTCTGTTTTGTCTGTTTCCTCTGCTGCTTCTTCCTCTTCCTCTTCTTATCTCCTTCCGCCGCTTTTTCAAATTTTCCAGAGGTGCCGTTACCCGCTCCCGTCACACGAAACCGCCCATTGATTATCTTGCTATTTTGCATTTGTTTTGCATTTACTTTCATTTTATTCTCTACGCGACGATAAACAATCAATCGCTCCCAACACAAAACTTTGTCTCAGCTACACTCATCTTCTTCGACCTCAAGCACCATCTCTCAATTGCCACCTATATCTCAAAGGAAATCACTCATCTGTCTGCTCTCAAATGGGTCGGTTAGTGGGCTTGGAACTCCATAATTTCAAATCCTACAGAGGCACGTCCTCAATTGGTTTTGGCACTGCTGATTTTATTAGTATAATTGGGCCAAATGGTTCTGGCAAATCTAACATGATGGATGCAATATCCTTCGTCTTAGGTGTAAGATCCTCCCACTTGAGATCTGCTCATTTAAAGGATTTGATCTATCGTGGCAGAATCATGAGCCAAAAAAAATCTAAAAACAAGGACAATTTTCAAATTGATAGTGAATCAGATATCGAGTCCGATATCGACTCAATTTCAAATTCAAATTATGACTATTCTCCCAATAGTGCCTATGTCATGGCAATTTACGAAAAAAATGATGGCACTCTAATAAATTTAAAGAGAACAATCATCTCTAATGGCTCATCAGAATATAAAATCAATGACAAAGTTGTCACCGCAAACGACTATACAAATCTATTAAAAAGTGAAAACATATTAATCAAAGCAAGAAATTTCCTAGTCTTTCAAGGTGATGTTGAAGCAATAGCCTCTCAATCCTCTCAAGACTTGACCAAACTAATTGAAACAATTTCTGGCTCATTTGACTTGAAAAAACAATACGAATCCTTTAAAGACCAACAAGAAAAGGCCCATGATGATACCCACTCATTCTTTGAAAGAAAAAGAATTCTTAATAGAGAACTTAAACAATATAAAGAGCAAAAAGAAGAAGCTTTAAATTTCCAAGCAAAATTAAATGAAAAAAAAAATTTGATCAAACTATTCAATCTTTGGAAATTATTCAACAATCAACAAAAGAAATCCCTTTTATCACAAAACTTTAAAGAAAAGAAAAAAAGCTTGAGAATTTCAAAAGACACTTTATTAAAAGAAGAATCCCTTTTGAAATCTCTATCATCTGAATACTCAAAGGATTCTCTTAATCTTGAAAAATTTAAAAGAGAAATCTCAAAGAGAAATTTTGACTTGAATAATAAAAATAAAGAACTACTACCAACCTCCGCTCAAAAGGACTTGATTCAACAAAAATTACACCAATATAACAGAAAAATTAAAGAACTAAATAACGATATTAAAATTCAAAACAACAACGTTAAAACAATCAAAAATCAACTCAATATAGTTCAATCCGCTTTAGCTGATCTAGAAAAAGATAGCTCAAACACTTCTTTTTCTCTATCTGCTAAGGGCCAAAAGGAATACGAATCATTAAGGCCTTCTTATCTTTCAAATGGTGGTGCTGATTTAGAACAAATATTGTCCCAATTTAACCAAGAAAAACTGGTTCTCCAAAATCAATTGGAAAACTTGTTAAAACAAAAAGAAATTGTAGAAAATAGAATCAACTCTTTAAAGATAAATAGCCAGAATCTTAAATCCACTTTATCTGACAATGAATCAAAAATAACCGAAACAAATAAATCTTTAAATACTAAAAAAGATCAACTCAATACTTTTAGAATTGAGAAAGAAAAATATTTAGCAAAAGAATATGAAATAAATTCAAAATTAAAACAAGTCTTAACTAAATTAGACGAATTAAATGCAACCCAAAGAGAATCAAATAGAGAAAGAAAATTACGCGAAAATGTCTCAAATTTAAAAAGATTGTTTCCAGGCGTAAAAGGTTTAATTTCTGATTTATGTCGTCCCAAACAAAGAAAATATGCAACTGCTGTTTCCACTGCACTTGGTAAAAATTTCGATTCCATAGTCGTTGATAATCTATCAATTGCCTCAAAATGTATCACATATCTTAAAGAACAAAGATCAGGCGTTGCCTCTTTTATTCCTCTAGATTTCGTTGATTCAAAACCTCCTAATCCTAATTTCCGTCATGCTCATCCTAATGCTAGACTAATTTTGGATGTTATTGAATATGATCCTGTCTTAGAAAGAGCAATCCAATATGTTTGTGGTGATTCCATTGTTTGTGATAACATGAAAATTGCCAAATTTGTTCGATGGGAAAGGCGTATAGCTGTTAAAGTAGTGACTTTAGATGGCTCACTAATTCATAAATCTGGATTAATGACTGGTGGTGTTTCTATTAATGATCAAAAGAAAAAACGTTGGGATAAACAGGTGTACAATCAATTAGAATACAGAAGAGACGAATTATTAAATGAATTAAATGTTCTTAGTAGCAGAAAACCCAATGAAATGACAGAAAAAAGAATAATGGATGAAATTGTTAAATTGGAAAATACTTTGCCACTATTATCAACTTCCAAAAACGAAATTAAAAGAAATATTCAAGATTGTGAAATGGAATTAAATTACCAATCAAACGATATTTTAAAGTTCAAAATAAATGAGGAAATTAAAAAAATTAAAGATACTAAGATACTTGAAATCGATCAAAATATGATAGATTATAATAACCAAATCAAAACGTTACAAGATCGTATTTATTCTGAATTTTGTAAAAAATATAATTTTGACAGTATTGAGGAGTACGAAAAGACACATGGATCTATAATTAGAGCTCATGCAAAAGAAAGAGCAAAAATAACTAAAAACATTAGCATTTTAGAGAGTAAATTGAAATTTGAAAATGAAAGATTAGAAGAGACAACCAATAGACAGTCTAAAATTATTCGAGAAAGAGGTCAATATGAATACAGCTTAGAACAATTGAATAAAGATAAAGAAGTGATTGAAGAACAGATCAAATCTTTAAAGCGTGATGTTGAAACATTGACTGAGAAATTAGAGAATCTTGAAAAAGATTTAAAACAAAAAATGTTATTTGCAAAATCAACTGAAGACAATGTTGCAGAAGCACGATTAAAGTATGAAGTGTTAAAGAAAAAATGCTATAATATCGAGGAAGATATAGAAAAGGAAATAATGAACCGTATTAATATTCTTAGATCTTGCAAAATCGAAAATATTGAAGTGCCTTTAAAAAGAGGATCATTGGATTTGTTGCCAATTGGAGGTGGCGATGAAGAAGGAAGCGAAGAAGCTTCTAATGTTATTCAAATTTCGGATTCAATCGAAATTGATTTTTCGGAATTGAGTGATGAGTTGAAAGAGAACCTAGATGAAGATTTTGAAAGTTCTTTCAATGAACAAATAGCCGAAATTACGTCGGCTCTAGAAAATTTATCACCCAACACTAAGGCTCTTCAAAGATTAACTGAAGTTGAAGAAAGACTTAAAGACGTTGATAAAGAGCATCTTAAAACAAGAAAAACTGAATCTAGAATTGCCAATCAATTTAATGAGATAAAAGAAAAAAGATACGAACTTTTTATGAAAGCATTTAATCACATTGCTTCCAAAATTGATGAAATATATAAAGATCTTACAAAATCTAAAGCATCTCCATCCGGTGGATCTGCTTATCTTACGCTAGAAGATGAAGATGAGCCCTATAACTATGGAATAAAATACCATGCAATGCCCCCAATGAAAAGATTCAGAGACATGGAATTTTTGTCTGGAGGTGAAAAAACTATTGCTGCTCTTGCCCTTTTATTTGCTATTCATTCATACCAACCATCTCCATTTTTTGTGCTAGATGAAGTTGATGCTGCTCTTGATAATGCTAATGTTATAAAAATTGCCAATTATATAAATAAAAACGCAGGTCCCAATTTCCAATTTATTGTCATCTCATTAAAGAATGGTTTGTTTGAAAGAAGTGATGCATTGGTTGGTATTTACAGAGAACAAGGTGAAAATAGTTCAAAGACCCTAACACTTGATTTGAGAAACTATCCAAACCATGAAGTTACTGCTAGTGGATAGTATTGTGAGATGAGTTTGCTTTATTTTTTTTTTCTTTGAGATTTCTATGTCGTTGTTTAAGTGTTTCCATTGTAATATATTCGAGATATCCAAGGTTTTGCGTTACTAAATATATTATATTTATTAATTTGTAAAGTGTGATAAACAGATAATGTAATTGTTCAATTTTAATATTCAGATAAAATGAAAAGTATGTTGATAAAAAAATAATAAAAATCTAAGAATAGAGAAGATAAATGAATTTTTGAAAATTTTTGTAAATAAAAATAAAAATAAAACTATAACTCGAAATAATAAAATAAAGAAATGAAAAAAATACAAAAATATAATAGAAATGAAACCACAAAAAAAATAATATAAGCCAAAAAAAAAAAGGAGCACCATAATAACATTGAAAATAAAAGCGGTGAATTGAAAACAAAACTTACTATTTTAGATTACTAGAGAAAAAACTCTAGTTTTTAAAGAAAAACAAAAGACATCACTAAATAAATTAAACAAAAGACGTGATAAAAAGTGGAAAAGAACTGGATAAATCTTTTTTAATTGTTTCCCATAAAGAAGATATTTGAAATATAATTCATTGAATCTGAAAAACAATCTTTTAAATCATTTTTAAGCACACCAGTACTAATTCCAATTTGATTAAATTTAAAAGTTGCAGTATTTTGGATTGGTTTAAATGAATTAAAAAAAGGAAAATTTTTGGAAATGTTAGATTTTTGGTTAAAGTATAAGTTTAATAGAACAGCAAAAATTCCAATTGCAATAGAAATTTTAATAAGGTTTTTGTTTTTATTTTTTGACAAAACTTTTTTAGTTATTTTAATAAATCTTTTAAAATAACTTTGGTTATTGATATTATTAAGTTCATTTATTTTGCTGATAGCATTTTGAGAGTTTAATTTTTTTTGTTTAGCAGCTTTTCTTGCGGCTAACATTTTTTCGTATTTTTCTTGATCGAGCTTCTTTTGATGAGCGATTTTTTGATTAATTTCATCAATTTGGCAATATATTAATTTCATTAATAAAATATTTTTATTTTTGAATAAAATTTTCATTGAGTTTGTATCAAAATTTTTATCTATAAGTTTATTATTATTATTATTATTATGATCAAGATTATCAGGGTTAAAGAAATTATAGATAATGTTATAATTATGAAAATTGAATATTGAGTTTCTTTCTTGTAGGTCATCTAAATTAAAGCCAACGATTAAGGTTGAGGAAGTTTTTAAAGAAGAGAATTTGCTTAATCTTTTTGAAGATAAATCGAATTGAGAAAAAGGAATTTGATTTGAAAAGTTTGAAAGATTTATATTGTTTAAATCATTTAATAGTTTATTTGGATTGATATACTTAAATCTAAAATCTTGTAAAATATAGGGTGGGTAATTGTTCAATAGTTCGTTGGTTAGTGATAAGGCTTTGAATATGAATTCAGATGATAAATCAGCGGTAATGTTTGATAGAGTTGTGTGTAATAAATCTGAGTTTAAGAAAAAATCGTCATCTTCGTCTATTTCTTCAAATTCAGATTCGAATTCAAGATTATCAGAATCATTAGGGGTATTAATTTCATCGTCATCGTTATTGGGAGAAGAAGAAGTGGCGTTGATGTTTATTAATTTTTTTCTTAATTGAGGAGTTATGGCGATTGAAGGAGATGATGTATTATAAGTATCGAGATTTTCTAGATTTTCTAGATGTTCAAGATTTTCAAGATTTGAAAAGACACTATTGACTAGAGTTTCACTTTCACTTAAGAAGCTTGCGGAAATTGAGTTTGAGATTAAATCTGTATCGCTTTCATTGTTATTATTAGAAATGTTGTTGATGTTGGAGGTGGAGGTGGAGGAAGTGTTATTTGGATTGTTGTTAAAATTGTGATTAAAGTTGTTTATGAAATTGTTGTTTAGTCTATTATTTAATGAAAAGCCATTTGAAAAGTTGATTTTATTTAAAATTTCATTCTTTTTTAGTAGTAAAATGGAGATGTAGATGTAGATGTTGATCATTGACGAGCCGTTGTTTAGGATGTAGTCAAATAAATAAGATATATCATTAAAATCTTTAATATCGTGAGAGAAAAAGGTTAGGATTGAGGATAAAGCGTAAAAGGGATTTGTATTTTTAAGGATTTTGTAAAAGTTGTAATCGATTTTATATAGCAATCTTGGAATCAAGTTCAAGTGATCGATTGAAGGATTTATTGAGGGCATCATGAAGTCTCTTAGATGGTATAAGGATAAAAGTTCAAGGATTTTAAAACAAGCTAGATCTTCTATGTCAGTGGGATGATAAATAGAAAATGATTCATTTGAGGAGTTATTATTATTATTATTATTATTGTTATTTTTATTATTATTATTATTATTATTATTATTATTACTATTATTATTACTATTATTATTATTATTATTATTATTATTATTATTATTATTATTATTATTATTATTATTATTATTATTATCATTATTATTGTTGCTGTTGTTATGATCAGGATTGATATTATCGTTGATATTATTGTCGGTGTTAAACACAAGTAGAAGTAATTGAGCAATGTCATGATAACCTTGATAATAGGATAAGAAAGGATAGTTTCTTAATAATTTAACGATTAAATTTTTCAATTTTGATTTTAAAAAGGATAAAGTAGAGTGGTCTAGATTTCTGGGATAAAATACAAAAGACCTATCGATATCCAACTTGACTTGGTCTTCATCTTTATGTCTTTTAAGATGATGGTAATCATTATAAGAGTAATAATTTGAATGGTCAGATTTATTATCAGTTGGATCAGTTTGATTAATTTCGTTAACTAAATCATCCGTGTTGATGTTTAGTAAAAAGGGCCAAATTTTTCTTCTTAAAGAGTTTAACAATAGACCACCTCTTGACTTTGATAAGGATGTTATCAAGTTGTAGTCATTTAGGGATACTGCAGTTTTGAGACTGGCTATTTTCAAGTCTTTTGTGAAGTTTGATAGTGGGTTGTCATTGAATATGGATTTGCCTAGGTCTGGCAACTCCATGTTTTCCCAAATTTCAGTATGACTCGCTGATTGGAAGAAAGAGGTGTTTTCGATATTGTTCTGGGGGTTATTGTCGAAGTCATCTCGATGAGATTTGTCGTGCATATAGGCCAAGTTTGGGGTATTTTGGTTAGCACTCTTGTGGGATCCAAGGTTGTTGGAGCTGGAAATGCTAGGCAGATTGAGGACAAGAAGGCTTCGGTCCCTATTTTGAGTGGAGGAGGCGTTGTGGGAGTAGGTTCTCAGAGAATGAAAAGAGGACATATGGCTGTTCTTCGCAGAGCTGTCGTTTACAAGAGCAGAGACAGCAGCAGTCATCTTTGGTGACTTGGGCTAGAGGGCTGCGAGGAATTCCAGAGCTAGCGCTGGGACAGGAAGCAGAGAGCACAGGGCGAATTGGCAAGAGAAAGCAGAGGCAGAAGCAGCACAGCTGGCGTGAAAAGGGTCTGTGGTGAAGAAGCAGAGCTGATAACAATGGAGCTGATAACGATGGAGCTGATAACAACTGATAACGACGAGCTGTTTCTCATCGCCTTTGTTTTCGCGTTTCGGCCATTGGCTGGTGGTCACGTGGTATATGTTCCCGATTGGGCGCAGAGGAGGAGTGATAAGAAGAAGGTGTTTTGGAGGAGGGAAAGAAAGAAGGAAGGTGAGGAAGGTGTTTGTGATGGAGCAGCAGCAGCAGAAGTGGCGGCAAAAAGACGCTGTTTACGTGACCAGGGTGGCGGTGGGAGGGGGCTACTGCTCGGACGTGTTCCGGGCCCAGCACAGCGGCAGCAGCGAGATTTACGCCCTCAAGGTGGTTGATCTGTCCTTGGTGGCTCCTCCTCACAGCTCCAGGGTGGAATTACACGTCTTGAACCTCATCAGCAGCAGAGCCTGCAACAACCCCAATCTCATCAGGCTTGTGGAGCACTACAACAACCCTGTCGAAGAGCTGTTGACCTTGGTGTTTCCCTTCTATCAGTACTCCTTACACGACCTTGTCTTGCAAAACAGCACCCACGAGAAGGTCAGAAGAAGGGCAAAGACGTCGCTGCGACATAGAATTGATTTCCTTAATCTTGACTTGAAGAGCTTGCAGAACTACAGCAGACTGAAATACAGAACCATCACCAAAAATAACCTCTCGCTCAAGCAGATTTTTAAGATTCTTCAGGGCATTTTAAACGGTTTGGTTTTCTTACATGAACATGGCATAATCCACAGAGACATCAAGCCTGAAAACATTCTATTTGCTTCGTTGGATCCTTTGGATCCCAACAACGATGCTAAGTTGATTGATTTCGGTATATCCTGGATTCCCCCAGACAATTTGTCGTCCATTGAAACCCCAAACAGCAAATATTGCGATATTTGTACAGGTATTTATAAACCTCCAGAGGTGTTATTATCGGCCAGAAACTATTCCACTGCAATTGACATCTGGGGTTTGGCAATTATCCTCACTTTCTTGTTTTCTTTGGATTCGCAAGCTATATTATCATCTCCCAAATTAAACAAACTTAGTCTTCAGAATAACAATAATCAACTAATAAATCTAGACTCCAATGACGATGATACTGATGATGATGATAATGATCAATATGATCAAATTAACGGATATAAAACAATTAGCGATTTAAATCTTTTATCAAATATTTTCAAAGCTTTTGGTACACCAACAATCGACGATTGGCCTGAAATGAAATCCTCATCTGTTTTTAAATTTTTAAATTTTGAGAAAAACAAAAGATTACCAATAAATATTTTATTACCAAAATTGTCAATTGACAATAATAATAATAATAATAATAATAATATATTCACTTCTTTTGAAAAATTGTTTCATCAAATGACCATTTATGAATCAAAAGATAGAGTTAATGCTTTAGATTTATATAACTTAGTTTCTGAAACTGATAATCAGTTATAATTATCATATCTTTTTTTTTTTATTTCTCATTTCGCTAGTATATACATTTGCAATTCATCTTCACTTCCTTGCTGTTTTTTGTTTTTTTTGCTTCATTATTTTGTAATATATGTATGAAAATCCATAATTTATTAATCAAAATAGATATATTAAATCCATTGAATACATTACATTAAAGATAATAAATGAAATCTGTCCAAAGTTTGAAATTTTATTGTTAACACGAAAATTAAAGCAAAAAATAAGAATAAGAATAAGAGAATAAAATAGAAAAAGAGAATAGAAAAAGAAAAGAAAATAAAATAAAATAAAATAAGAAAACATGTTGAAATTATATAAAAAGAATGAAGTGAAATGAATTAAATAAAAAAAATGTTACCCAGTCACAACTACAAGTTGTCAAAATTTCTTTCCAAAGTTAAAAACTCTATCACATTTTGCATTTTTCGAATTTTGTTATCTCTGGATAATATATCTATTTCGTCATTGATTTTATCGATTTTAAACTCCATTTGCTGATTATAAAAATCAAGATCATTCAAATTAAAACTTATATCATAATTTTCATTGTCATTATTATTGTTATAAATACTATTATCTTTATCATAAATAAACTCATCGTAATACATCTCTTTATCATAAGTTTTCTTATCTAGTATATTTTTTCTATCGCTATCACCATTTAGTTTTTGACTGAATATTATTGGCTGATATTCTTCTTCAAATTCTAGAGTAGACGATGTCATGTTGTGTTTGGATATCATCGAGCTATCGTCTTCATCATAGTTTTCATCGTTCTGGTTATTATCTTTATTGCTACCAATGTTATTATTGTCATTGATACCATTTCCAAGATATCTTTGTGATTTTTTAATTTCGCGAATATTCATATCGCTATTGTAAAGATCGCTGCTGTTTCTGCTCTTATTTCTAGGCTTACTTATTTTATTCAATGGATTGATTAAATTTTTACTATTTAGAAGATCTAAGTCATCATCGCCCATCGAGGAGTTTCTTTTATCGATTCTTTCTTGTTCCATGACCAATTTCAATTCGTGCTGGTCCTCATTGGCTTGAGAGTGCAATAACTGCCTGGGAGTTGACTTGCTTGAGGAAGATGCTGAGGAAGAATTAGAAGAATTGGAAGAATTGGAAGAGTTGGAAGAGTTTTCGGCCTCGTCTATTTTCATTAGCATCATGATGGACTTAAGATTTTTTTTTGAGTTGGACAAAATTTCGTGGTCAAACTTGTTCTTCTTGAGCATATTCTGTTTCACCAAGCTGGGAGTCAAAGGGGTGGAAGGTGGTCTTTTATTATGTGTTTTCTCTGCACTTTCGAGGCTGTTTTCAGGTCTGTTTTCAGACTCGCCAAAATCAGATATTTTGGTATGTTTTTCGGTTTTCTTACCAGTTGTGGTGCCTGTGTTTGGAGGATTGGAGAGTGAGCTGGGAGTGGTCAACGAGTTGGAGGAAGCACTGTCTGTGAGGACGCTTCTGGTCTTGAAAGCAGCATTGTTGTGTGCTGGGGCTGTCTCGGGAGAGGTCATTGTGATGCTGTGGTGGTGGTGAAGAGGTTGAAGCCAAATCTTCTCTTTCTTGTGGCCTGGAGCAAAATCAAAATCAAAATCAAAATCAGAATCAAAAACACGCGTGTTTACGTTTTGCCGAATCAGGAAGCAGCCGAAGTGTTTGTAAACAACCTCCGAAAAGACGCATCGAAAATAAATAAATAAATAAATAGAAAAATAAATAGATAAATAGATAAATAGATATAAGAAATGTAAAATAAACAGAATGGAACTGAAACACAGTTAGTCGGTGGAAGTAGACTAAGTAAAAGAACAAACAGAAAAAGAGATATATATACCAGTTGGTTTCGCACATTCTATCCTAAAAAAGCAAAAACCAAATGAGAGACCATAAAAAATCGCATTCAAGTAGATACTTCAAAATGCAAATAATTGCCATCCATTCTAAAAACCATGTATCAGAAGTTTGGTTCCTTGCTGATATTCCTCAATAAAAAAATGTGGAATCACTCATAGAATAAAAAGAGTAAAAACAAACTATGGAGCATAATTGAATAACGTTAAATAAAATAAAAAAACCATAAATAAAAATTGCAGATGTCTTTAAAAATTGAAATCCCCCATGTTACTTGGATCGTTATCCGGAGGTGGGTGTTGAACAGGAAACTGCATTTCCAGAGGAGTGCCTTCATACATGTTCATAGTTTGGCCTATTTGCTGCATTTGAGCCCGAGCATTTCCATCACCCTGAAACTGTACTTGCTGACCTTGTGCTTGCTGACCTTGAGCTTGAATTTGGGTCTGTTGGAGATGAGTCTGCCCTTGAACCTTCTGCCGGAGATGGGCCTGGGCCTGGGCCTGCTGCGGGAGCTGAAATTGCAACTGGTTTCCGTCAGTTGGCGCCTGATTGTTGATAGCTTGGACTGGTAGTCCTAGATCAAAAAATTGACCTGGAACATTCTGCTGTGGAACAAGCATATGCTGCTGTGAGCCCAGTAATTGTTGTTTTGGCGCAAAAACCTGGCTCCCAGCTAATTGTATACCATTGGCATTTGATGAGGTTTGTAAAGATCCAGGAGAATTACTGAGATAGTAATTTATCCTATTTTGCGGTTCATTTATAGTGGAATAGCAAACACGATTATTCCCAATCATTTGGTTTTGAATCTGATTTTGTTGATTCATTTGATTTGGCAGGGGTTGCTGTATATTGTAAGGAATTGTCATTTGTGTATTTGTAAGAGCAAGAGGTGTGTTATTGATAGCTTCCTGTTGATTGAAAATCTGTTCATTTCTATTTGGTACATTAAAATTTGCATTTGAATTACCAACCTCATTATTAACTTTATTGCTAACAATTCCATTAATATTATTTCTATTAGGTAGTTTTCCATTAAAATTCCGAATGCTGTTCATTAATACTGGAATACCATTGCTGTTAATAACAGAATTGGAACTTGGAGAATGTTCAAACTGATTATTAGTATCATTGTTATTATTATTACTATTATTATTATTAATATTATTACTATTATTACTATTATTATTATTATTATTATTATTATTATTATTATTATTATTATTATTATTATTATTATTATTATTATTATTAGCAGTATTAGCAGTATTAGCAGTATTAGCAGTATTATTGTTGTTACTGTTACCATTACCATTGCTATTAAGATCAATACTGCTATTATTATTACTGTTGTTATTACCCCCAGCATTATTATTAGTTTCAGTTTTATCACTATTTCCAACTATAGTATTTGTTTCAGTAGCATCTTTATTTGTAAAATTCCTGACATTATTTGTTTTAGAGACCTCATTAGTGTTAGCATTAATAGCCCTATTATTTTTGATACCAGTCCTATGATTATCATTATTATCATTGTTATTATTATCATTTTTACCATTATTGACAATAGCCCGATTAATATTATTTATATTACTCAAAGGGTTGGTATCTCTGTTACTTGAGTGGTGAAAAGTGCCTGAGGGAGCAGTAATATTATTGCCCGCGGCATTAAAGGTTTGAACATTTTTATTAACAGTGTTGAATTTGAGAGTATTTGAAAATTCATTCATATTCAAAACATTGTTTTGACTATCTAAAAAATCAACTAATTGTGTTTTCAAATTATCAAATTTACTCCCAAATTGCTTCAACATTAATAAATTTTGATTTTTATCGTCATCAATTTTCTTTTCCATTTGACTTTGCTTCATGTTTATGCTATTAAATTTTTGAGTGTTGCCTTTAATATTTCTATCCATTTCATTTAAAATAGTTAGCAATTGCCTGTTTTTTTCATTTGCTGCATTATAATGATCTTCTAGCCTATCATGTTGTCTATCCATCCAGACATTATGTTCTTCAACCCTTTTATTATGTTTTTCCATTCTATTTAATCTTTGGCTTGTAGTTTTAAGCTCATTTAAAATTTTATTGAATTTTTGATTATTATTTTGATTATTATTTTGATTGGTGACTCTAACTTCTGACAAAATTTGGCTAAAAAGAAAATTATTACTTTGACTTGAATTACGAAGTTCTGTTAAAATCTGGTTAAATAAATTACTGCTAATTAAAACATGCTCTTCATTACTAATATTATTTGGAATAGTGTTTCTGTTATTAATATCACAATTTAAATTAGGAGAAGCTCCCACATTATTAGACAATTCATTTAGATCGCTACCTGTAGAGTTCAATTGAGAAAAACCATTATCTAATAGAGCACCATTAAATGGAATAGAATTAGATGGGACTGTATTTGTTTGAGCAGAAATACCCTGAGGAACTCGACCTTGAACAACATTCAGTGTAGAAGAAGATTGAAAAGTAGGAGCAGGAGTAGACAGAACAGTGTTAGAAGATAAGTTGGCAGAAATGCAAGTAGGTGGTGGAACAGAAGTAGGTGAAACTGCAGTGTTTTCTGGAACAACAACCGTTTCAGAAGCAGTTGCTAAAGGGCTAAGAGGTAACAGTGTAGGAGGTGAAGTAGTGGAAGCGTCTGAATTAGCATCGCTTATTGGGGTTTTTGACTGTAAAGATCTTCTTTTGACATTTGGAAAATCAATCAATGAATCATAAGACCTAGGATGAACCATTCTTGTTGATGCATTTGAAACCTTCGAGTCATTTCTACTCCTCATTATATCAGTGCTGGTTGGGTTGTTAGATGGATTTGTGGAAGATTTTGAGTTCTCCACTAAATCGTTGCTTTTGATTTTTGTTGAACCCAGATTTGGAATTTGGGCTTGTTCATCTAATGAAGTCATTTCTTGATTATTAGTTGATAGATTTTTTTCATCGTCATTTCGTTTCATCCCTTCAATTTCCATAATAATCTTGTTAATTTGGTCTTCTACACCAGAAGAGGCAACACTAATTCCTCTTTTTTTTGATTTAGGAGTAGTCTTTTTATTATTGATATTAATATTAGTTTCATCTGTTTTATTTGAATGTATAACTTTATTATATAAGGTTTTGTATCTATCTTTGCATTGTTTAAAATTTCTGATTATGTTGTTATTTTTTAATTCATTTTTAACTGTTTCCCAAAACTTTTTCTCAAATTTTTTTTCTTGTTTGATGTGATTAAATTTCCTAATAATAGTAACTAGAAGCAAGTCGTCATTTTTTGACCAACTAATTCTTTGGTTTTTTTGCCTTGTTTGTCTTGTAGAGGCCAAATTTTGATTCAAACTTGAATTAGAACTTGAAGGTAGATTTGGGGTTAAAATTGGAGCACTTAGATTGCCTGAATTGTTGATGTTATTATTAGAAATAAGATCCATGTTGAAATTGTTCTGGTCTATTTTTTGATTATTATTTTGAATATTTTGGTTATTCTGATTATTATTTGTAAAATGATTTTGAGTGTAAGTAGAGATCAGTGTTATGTTCTCCCTATTGATATTATCAAAATTAAAGGCGTTCGAATTTTTTTGATTGGTGGGATTTGGAACCGGAATAGTTTTCAAAGTTGGTGTTGAATAGGACGAATTTTGAGAAGAATCCTGATTCAGAAATTGTGCATTTTTATTGGAAATTATCCCGTTGTGAAAGTTGGAGTAATCCAGAAAATGTGAAGAGGCATTGTGAATTTGATTTTGATTTTGATTTTGAAGATTGCTTTGAATGTTGTTTTGGAAATTATTCGAAAATTTCATATTGGCCACAGTATTACTGTGGTTAATGAGGGAATTGAAGTTATTGTTTTGAGACTTTGATAAATTAAATCCAAAACTAGTTGATGAATTGAAATTGTTAAGATCTATGTCAGGCAAAACTTCAAATGACTGGCTAAAAGGTTGACTTATTGTTGTTTGGCTAGTATTATATACACTTTCATTGAGATTACTTATGACATTGTCATTGATATTATTTCTATTTTGATTGGGATTAAAATTGTTATTATTTGTATTATTTGTATTATGATTATGATTATTATGATTATGGTTATTATGATTGTTATTGTTATTGTTATTGTTATTGTGGTGATCATCGTTATCGGATAAGGAATTTGTAGGACTGGTAATGTCGATACGATCGATATTGTCGATATTTTGAATTTTATTTTTGAATTTTTGAATACTTTCACGAACATAAAGAATTTTGTTGTTTTCTTCTGATTCTTTACGCCGATCGAGTTTTTTGTGAAGGTTATTTATCAGGAATTCATTGTCATTATCGCTATCGTTATCACTGTCATTATCAGTATAAATTTTGTTATTATTGTCATTAATTATGATATTATCGTTATTATGGGTATTATCGTGATTATTATTATCTTGATCATCATCGTCGTCATCGTCGTCATCATCATCATCGCCTGCATATAAATTTGAGACATCGCTGTCATCGGTGTCATCATTATCTAGTTCTTTATCATTGTTGTGGTATATATTAGTGAAATTTTCATCGTGAAAGTCGTTTGAGCTATTCATGGGGGAGTTTGATCTTGAATTTGATCTTGAGTTTGTAATAGAGTTTGATCTTGAGTTTGATCTTGAATTTGATCTTGAATTGAAGGTAGAATTTGAGCCAGAAATATTGATGTTGTTGCTATTTGAAGGAAAACTTAGAGAAAGGGAATTTAAGGAATTTATATCCATCATAGTTTAGGATATTGTTTAGAAGGAAGAGGAGATTTGTATTACTGAGAATCGTAATGGCTTGATAAGCATAAGCGTTGAGATTTTCTGAAAAGTAATCAGGAAAAACAGCCAGGAATTATGTAGTATAGCAGTATGATGTGATGTGATATAGTATGAATTGATATATTTTTTTATTTGTGATTGTATTTGTAGTATAATAGGTATCGATAGTAGATAATAAGTTCATATAAATGAATTTGAGGAAATTCAAATTAGAAATATAAAAAAACCAAAATCAAATTAAAGTTGTTAATTTGAAACAGACTAAATTTGAAATTGAATTTTGCTTTTAATTTCAAATCCAATTTGAATATCTGTTTTTGTATATACGTGATTGAATATTGTTGATAATATAATTTCCCTTTCTTTTTTTTTTCTTCTTTTTGATTGAAATGATATTTTTTAAATTTAAGAGAAGAGAAAAAAAAAATCAATAAGGTATAATGAAAAAAATAGTTGGCGTAATAAAAAACAGCAACCAGATTTTTATTTATTTTATATTTGTAGCCGCAAAAGCCAAAGTTGGAATAGCTGGCAGGTAAGACTAGAGATTAGAAGAGGATATGTTATAATATGTTACAGTAATGTATAATATGGTATGATGTGATATATATGATGTGATAAGATTTGAGTATTTGAGTATTTGAGTATTTGAGTATTTGAAGATTTGGAGATTTAAAGATTTGGAGATTTAAGTATTTGAAGATTTTGAGACAATAAAGGAAAATATGGATGGATATAATAAATTAATGAGCAAGTTGATAGATATTTTTTGTTAATATATATATTTATGTGTATATTTATGTATAAATAGATTTTTATGTCTTGTTTGATCAGGTTGTCTTAGTTTATATATAAAATTAATATAAATTTTTGGGTGAGATTTTTCTGTATATAGATTTGTAGATTTGTAAATTTGTAATTCGTAATTTTGCAAATTTGTATTTTTTGAAGGGAACTAAAAGTTGGATGGATGATGGATGATGTAAGGGGTATGGCAATTTAGGCAAATATAAGATCAGGAGTGGATTGATATGAAATTTAATAAAAGTGAGGAATAAGGCAAATGAGGTGTGATGTATTAGTAGATGTGAGATAACTTTTTGACAAGGACAGTAAATAGAGAAGAAAGAGAGATATATAAAGTATGCTGTGGTAGAGTGAGAATTTTATTTTTGATTAGATTGGAATTGTAGAGGATGTGAAAGTAATTGGAGGGAATAAGTGGAGAGGTGAAGGAGTTGGTTGTGCAATTATTGGTTGATTTATTGATGGATTAATTGATTGGATCTATAGCAAAATAAGGAAAAAGAGGAAGAGGAGGATGAAATGAAATGAAATAAAAAGAAAAGAAAACAAAAACGAAAATGAAAACGAAAACGAAAACGAAAACGAAATGAAATTTAAATTAATTTATAAGAAAGCTAAAAGTTTTAGTGAAAGCAGTAAAGAGGATAAGTGAATTAATATATGTAGATTAGGCCTAAAAGTTGAAAAGGAAATAAGAGAGGAAGAGAAAGTGAAAAGAAAATATAGTTCTGATCGAGTAATTTAAAATTAGCTGATTTTAATTGAATTAAATAAGTTATTTTTTTGTTTGAAATGTAAAAAGACATGAAATATCAAACTAAAGTGAATGAAATGAATCTGAATGGATAAAATTAAAATTAAAATTAAATGAATTTCAATAAATTTTAATAGATTTTGCTGAATCTTAATGAGTCTAAATGAATTTGAATAAAATCCAACAAAAATCTAGTAAAATGGGAAAGAAATGGGAATTAATCAGGAATTAATCAGGAATCCAAACGAGATTGAAGTGGAACTAAAAGCAGACAAGCAGAGGAAGCCGAAGAGTGGATTTACAAGAAAGAAAAGGAGTAATTGAAGCAGAATTACAAGAGAAAAGAGAAAAAAGAGAGAATATCGAGTGTTTATATATTTTTCAGAAAGAAGAGCAGCTGGAAAAGCAGTTCAGTGGGGCAGAAAAAGAAGAAAAGACAGATCACGATCCGGATAGCATTGCAAAAGCCTTTTCTCGCTGCTTTTTCCTCGTTTTTTGCTGCTTTTTCGTCGCCCGCGCTTCCTTCCCCTCTGTTCTTTGGTGTACGCACACCACAAGCAGCACAACGCTCCGGCACAAGCGGGGTGCTGCCGCTGCTGCTGCCATAGACTCGTCTTAAGTGCACATGCAGCTTGTGCTGCACATATGCAGCTCGCTGCTTACCGACAGGTGCGCAACGGAACTCGTCATATCGACATGCCACTTGAGCAGGGATCTACCGGCATCCACGAGAAGCGGTGTCACTCGCCACACAGAGGAGCCCTACCTGCTTCATCGGGCTGCTCTCTGCTGGACCCACACAGAGAAGCTCTAGTTCCTCTTCTGTTCCACTCCAAATGCTGTTGCTTCCCGAATGGCACCCGCTGCTGGTCCGCTACTGGTCTGTTTGGCGCCATTGAAACGACAATGTTGTGTTCCCGACTAATCAACTCGTATTACGTCTATTTCAACCCTTTCAAGCACTTTGTCTATTTTATTCATTGCAACCACAGCAGCTCTGCTTGCCAATGAAAAGGCAACAGGTAATAGACTGGCTGCCAGCAAATCTGACTCAACTCAAACTGATCCAAACACAATTTTACACCTCAAGTAATCTCTCTAGGACACAAGCGCCGAATTGTCCTGTGTGCACCAGTTGTCATATCGAAAACAAGGGAATGGTAAGTCACTTTCTCTGTTTTATGAAACACTAATCATTCCAATTCCATCATCGTAATTCTGGGCTGGCCATTATGCTGTTGGGTCCATTAAGGTTTGCTGTTCTCACTTCCACACACAGGTCGCCCTCTGCTAACAGGGCAATCTTAAAATTACCTCTCATTTTCCTTGAGCAATTTCTCTAATGATTCTCGCTCAAGATCGTTTCCAGATCTTTTCACTTCATTTCCACAGTAATCAATAATTATTTATAGTTGATAATAATTAGCTGTAATTAATTATAATTAATTAGTTAATTATAATTAGATACAATTAACTACACCTTGCGATACTTGGCTCCCATTGGCGGGACAAGCACTCTTGGTGATCGGCCTGGCTAGCGCTTTGTTGTTTAGTAGTTTAGTAGGTGATTGCTAACTGGCTAGCTCATACTCTTATTCTTTCCTCTATTCAATTAGCCCATTCTTGCCACCTGAAACCCTCTTGCTGGAAAATCAAATACTGCAGTAACATTACCTGGTGTTATATACTTCATGAACCCTCAATCCTCACTCTTAGCTCGCCCACTTCTGATAATCGCTGAATAGCGCGAAAACCTGGTTCAGGCAGCTTCCCTCTGCTACACTATCCCAATCTAACCTTGTTTTCTTCTTTTGTTGTCTTTTGAGCTTTCTTTTTGTTGTTCTTTTTTGTTTTGCTTCAAAGATCCATCGGTTCAATTCGTTTTCTCAGTACACTGTAACAGGTTTCAAGTTATTCCTCCAACTTTATCGACTTTCCGTCAGGGATTCACCCCCAACAAAGTTACCTCTCAACTAACTTATCAATCTTATTTCTCACTATTTGCCTTTACCTCACTACTCGCTTTGCTCTTTCGGCATACATTTGGTGATTTCATAATCCCCTAATCTCTGGCTTCACCATTTCCCAATTTCCAATATTAATGATGCTACAGTAATCCCAATTACCCTTTTTTTAGTTTGGGTTTTTTTTCTTTCTGATTTCTTAAAGATCGTCCTATTTTCTTTGCCTGTATTCACTTAGACTTTCCTTCTAATCTTTTTCCAATTTTTTTTATTTTTTCATCTTTCCAATTTGTTCATAAGGTCTCAAATGTTTTATTTTTTTATTTTTTAACTATTTCAAATGATTTTCACCTAATTTTGTATTGATTTCAAATTTTTTTTGCAAAAATTTTGAACTTCTCTCATTTTTTTTTAAATTTTAAACTGTACACCTTTTTTTTCTTTTTCTTATGTTTGCTTTTCCGGAACACTCGTAAAAATATAAAAAAAAAAATCGTTCATTTTTAACGTTATTCCGATATCATAATACAATACAAAATATTATACTGTATTATACTATATTATACTATATTATACTATATTATACTATATTATATCGTAACAAGCAATAAAATGTGTTCAATATGTTCAGCTCTATTCAATTAAACATTTTATCTTCTTTAATTAAACACATTACTGCAATTATTTTATTTCCCATTTTAACCAATCGCTTCGTTACCTTGTTACTCCATTACAACTAATCAAATCACCAACGTCACTGATCACTTCACAAATCACTTTATAAATCACTTCCCCATCCTCATTCACCATCTATTCCATCACATTCAACTAAGACATTTCCTGTCAATCTCAATACGTTTTATAGATCCACACCCAAAACATCCCTTCATGTACAAATCATCACCACTTTCTGCACTTTCAAGCCTCCCCCAATAAAGTTCCCCTTTCTCATTTCCTTCCACCGTCGCTTTCCCTCAAGCTTTGCGTCGTTTGCTTTTTTTCGCCTTTCCGCCTCATTTCTCACTCACCTCCCAATGCGAATCACCATTATCCGTTTTCTAAACATCCAAATCCCACATATATCACAACAAACATAAATAATTTAATCGATTGAATAAATGAATAAAATGAATAGAATAGAATAGAATCTAAAAGAATAGAACCAATGAAATCAATATTAGTATCTTAATATAATATCCAATATCTTTTTATTATCCTCAATATCTTTATTATAAATAATCTATCATACTTATTTATAATTATAATCATATTCGATTAATAACCAATTCATTCTTTTTATATTAATGATTATACTCCATATATCTTATCTTATCTTGTCTTATCTTATCTTATCTTATCTTATCTCATCTTATTGTATCGCATTTTAAGTTCCTCCTCCCAGTGCATTGCTTTGCTTCACCTAATATTGAAAC